AATCCACAGCTTCACTTTCTCTCTCTCACTACGCAATAAGTAGTATTGAGTTCAGTCATCGAGATGCGAAAATTGATGACGACGCATAATTAATTACAAAACTCTACCGGAGTATTAATAGACTTCCATTAGTGCCCGTTAAAGTCAACCGTGTAATTAACTTTCTGCGGCTTCGGCACTGAAACCCAACGTCCTTCCCTTCTAAGCCAATAATTATTAATTCATGACATGCTCTCATTGACTCAGATTCTTCGGCACTTGACGCAGGAATATTTCCCATTGGCTACTCCGTTTGGAATCAGGAATACCCCTGGTTTCTAACAAACTTAAATATAAAACACCACCAATAAATAACCCTCCGCTCTCTTAGCGTCCAACGCTCAAACACGCCCGCAGAGTGAAATTGCGACCGACGGGCATCAGAACCTAATCGTTTTAAGCCTAGATAAAACAAACCCTCCGTCGAGCCGAAAGTTTGTTTCTCCCACGGTATCAGTAGAATAGAATAAAGATCCAGTTTTTCCCCCGGGTTTGTAATCTCTTGGCTCTCCATCAGCCTCTATTTTGTTCTTTGTTGGTTTACGTGCGTCATGGAGTCAAGGGTGAGTTCGATCGGTGCGGCCAAGCGCGAGTCTGTTCCCACTGCTGGCAGTGTTTTCTTCGTCTCTTCCAACGGACGCGTGCTCAAACTGCCGATCCCGAGTAAATCGTACCGGGATCCGCTTACGTGGTCGTGGACAAAGAGGTTGATGGGGTTTTTGGCGCTGCAGTGCTTTTCGATGGCTGCGTCGTTTGAGCTGAACCTTCCGGGGCTGTTGATGCAGGCGATTGGGGAGGAGTTCAAGAATAAGGTAAAAATATACTTCGTGGGTCTGGTGAATGAGATGATGCTAATTGAGTTTAGCCAATGGGTCCCTTTGGTGTACAGTCTTTATCGTCGGCGATGACGCTCTTTACTGGCGTTGGTTACTTGATTGGCATTCCGCTATCGACGGCAGTTGGACGACGGCCTATTGTTGTTGGTGCCGCTGTAGTGACAACTCTGTCGACGCTCTGGGCTGGCTATGCTGGATCATTCCTCCAATTAATCGCTGCCCTCAGCTTACAAGCCCTCGCAGCCGGATCAGCAACCGGGATGGTAAGTCGGCATCCACCCAGCCAAGCCTTACTAACAATCCCAGTTCATCCTCATCCTCATCGACGCAACATTCATCCACGAACGGCCGAGCGCACTCTCACTATTCTGGTGCACAGGCTCAGCCCTCATCAAACTCGCTCTCTTAATACTCCCGTTCACAACCGACACTACAATGACCTGGCGCTGTGTATACAAAGTCTGGGTTGCACCTTGCATCCTTGCATTCATTTTAGTTATCTTCTGCGTCCCCGAGACATACTTCCTCCGACCGCCCGTCGCACTCGATGGGCGAGTACTAGTTCAGAGTAGCTCTGAGAAGGTTGAGGTCTATGGGGGTTGGGATGAGATTGAGCTCATCAGGAATGATAAACCTTTACCTGATTTACCGTCTTCTTGGTCAATCTGGTCTCACTTTAAGGTGACGCGAGCACCTGGGACGAAGTGGGAGTCTGTGCTTGCGACCTATGGACAGATGTTCCTTTGTATCCTTAACCCTCTCACCTTTTGGGTCTCTCTACTTACCGGCATCATCCTTAGTGGTGTCATCTTCCTCAACCTCACTCAACCATCCGCCCTTATCTATATGTTCGGGGACAATGAAACAGGATGCATTAATATCTTGCTTGGTGTCGCTGGCGTAGTTGGCTCTCTTCTCGCCTTTCCCCTCACAGGACCATTCGCTTCCTGGTTTACACGATGCTACACCTTTCGCAAAGGTGGTATCCGCCACGCCGAAGTCTACCTAGCTCTCTTTGCCGTCCCTGTCATTACAGGCCTAACAAGCGTCCTTCTCAACGGTCTCGCCCTTATAAACAAGTGGCCTTCCGTATGGATCTACATCACATCAGCAATTAGCATCATGAGCTATCTCACCGGCAACGTCGCCTTCACCCTCTGGATCACCGAGGCCTTTCCACGATGGGCGGCAGCGGCACTCGCAGTTCAACTATTTACAGGAAACATGTTCGGTTTCGGGATCGGTACTGCTATATCACCTTGGACTGAGGAGGGACATATTCTACAGCCAACTATCCTCATCTTTGTCTTGATGCTTGTCATGGGAGCGATGGCGGTCCCGGCGGCGTTTTGGGGAAAGACTGTGAGGCAGTATATCCAAGGACGATGGAGTGACTCTGAGAGAACTGCGCTTCGCCCTCAGTAGGTGAAATATGTATTAAAAGGGCCTTGGGTCCGTGTACAAGCCAATCAATGGCACAAGAAAAGTGTTTCTTAGCGTTCATAGCAATTGATTTATAAACCAGGCCACATTTAGATATAAGTCAAGGAAGAAATTTACTAGTATCTTATCTTGTCTGGTATGTCGCGATCTCTTACCTTCTGAGCTCTGAGGTTATAAATTGTCCATCCTTATCGCAAAGGGTATCACGAGTATTATCCACCCCAAGATAAGATAAGACACGGCTCTGCGATATAAATAGATCTCCAGTTCTTCGTGACCTCTTCGCGATTAATTGGTGCGCTTAGAAGTTATGACAGTCCCGTGCGTTGATGTCGCGAGCTACCCTAAAGATTGATTAAATGAATTCATTAATTAATGAGATCTATTACAAAAGCTCTTAAATGTGGATGTGATTTAATGTAGTTATTTTTGCTTTTAAGAAATAATTAACCTCATTTATCAAGTGTAAGGGACAATTGGCATCAACATAGTTTGGATTTGGAGATAACATTCAACTGATCATTTGACAGTAAGTTTCGAGAGTGGCGGGTTATCCCAGTAGCACATCAAAGCCCTCGCTTTCATGGGTCGGCACGGTTGATTCGAAAATAGGGGACTTCTGTCTCTCATATAAACGAGAACGGGATGTGGGCGAACTCTTGAGAACGAACATCTTGGCAATAATCTCCCACCGGAGACCAAGGGTCTAGCTTACATTGTCCCGCTGTTGTCGGCCCGGAAAATGAACGAACGCCGACGCGCCGAGCAACAAATGACCTGAGCGTTATGGGGCATAAACACCAAAACATCGATATCCGATCGCTTAAAGCGTTTGTGGAGTTCTGTGTTTATTAAGTCCGGTTTATCCTCACAAACAATAACCAACTGAGCTATAATCATGCAAGGATACCGCTCACTACGCAAAAGGTAAGTAGATCGCACGCGACGGAATAACGCGACCCTTTTAAGGCCCCTCCCCTACCCTATAAAACCACTCCACTAATGCCCCCCTGTAACAATTCAGGTACCCGGCCGCCGGCTCGCTACAGTTCGGCCAGTAGCAAAGCGACCTCCGCTTATCGAGCAAACACTTTACCCAGTGGAGTTCAAAATGTCACCTCCCGCCGTCGTGTTTCAGCTTTCCACGTGGGAGAAAGATCCACACAATACGAGGAATCACCGTCTAAATGGGATGGTGACGGCGGAGAAAACGGTGGCTGCGCTAGAACAACAGCGGGGATCTTGACCTGACCTGACTTTGCGTCCCCGTTGCAGGGGTTGAAATGAAACGGAATAAGAGAGGGCTATATGGGATGATAGGAGGAAACAGACGATGAATAGAGGTCGTATAAAGGTAGAAAGGTTCCGCTGTTGTTTGTTTTGGTCATCGGTCTTTATCGCTCAGTCTTTCGTTTATCAGCACTCATTTGCAGTATTCGCTCTTTACTCACTCTTCAGTGAACGTCATTCGTTATCTCACTACACTCTTTCGAGCAACATTCACAATGCGAGCTTCTCAGACCCTCATTGCCCTCAGTGGCGTTATCGGCCTCGCGCAAGCCGGCCCCTGCAAGCCTCACCCTCCCGCCTCTGTCATCTCGACCACTATTGTCGTCAAGAGTGCCAGCAGGTAAGACATCAATCCGACCTGTTTAACAATTCATACTAACATCTCCAAGCACTGCATCTATCCCTAAGCCCACCACCACTGCTGCCGAGACCACCACCGTTGAGACTCCCATCGAGACTCTCAGCACAGACGAGCCCACCACCACCGAGATCAAGGTCCCCACTACGACCGCTGCTGTCGAGACCAGTGCTACATCCGCCACCACTGACGTCCCCGTCCCTACCCCCTGCGCCATCGAGCCCGGATGCCAAGCCGCCGGCTTCAACGTCGACTACTACAAGAACGTCTTCGAGCGCGGCTACGGAAACGACGAGATGTCCGTTCCTCCCTCCTACTACATCACCGATAACCTCACTCCCCTCGACTCCTCCGTCACAAGCGAGACATACTTCGCCCAAGACTACATGGAGGATCTTGCCGGCTACCCCCAGATCTTCCCTGATTCCAAGTACGCTGGAAAGGCCTGGTACATCGGTTATCACCGCACTCTCGCCGGTGGCATCAAGGTTGATGCCAACAACTTCACTCTCGTGTACACCGGTTATTACCAAGCCCCCGAGACCGGAACCTACGAGCTCTGCGTTACTGCTGATAACGCCAACACTCTTTACTTCGGCCAGGGTAACGCCTTCGAGTGCGGAACTGGCGAGACTGACCCCAACGCCCCCGCTCTTGTCCTCACTGCTACTGGATATCACTTCAACAACCCTACTCAGTGCGGTCATGTTGATCTCATCGCTGGACGCCACTACCCTGTTCGCAACGTCATGGGCAACAAGAATGCTGTTTCTGCGTTTGAGTTCTCTGTCAAGACTCCCAGTGGTTCTAAGACTCATGACTTTGAGGGCCAGGCTTTCCCTGTTGCTTGCGGCAAGAAGAACTAAGCGGGGGTTATTATTTCATGATATCATGCTGCGGGACTCTATGACATAAGCTTCGATGTCTACATGAGTTCACTTCACAAGACTTTATATTTTATTCTGTAATAGTTAATGTTTTCAAATATAATCAACAAGATTTATAACATATCACAAACCGTCTTTTTCCGTTACTCAAGACTCATATGTATAGCACAGTCGTTCTCCTTGAGTGTCCATAGCCTCCTCAACAGTGATGTATCGCCTATCAGGAAGCAAGTTCCTAAAGTCCATCACGTAAGCAAGAGTGATGTTCTTGTACTCCTTATCCCCAAAGAAGTTATACGGGTATGCATACTGGATATCAGGGCCGCTGATATCGCTCTTCCGAGCGGGCCAGTCTAGTCGCTGCCATTTATCCCAGAGTCGATCAACGTTGGTGTGATGAAGCCAGAAGATAGGATCGCCAGGCGAAGAGTACATGTCACCCATCTCACCGAGACTACCGCCGATAGCGAGATGGCCGCCACCATGATATCCTTGAGATTCGGCACTGACGCCACCTTGGACGCGCTGGTCGAACTCGAAGAAGTCTTTGGCTTCGAGGGTCCAGTCGACCATGGTTTGGTTGAGCTTTGAGATGCCATATTCTGCAGAGATGTCGCGGGCTAGGCATCGCGGGTTGTAGGCAGTTGAGGTGTCTTGTACAGTTAGTAGCTCGCTTCAAGGGATCCCATAACGACTTACCTGGACCTGCATGGACTTCAAATTCCCCCTTGGCGAAAGGGCCGTTAGTAACGCACCCTGTTTCATATTAGTGTTTCCCAATCCTGGAACAGCATCATGACATACCGCCTCCTGTCCTCCCAGAAACCTGTCTAGTCACGTTTGTCCAGCTACTGATGTCGATAAAAACGCCATTCCCTCCGAACCCTGTCTCTGCGTCGAAAATGGGAGACTTTCCGAAATCTTCAATCGAACTCGAGTCAAGTGTCCAGTCTAGAACCTAGTGGTCAGTAATCGGAGACTTTTCTGAGAGAGGGCATGCATACCCCAGTATGGCTGAGCTCCACTGTAGCAACATAGATTCCGAAGGTCTTTCTCATATTGAGCAATGAACACTCGATGCCACCTGTTTCTAAAATCAGCGCTTGACGTCCTGGTGGCAGGGAGATAGTATTACGCTTGGAAGAAGCCCTGTAGAGCTCGGTTAGCAGCCACCTCACCGAAAAGGTGCGAAGCGGGCGACGGCTTACAACGTAGTGTATAAAGTCAGTATTCACGATATGACTGACTTGAAAGTCGTCGTAGCGCGACTTAGCACCGGCGTAGATGTTTCCAGTCTGTGACGGCTTGGTCGCGAGGCACTTGACGGCGTCGATATACTCAAGCTTCTCTTTGGTGCTCAATGTTCTCCTACAACCAATACTGTCAGTGATCCGGAGGGAAACTTGTCACAGGCGTTGATGGTTTTCAGAGACGGTATAAATTACCATTCTTTACGAACGAGGGGAGTCTTGCAGCCACATTCGTGAGCTGGTGCACACGAACCTGGTACAGCAGCAAGAAGAGCTGTGGCTAGCAGAGATGGAAGACGCATGGTGAGGAGACAAAAATCTCAACTAGTTAACAGAGGGTTCGATAATGTCGCAGTGGTGAAGATGCTGGGTGGAAAACGGGTTCTTAAGGCCTCGATCGATGGAACAAACCTTATGTTTACACCTGACGGAAGATACCAAACGGTTAGAATAAACAAGATCAGCCCCCTCCTATAGGTGAATTAAATTGATCCGTTAGACGTATCTTTGAAACTCCACTCATTAATCCGGGCCTAAATTACGCTGTCTTAACCGACGGGTACAACTCTGTTAAGCATATGGCATATCAGACTCGGTGAGGAATGATGGCTGACACAAAGTAACCAATAGCAGCCCAGGTGTTGGGGCATAAGATCATGCTGCGAAGTCTGGACCGGAGTCCTCGCTTATTTGTGAGCGAAGCTAGTGGTAATTGGCATAGGACGTATAATTTAAACTCTGAGTCGTGTGAAAGGAAACGTCGTAAGAGTACTCACGTTGACACTCAAACTCAGCCGTTGGGCCCCTTATTTTCTAGCATTCCAGGCAATGCTACTTGAGTGAGACGAAACATATGATCATAAATGACATAAATAAAATAATCATACGGTATCGGAGTTATTAAATCATATTTGTATAAACTAATTACGACAATTCTCGCTGCGGATTGGAAAATGTTTATGTGATAGACACGAGATTGAGCGCTGGGTCAATTCGTGGCCTAACAGGAAGACTAGTTCATGCCATCAGCGCTTCAGCACCAGGACTTTCTTAGTATAACTGACTGAGAATAAAATTGACGACCAGGGTACCTAGAGTATAGAAGCCCTAGTGACAGGGTAAATGAGGGCTCTGCTCGACTGTCAGACCACTCCTCATTCTCTTCATATGAAGCTGCTTGTACTTGGTGTTACCCCGGAATAGGAGTGAGCACGTGACGTGAACAGGGATCATATCACCAAGGACTTGGTGAGGCTGAATTGCAGCTGATGCACGTTGGTTCGCACAGCCTGATTTGAGATTTCCCCTCAGCATCATCCTGCATCGGTGAGAAGCAATCGTCTTTGCTTCAGCGACCCGCGAAACCCTCGCCGATAGCCTCATCGCTCCCGAAAAGTCATCGAGTCAAACCTAGCCAGCTCCAGCCAGTCCAGCCAATAACAACCTGAGCGACTCGCGAAGCAATGGAGCGGCGGCGGCTGTCTCATAGCGACGATGGCGCGCTGCCTTACCATGCAAAACGACGAAAAACTGGCTTCCAACAGAGTGAGGATGATTCTATACGCGAGCGCTATACAGTCGCTTGGATTTGCGCATTGCATATCGAGATGGCTGCAGCCCGCGCTATGCTCGACGAAGAGCACTCTGAGTATCCACAGCAAGGCAACGACACGAACTCTTACGTCCTGGGGAGCATCCGGAATCACAATGTGGTCATAGCCTGCTTGCCGGATGCTCAATACGGCCTGAGTAATGCCGCGAGTGTGCTGAGTAACGTGAGAAGGACGTTCCCCAATATCGAAATCGGATTGATGGTAGGTATTGGTGGGGGAGTGCCGCTCAAAGCTGATATAAGACTCGGAGATATTGTGGTGGGTGTCAGGGTCATGCAGTATGATATGGGGAAAACACTCAGCGATGGCTTCCAACGAACAGGAGTTCCAAAAATACCCGACTCGACAATTCGCACAGTCATCTCAAATCTGAGATCTAAACATGAGCTAAGTGGGAGCCGAGTTCCTTCGATATTGAGGGAGAAAATGGGGAGCTACGCTGCTTATTTGCGGCCAACCAAGCCTGATCGTCTCTTTCAGAAGTCTTATCCTCACCCCCCTTCATTCCTATCTTGCGATCAGTGCGATTCGTCCAAGCTAGAGACGAGAAAGAACCGATCTTCTGCCGACCCGGCCATTTACTATGGCGGTATTGGCTCAGCCAACACAGTCATGAAAGACTCAAGTGTTCGTGATGAGATCGCGCGGGAGCTGGATGTACTTTGCTTTGAGATGGAGGCTGCTGGTTTGATGGATATCATGCCTTGCCTGCCTATTCGTGGTATCTGCGACTATTCGGATTCTCATAAATCTAAAGAGTGGCAGCGGTATGCTGCAGCCACTGCAGCAGCTTATTCCTATGAGTTCTTGGAACTATGGAGAGGAGACTACCAAGCATCTTACGCTGGTTACCATCACCCGCAATGTTAGTGATTCTTGATCTCCATTCTTCTGCTCTAGATAGCTAATGATCTGTAGCTGAGCACACTATGACGTCCGGAGCTCATGAGGAGATACTGAAATCGTTAAATTTCGAGGAGATTGATGCTCGCAAGTCGACTGTCGAAACAGCACATTCAAAGACCTGCCGTTGGTTTCTGAAGCACCCTGACTACCTTTCGTGGATAGACCAGCAGAAGAAATCGCAAAATCATGGTTTCCTTTGGATCAGAGGGAAGCCTGGAGCTGGGAAGTCCACCATCATGAAGTTCATCTACCTACAATGGAAGAAAAAGGACCGTAAGAATCAGACTCTCACCGCCTCATTCTTCTTCAATGCCCGTGGAGAATTGCTGGAAAAGACTGTCTCGGGAATGTACAGATCGTTGCTTTTGCAATTGTTCCATGGATTTCCAGACCTCGAGTGTGTGTTGGATGATCCAGATGTTTTCCCTCGAAACCAGAGTGGTTGCCCTCCTTTGAATGTCCTGAAAGACCTTTTTCGTGCTGCAGTCGCCAAACTAGGCCAAAGATCCTTTACATGCTTCATTGATGCTCTCGATGAGTGCGACGAGCAGCAAGTGATGGATCTGGTTGAATACCTCGAGGACTTGGCTGAGCAATGCTCAGAAGAAAATGTAGATCTTCGTATATGTTTCTCCAGTCGTCATTATCCCTATATCGACATCAGATTTGGCATCCGCATCATTCTCGAGGATCAGGTGGGCCATGCAAACGATCTTGAGAGTTATATCACGACTCATCTTCGAATCAAGAGCCGACCACTCCTCGCGGAGCTGCAGGAAAAAATGCTTCATAAAGCAGCTGGTGTTTTCCTGTGGGTTGTTCTAGTGGTTCGCATCCTGAACCAAGAGAGTCGCCGTGGAGGCCTCGCTCTTAGAAGACGACTTGAAGAAGTTCCCACTGGCTTGAGTGACTTGTTCAAAGATCTGCTAAAGAGAGATACGACCAACATGGAAGAACTTCTCTTATCAATATTATGGATACTTCTAAGCAAACGACCACTTAAACCTGAGGAATACTACCACGCGATTTGGTCGGGGTTGGCCCTAGAGGGACTAGCAGACATAGGTGTACCGGAAGTGGACGAGGAGGACTTTGAGAATTGCTTTGGCCGGTGTGTTATCAGTTCATCAAAGGGCTTGGCCGAGATTACAAAAGTCAAGCAGCCGAGGGTTCAGTTCATACACGAGTCTGTTCGAGACTTCCTCATCAAGGACAAGGGTCTTCACGAACTATGGCCAGAACTTGGACCAGACTGGGAGAGTGTGGGCCATGACAGGTTGAAGATGTGCTGCTATTCTTACTTCCAATTCGTTGTTGAGAAGGGACAGCTCGAAGTTGAGGACTATGATACTGTCGAGCATAGGGTCGCAACGGGGACTAAGGCGTACCATTTCCTCCAATATGCTAGCCAGTTCGTTCTACATCACTCTGACCTTGCAGTAAGTGCTGCTGAACAACAGACATTTTTGGACAGATTTCAGACTTCTGCTTGGAAAGGGGTCGTAAACGCGTTTGAGAAGTTCAGGGTCCGTAAATACAGCCCGACTGCTGGGTTGCCATATATACTTGCGGACAGAGGGTGTTCGTCACTCATACAGACAAGTCTAGGAGGTGATGCCACTTTCAACCTGCCTTCGGATGATGACAGATATGTGTATCCACTCATAGCTGCCATGGCTAAAGGGGACAAAGTCAGCGTCCTTGCTCTCTTGGGCTTACCCTCCGCGCTTTATGAAGGGATGGATATTACAGAAGGGCTATTGCCCAACATAGATGCTACCGGTTCTTCCCGAACACCACTTTCTTGGGCCTGCGAGAATGGCCACCTTGGGATCGCAAGAGTCCTTATAGAAAGAGAGTGTCAAAGCCCAGAGGGCTTTCGGTGGCAATACTCGCCGCTGATGCTTGCGGCAAAAAATGGCCACAAAGAAACAGCGAGATGGCTGGTCAATCACAAAGTGGATGTTAACCGAAAACACATGAAAGAAAGTGCCATTTGGCTTGCGTCAAGCAACGACCATGCGGAAATAGTTGAGCTCCTGCTCGACGCCGGGGCAGATCCTGATACATGTGGCGTTAAGAATGCGCCTGTGATATGTCTAGCTGCTGAGAAAGGACATGAGAAGGTGATAGAGCTCCTTTTGAAGAGAGGCGCAAATCCTAAGGTGAAAGACTATTGGACACAGACACCTCTCCATCTTGCAGCGGAAAAGGAAGGATCCGAAGTAACGATGAAAGCACTTCTAGAGTTCGGAGCAGATATCAATGCCAGGGACGCTAGTGGCCGGATTCCCCTCTTCTCGGCCGTAGAATGTGCCACTGTCGATGAGATACGGTTCTTGCTTAGCCAAGGAGCTGATGCAACGGCTGAAGACAAAAAGGGTGAGACCTGTCTACACCAAGCAATGAATAGGGGCAAACTGGCATTTGAGATTGTTCGACTACTTCTGGAAAACGGGACAAGGCCCGATGCTCGCAATAGATTTGGCGAAACGTGCCTCCACACCTTTGCACGTTGTGGGGAAAACATTCCTTCTGGCGATTTAGTTCAGTTGGTCGCTAGCCGCGGAACTGACATCAATGCCAAAGATGATTCTGGCAATACACCTTTGCATCTTATAACGGCACGTAGAGCTATAAAAGCTCTGTCAACGTTCGTCCTCCAGCCTGGCTTGAACCTCAATGCTCGCACTCACCGAGGCAAGACGCCATTGCACGTTGCAGCTTCGCTTAGCCCACCTGAAATAGATGAGCTCGACATACTAATAGGGAACGGAGCGGCCATCAATTCCATGGATAACGAATCAAAAACACCTCTTGATGAGGCAATAGATGTGGGATATAAGGAAGCCATTCAGCTCCTGATAAAGAACGGAGGAAAGCGAGGCGTTTTATAATCTCATGAGTGAGGTCTTGTTGTACAAGAATGATATTTTACAGCCGCTCCAGTAATCGTGGGTTTTATTTTTGAGGTTAACCTGGATATGAGCGCCTGACATACATTACCTATGACAGCTTATTCGATTCGTCATCTAACCCTGGATAGCCTGAGGACTTTTTGACTTATAAAATCTGGGCGTAAAGCAGGATCAGGAGATCTTAGAATCAAATGCATGTTCTCTCCTCATCACATACGCTCGCCGCACACATACGACTAGCTGTTCTAGTTTCTGAACAGGGCCTTCTCTACCATTGAAATCCACCAATAATTAGCCTGAAACCGCTCAAAAAAACGGATAAGGATGAGGGAAGCAACAGAGATCTTTGGGTTGGTATCAAATGCTGCAGCTACTAGGCTCAACGTGTATGACAAATTGTATGACAATCTCCAACTCATGAAACTTGGCTGGAGAGTCATCGTAGATCTAATGATAGGCAAATCGGAACATCTTGATGATCTCGAGAAGAAGAACCATGTCCTGGTTAACAGATTCTGTATATTGAGAGGTCAGCTAGCTATTTTGGTCGACCCGTAGAACTCTTCATCAACTAGTGTTATTCCTTATGAGATCTGGGCCCGACATCGCAAAATGGCATAAGAGGACTTGATCGCGCTTATTGGGAAAGTCCGGAGTGAAATGGAGTTTGATGACTTCCTGATTATGTAATTAGGAGAAGAAGTCAATAGGGCCCCTTTGCATTTGTCAACAGAAGTCGCTGCGGGGGGGCTTGTGGAGTAACGGTTAGACGTCACTGGCCCGACTGATGATGGTATGGAATCCTTCCTGAACTGAGTTTGGGTCACAATTAAGGATCTTTGTCTGCACGCTCTGGGCTCTCCTGGAACTGGTTCTCTGCCTAAAGTGGAGTGAACCAGGCGGGGCTTGTGAGTTGATCTTTCGAGCGTGCATGGAGCTCGCAAGGATGAAACCCCTAAGTACCCTGGTTTACTGACTTATGTAGCTTATACATTCTGATGCAAAATCTCGAGGGTCGGACGGGCCCTGAGGATGCAAACCACTCTGCTTTTCACCTTACTCTAAATAGTTAAGGTGCAGGGCAACCATGCCTTTCAAAGTAACGTCAAATGGCCAAATCACGATTGGTATAATAACACAAAATCATCGAACCCAAGTTTGAGATGTCTATCATATACTCATTTTGTCGATGGCGAGAGAAGAGTGGATAACTGTATGCTGTATTTATTCCCCACGGACCAGTATTTAAGTTATTGGCGGCCTTCGTTGAGGTCCATCGTTTCACATTCTTGGCGATAGCACAACCTAAGCCCCATTACTTCAAAGTCCGATATTAGATAGCCCTAGAAAGATCCACTATATTGAGTGGATGTACTCTTGGGAGACTAATCATGGATCTCTCTGCTCATGTACTAAGACACCGTGAGTCTTTGAAGACGATAGTGTCGGCTCGATGGCTTTAACTGGAGAAGGGGAAGTCCCAGCGAGAGAACGTCTCTTTCTTCTCAAAAGTCTAACAAGCAAAAAGTCATTAATAGCTGAGCTACCCAGAAAAGATATCCGCCCATATAACCTGAAGGTTACTCGGGGAAGGAAATTTAAAATATTCACTTACAAAATCAGAGCGATCGCTCCCAGCAGAGAAGGCACTCCAAGGCCGACGCTGACGCCAATAATGACACTTTTGGAAACGCCGCCAGACCCTTCATTCGATTTGCCATCCGAATCATCATCCTTACCCTTTTCCTTAGCTGAAGGTGTTGTGGTTGGCGGAACATAAGAAGATGGGGCTCCTGACATTGCTACCAACTTATTTGCGCCCTTTCCGAATGGAATCAAACTCGTAATAGTATGGCTAACGGACTTAGGGAACTCAGCCTCGCTGTCGGATGGAATCACAGTAACATGCGTCCGTGTGGTGGTGTACTTCGACGTTGTCTGGAGCGACATAGGACAGTTGACTAATCCTTCTGATTGACATGCTACAACAGTGAACGTGGCCTTGGTGGAGATTGTCGTTGTCTCCATCTCATCTTCTTCATCATTCTTCCCTCTCACCCGCAGTGCTGGGGATGTCGTGACGGATAAAGAAGCATCGCTGGTTCGTTGGCTGGCACAAGCATGTCCCAGTGTAGTGTAAAAGACAGGAATCTCAGTTTCAGGCACTGGCCCCCATGTCATATCATCAATAGCAATCGAGGCCCCAGCAGCAGCGCCAACAGCCAGTTGATAGACTTCCTCAACGCGAAAACTGCAATCGTCGTCTTCATCGGTGGAAAGAGTGACGTTGGTGATTAACTCAGCAATGTTGGCAAATACCCCTACTTCAACACCCCCACCAACATGAGCGATTGTCTTACCGGCGACTGATACTTCAGGTGATGCTATTTCAAAGCCTGCTTTTACACCAACGCGTAGAACAGCTTTGAACACAACACCGGCGCTTTCGAGAGTGACAGGCAGGAATTCGAAATCTCCACCATTTCTGTTAAGCTTCTGTTAGTTCATGCCAAGGCATCGCCACAGAAATAAGACTTACATTGTCAGATTGGAAATCTTCTTGGAGAAGATGGCAATGTCAAACAAAACACCATCGTCAAGTCTGAGATGGAAACCGCTACTAATGTTGATCTCTCCTTCTACAGATAGGATGAGGTCAATTGCGAAGATAACACCGAGCTCCAGATTGTCTCGAACAGCGAACCCTGCAGGTGTAGTAGAAGTGTACAAGTTGAGAGTATAGGTGGCACCAGCTGAGAGGATGGTGTCGATCAACATGTAGACTTCTAACCCATCAAATTGAAACTGAAGTCGAAACTCCGGGATCTCGGGTATACCAACATTCAAGTTGTAGTCCAATGGTGGTAGATCGAAATCGTCTAGGTCAAATCCGTCGTCTAGATTATCTGCCACCGTATCGATGTAGTTTTCTATGTAATCGGCCGTCTCGTCTGCCAGGTTATCGATCTCGCGTCTGACTTGGCTGGTAAAATTGCTAAAAGCGCGGCTGACGTTGAATTCGCGGTCATATATGAACTCTGTGGTAGCGGTTCCTTTTATATAGCATGTAGCGCAAGTGATTGCAATGCTGGCCGAAACCGAAGTGTTTCCATGCTTGGAGCCCAGCTCCTCCTCACTGCAGACAAATCACATATTTAGAGATTGATACTAAAGGTCCAGTGACTGATAGTAATTAACGCACCCCGTGTAAGCGAAGAGGATAGCATTGACCCAGCTTGTGTCTAACGCTGTGCTGTTTTTTTGCTTCGCGTCTTTTGGCTGTCGAATCGGCCGGGCGGGGGTTCTTCGAACGAGGTCCAGTATATTGTACCCAGAATAATCAGGCGCGTTACCGGCACGAACAAGTGAGGCGCTTCCGAGGACCAGCAATGACCTAGTCGCTAGAAAAATACCGAGTAGTAAAGCGACAAACAACATACTGTTGAAGCACCAATTGGCATATAAGCAAAATTGCCACGAAATAAGAAAGAAAAGGATTATGAGAAATTAATTGGGGGGAGTGCCCTCTGGGTAATTTTAGTAGCATGCTTGCATTTATTTCTTTAGGTTTCAAATTCTGCATGTTGGCTCTCCAAATATGCATGTTGGCTCTGGATTAGGAGAAAAGGCCAGGTTATGACAGGGCATCTACACTTTGCCCCACCCAGCTGAAAGGCATTTCCTCCCATTTAAGGCATGGCTGATTTTTCAATGTTACAGCAGTGTCGGATTAATGCAAGTTGGTCTGGATCACAAGCCGTGATAGAGACCATTGTGTATGGCTGGACGGGAAGATGTCTACAAGGGTCGCTGACTTGATGGTGAGGCGTTGGCCGGAATTGAGACGGCCGAACTCAGTCTTACTTGGTCTTACATTTATATTTGGCCAAAGAGGAACAAGGGTATTTACATATGCACAGGCCCCGTAGAAACAAACATACAAACCCAAATATCAAGTCGAGACTCATCCTAGTAATTAAATTTGAAGCCTTCTATATAATATCTATTTACTCAAGGTGAATGATAAGCCGATGGTTAACAAGAGGCTTTCAGAAAGAAACCCGATAAACATCTGAAGATGTTATATATCTACCCAATCTTTGACCAAGTAGAGGGCAAAAGAAACAAGGGGCATCTAGCATTCTCTATGGTCAGGTACGCCAGAAATCCAGAAGCCATGTCGATCCAGCCACAAGGGCACAACCCCATCAACCTTGCATAATCTCCACGCCAAGACGCGAAAGCCAGCTCTCTCAATCTCGCGAAAACCTGGCTTCAGACGACCAAAGACAATGGAAGGCCGCAGTGCAGCGCGATCCTCAAAGATACGGTCTTCTCTGTTGTCAATCATATCAAGAACCATTTGATTTCGTAGACAAAGAACCTCAATGTCCCCGGCAAGAACATCTGCTGATTGCAGAGAACGCAGCCATTGCCAGTCGTAGAACATGTCAGAGTCAAGCTCGTTGAAGGTGTGTGTGTACATTGCCTTGCACTCGCGGTGTAGGTATAGACTGCAGGAAACATTCCTGATGTTGCGGTCAGCGTCATGTATAAAGTCTCTGACAATGGAGTGCTTGATAGAAAGAGAGGGGTGCGGGTTGGCTTTTTTTCTACCAACTCGCAACTTGGGGTTGAGGTGAGGAATAGGTCCAGCTAGATTGGGATTCTCGTGGCGTCTGAAATGGAAAGCCATCATGGTTTCGTTCTCCCTTTGCTGCTTTGGGTCTGCCGCCGTGCTGGTGTAGTACAACCGCTTGTTCTTTTCGATCATCTCAGAGTTATGGAGCTCATCGAGCAATGCTTCAAACTGAGGGGCTAAACAGTAAGTCTCCGCAGGGGGGACAGATTTGGCTGCATCGACTAGGCCTGAAGTGACTGGGTTGGACATCGTATCTGGGAGCCCAACACTCCACTTCATAGTACGAATTCCATTCTCCAAAACCTTCGTTCGCCGTTGAATCTCACCTTGCTTGCGCGCAGCAGGCCAATAGTCGATGTAAGGATGTTCGAGAATCTCACCGTCCTCTAGCGATTCCGAGACCGCTAAGAAAGACCCTGCATCGTTTTCAAGGTTTTCATTTAAGCCAAACTTGCGAGACAAGGATCCGCTGCCTAACTTCAGAGCATGAACTTGGTAGTCTAGTGCGTGGAGTCGATCTCGGATTTCTGCCTCGTGGCGGGCCTTGGTCATGAATTCCATTGTTGAAGCTTTTGGTGAGAAAGCTAATGTTCAGAACGATTGTACTGGTCTTGTAACTGATGGAACTCTTGGGATTGGAGCTTTCTGGCGGTAGATTTCGTAAGATCTGCTGGTCGGCGAAGCACAAGATCTCATGCGACTTCAGACTTTATAGGGATTATTACATGTATTCGTCAAATAGGTGTTCATGGCGTTTTCACCTTTGGCAACCATACAGTCAGTGGAAACTGTGAACAGCACGTACAAATCGGTGAACAAAAGTTGGAGGAACAACTATATATGAACATTGAACTAGATTTGGGGTTTGGAACAGGTGATAAACAAAGATCTAACCAAAGGGTTCCTTGACAAATGTAGTGCTGACTGATGAGTATTTCCACGCGGTGCTTATAGGTCTCCCAGTCAGACCCTCCAATCTTCCTGATTGATACGCCACGAGTGTATGAGACCACAGTAGCTAGCTTGTATACGCTCGTATGAGAACTAATGATCGGAAGAGATGTCAAGCATGCTGCAGCTAAACGCTGTCCTTGCTCCACTTGCCTCTACCTCTGATCCTCTCCCCCCAAACAAAGAACAGATAGGGAACAGGGATCAACACCGCAGCGATACAACCAAAGACTGTTGTTCCCCAGTCCACTCCAAGTTTGTGATACATAGGGATGATGAACAAAGGAAATGCGCCGGAGAACATGGATCGCATAAAGGTATTGGCTGCAACTGCACTTGCGCTGTAACGAGTGAACGTGTCGATGAGGTAGCCAAGTGCAGATTGGAAGATAGTTGTGAAGCCGAGGCCAGTCAGTGCAATACCGATGATTGACGGCCAATAGTTCATGCTGGGAGATGAAGTCCCTGGTATTCTTAGTTATGAAGTCACGTTGGAGCCAGTGCCACTTACATGCAAAGAGGAACTGTCCGGCTGTGAAGACGATACCTCCAAGCATCATCGGAGGCAATCTCGCTTCCGGAACAGCTCTGTATCCATTCTCCATAAGCCTCTTGCGATAGTATTTGTTGTTGTAAACATTAATTGCTGCTGCGAAAAGGATGCCAATCAACAGAGCGATGAAGGGCAGGGTGCTAACGACTGGCCCCCACTGGCGCACTTCCCGGTACTCAATTGAAAAGCTTTCAAGATTCGCATAGAGAATTCCTGGGTTTGATGAGCAAGAGATTCGACGGTTGATGGGATGCTTACCATAGACGAATGATGCGTATAACGACATGAGGAAACAGATTGGTGTTGCCATCATTTGGAATGGGCGGATGAAATACTTCTGGTATAGCTCTTTGAAGGACACGTCCCATTCTTCGTGCTGTCACAATGTTAGCTCATAGATCTCTACTGCAGTGGTGAACCCACCTTAGCATGCAGCGCCCAGTCTTGCGTTTGCAGTCTCAGCTTATGAGCTTTCCTCGACAACAAAATAGGTGCATAGCTCTCATCAATCACCAAAAGATCAACCCCAAGCTGAGCCATCATCACAATGCCTGTAAGGTACTCAGTCCACCTCCAGCCTAGACTGCTCGAGCACAGCGCTCCGCCGATTATAGGACCCAACGTCGGACCTCCAACAATAGTAACTCCGTAAGCGACAATCGCGTTACCAAGTTGGTGAGGGGCCCATATATCCGCCATAACACCTCCAACAATCGTTACGGGTGCACTGCCAAAGAGCCCCGAGAAGAATCGCGTGATGAGAACGGTTTGGATATCTTTTGCTGTAGCTGTACCGAATGAGAATACGGCGGCGATGAAGTACGGCTGTTTTGGTTAGTCGTCTCCAGCAGGGAGGAATGTCAACTCACGATGAGAATAAGCCACTTCCGACCGTATAGCTCACTCAATGGTCCCCAAACCAAAGGTCCAAGACCGAATCCGAAAACAAGCAAACTCGTCGCTGCAGCAATAGTCTCGGTGTTCACGTTGAACTCAGCAGAAACAGGGTGAATGGCTGCGGCGAAAATGGCAGAGGCCAACGTGATCCAGCAAGTCGTGAGACCGTACGCGATGGTGGTGATGAATTTCTTGCGGAAGGGCCAGTTCATTGGGTTGTGGGGATCATCTGGACCGTCAAAGGTTACGAGATGGTCTGGGTATTGATCATCGATCGTAGGCTTTTGGTCGAAGGCCATTTCGGGTGTGATGGTAAGTTGGTCGCTCATGTTCGATGTTGCTCTTACGCTCTGTAGATATCAAGTATTCGGAAAACGAGTGTTCTATGGTCTTTCATTTAAGCTTCTTATTTCTTGGACATGTAGTAAAATATTGACAATCTGTTGCCCCCTCATCCTTATGCGGCGCCGGCGCCGAGTCCATGATCCAAGCAACGGAGCCTCCGTTAGTAAGACCGCTCAATTATTTCCGCGCCGAGCCCCGGGACCGCTTCTGAAGCCCGAAGCTCGGAAGGGTAGTTCTACTCGCTGATTGGACCAATTTTGGCGGGTGAGTGTAAGTCGGAGACGCATAAGCTTACCCGTCTCCGCCTGGCCCGTGCTATCGACGTTGGCGTGCCACTAAGATAAGATCGTCGCTGATACCAGCAGTGAGTGGCATGTTGGAATCATCATCTCAGCCTTGCCATTCTAATTCTCCCAACAGTCCAAGCTCTATCCATGGCCTCTTCAGTCTCAACGAGTTCCCCTCCGAGGGTTCCGACAGCTTCATCCACTAATGAAACCGCCAAGATGAGTTCTACCTCAGACTCTCCCGAGCCAACTCCCTCCGATCCACTTCCTCTACGCAGCTGCACCTACTGCCGCTACCGGAAAGTGAAATGTGATCGCCAGAAGCCCTGCTCTCACTGCCTACGCGCCAAACGCAATTGCTCATATCCCGCTGGTCGCGGTAGAGCTGCCAAGAAGTCTACTCGAACGCTGGATACCCGTCTCGTCGATCGGCTCCAGAGATTGGAAAACATCATCAAGGAACTCACAAGCCAGGTCGAGGCCACAACTGATGCCGCCCCATCTGGAAATAATACAGATGTAGAAGAAATTGAACCGCATCGGGGTGTCGTAGGGAACTCCCTGTTGGGAGAAGATGGCGCTGCTCATGATGCTTCCACCAGCCAGCAACTTGGTCGCCTCATGATAGATGATAGCAAGAGCTACTACGTTAGTAACATTTTGTGGGCCAATCTAGGAAATGAGGTTAGTGCTGCAACTCTCTTATGCATCTACCATGGTTGCTGATTTATTTCTTATTCAGATCGAAGAATTGCGCGACATGCTACACGACTCTCTGTCTGAAGATGATGCTAACAACCCTACTGATGCATCTGGACCCATGCCGGAGTTGGCATCATCCATTGGAACAAGTGCTTCGGTCTTTGGGTTTCGTTCCCTCTGTCATTCCCTTCTAAACTACCATCCACCTATGCACCTATCAGTCACTCTCTTGAACATCTTTATTGAGAATGTCCTTCCACTGGTGCATATTTTTCATATGTTAACCACAGAGCAGTGGTTCTGGGATTCCATCGTGTCATTAGAGGCACTCGATAGAAATGCAGAAGCCTTGCTCTTTGCCATCTACTACTCCTCTATCATCAGCATGGATGAAGGCCAGTGCGTAAGCGTCCTCGGGGAGTTACGTTCTACCTCGCTCAATAAGTTCCGCTTTGCAGTCGAGCAATCCATGGCCCGTGCCAACTTGCTAAACACACAAAGCCTTGTCCTCCTCCAAGCCGCTGTGTTGTTCCTATCGGGCCTACGGAACGAAGACGACTCTAGAACGACATGGTCTTTAACATCACTTATATTTCACATCGCCCAAGCTATGGGTCTGCATCGTGACGGAACAACTTTTGGTCTCAAACCACTTGATACCGAACTCAGGCGGCGGCTCTGGTGGCATATCTGTCTACTAGACATGCGCTCCTCTGAGTTTCACGGATACGAGCCTATAGTACGGGGCGACATGTTTGACACAAAGCTTCCGCTCAACATCAACGACAGTGACATCACCCCTCATATGAAAGAAGCTCCTAAAGAGCATGAAGGATATACTCAGATGACGTTCTGTCTAATACGATGCGAGATGACGAAAGCTGGCTGGAAGGTTGGATATGCATCACCGATTCCAGGCTCGCCAGCGACTGCAGCACAAGCTGATGGTGAACTAATTGTTCAAGAACTCAAGGCCCGATTGGAGGAACGGTATCTACGTTACTGTGATGAATCCGTACCGTTCATGCTCTTTACAACGAAGGTCGCCCGACTCATCGTTGCCCGCACGGGGCTGATGGTTGACTTTCCAAGGAAGCAAAAGGAAGCATACACTTCGGCGATCATTCGAGACCGACTGTTTTCCATCTCTATGGAAGTACTTGAACTTTCAAGTTTTATCATGACAAACAGCAGTATCTCAAAGTGGACGTGGCACTCCAAAGCTCATATCCAGTGGCACGCAGTCATATTTGTACTCTCTGAGATTTGTTCTCGTCCAGCGTCTGCAGAATGTGATCGGGCATGGGAGTTTATCAACACGGTCCATAATCGATGGAATATGAATGAAAGGGGCAAGAGGGGGAATCTTTGGAGGCCGATTCAGCGACTCATGGTTAAGGCTCGCTATGTACGCGAGATGCAGCAGCTGGATCCGGGGTTTCATCTTGCTAGAAGAATGGCTACACTGGATACGACGCCCGCGCAGGCTGGAAGCTCTGAAATGCAGCAGGAAACACCAGACCCATACAACATTCCTGACATGGCGAGTCCGAATGGGTATATGGATTGGATGCTTGGAGATCTCGGGATAGACTTGTACGGTGGAATGGCGAACGGACCCAGCTGTGGCTAGGACGTGTACTTAAACTCAACTCCTCACAACTAATCTACAAACTTTATAACGGCTCGTCTCCGTTCTTTATACGCCAGCACTGACATCAACCAAAATCTTAACATGGTTGTCCTTATCATTGATAAGCGTCTGGAACCCCTCCTCCACAACCTTATCCATCTTAATGACCTTCGTAATCATCCCCTCAGGCGTAATCTTACCATTCGACAGCGCATCAATGACCTCTTCAAAATCACCAAGCGCATATGTGGCGCTATTAAAGTTAGAACCGCTTGAATGACGATAGAGAAAACTTACCATCCAACGTATGATCGTTCACGAAACACAATCTGGTTCATGTTCAATTGAGCCCGCTTTTCCCAAACAGCGATATTGACGAGTACTGCTCTGGCTTTGAGACAATCGAAAGCTGCATCGATGGCATGCTGTGAGCCAGCTGCGTCGAAACCGACATCTGCGCCTAAGTCGTCTGTCAATTTCTTGACTTCAGCCACGATGTCGTCCTTGGTGGGGTCGAACACATGATGAGCGCCGAATTTCCTTGCAAACTCTCGGCGCTTGGAGCTGACCTCGCTGAGAATAATGTTCTTGCAGCCTCTGCCAATTAACGCCTGCACAACAGCCAGTCCAATTGGTCCGCCGCCAACAACAAACGCTGAATCACCTTCTTGATATGGTGATATCTTGATCGCGTGCCATCCGACGGCAAGCGGTTCAACCAGCGCTCCAACCTCAAGAGAAACATTGTCAGGCAACTTCTTCACAGCATCTTGCGGAACAACTGTTGTTTCACAGAGACCGCCTCCCCAACCACTCAGCCCGATAAACCCATTCTTGTCACAGCAATTGACAAGACCGCGCTTGCATGAGCGGCATTCATTATCGTAGATAATCGGCTGAACACAAACGCGATCTCCCTTCTGGAGGCGCGTTACTTCACTCCCCACTTCCTCGACAACGCCGCTGAACTCGTGACCCAGAGTGAGGGGCGATGTCTCGCCGGTGATGCCGTGCGGGGTGCCAGGCTTGGGAATGAGGTTATTGCCACCGAGATACTCATGCACGTCTGTCCCGCAGATACCGCAGAACTTAGGTGCAATGCGGACCGAGTTTGAGTCCAGAGAGGGGAGGGGAATCTCCTCTAGCCGAACATCCTGCTGTCCGTGGAAACGCACTGCTTTCATTGCCATGCTGAAAGTTTGAAGTCAAGGACCAACGATAGTGATGTGAAGAAGAGGGGTTGGACTCTGAAGAAACGTTGCTTTTATAACATCCTCAGCTGATGTAGAACGTGACGCAAAAGACTACCTTCCCCTCATTCAACATATTTCCAGAGATAGTAATGCGAAGTCACAAAGTACACTTATAAGCCTAACGCGATGGCATGATCGGATTACCTGATGGGGATTAGGTTAGTGTTAAGATTGAACAGCGGGGGAAGTTTCCACGAATGAGGAGTGGCGGGGGAATGCGGGGGAAGACTCGGCGAGAACCGATGAGTTTGAAATCGTGATCAGCCAAGACTTGAAGTGGCCTGTTGAATTGAGTTGATAGACCCCGCGGCTTATGGTTCACATCACGCGTTGAATTGAGTCTCGTTATAGACTATCACTCGGTGGAAGTAGCATGCACAGTAGACGGTTCTACCGATCGTGGTGTTGGGGACAAGATATTTGTCCTTACTCTATCAATGTCAAAGTCTTCTGGATAAGCTTCGTTTTAGCATAAACTAGCACATGCGTATGCTTTTCATAGTAATTACAAATCTTTGCAGAAATATAAAAATCTTGGTTGCAGATATTGGCCAGTCAAGACAGTTCTATCTTGTTTTATGACCTGGGCGTGGTTGATCAATCGTGAGATGTAGGGTATTCAGCTACAATTGTGAGATTGGTCCCGCAAACAGGCCACGTGATTGTCAATTATCAGGACAAACACCAACATGAGGGCAGACAAGCTTGGTAGGCAGGATATACAGAGACCTGGGTAAAGACTGCATTTCGCATATAAATTCTGACTCGGACTCTATAGACCTACTTAGACCATGTAACTTATCTGTTTATGACCTTGAGCGTATCCCCGTGTAACTGACTGACCCGCTCTAGCTCACAACTATGGGTAATCCTATCAGTAGAATCTATTTGTCTTCATCCTTCTGCTTCTTGATGTCAAATTTGTTCCCCTCCTCCTTCTTGTCGTCCTTCTTGTCGTCCTTCTTGTCGTCCTTCTTGTCGTCCTTCTTGTCATCCTTGTTATCCTTCTGCTCCTTAATATCAAATTGGTTCTCCCCCTCCTTCTTGTCATCCTTATTATCCTTCTGCTCCTTGATATCAGATTGGTTCTCCTCCTTCTTGTCATCCTTGTTATCCTTCTGCTCCTTGATGTCAAATTTATTCTCCTTCTTCTCTTCCTTCTCGTCATCTTCCTTATCCTTCTTGTCATGCTGGTCCCCCTCAGGATCGAATTTCACAAACTCCATCTCCTCCGGACCTTTCTCAATCTTTTCGTCCTCCTCTTCCGCTTCAAGCTTGTCCTTACCCTTTACATTCTCCTTGATATCGAACTTCTTCTCCGAGTCCTTCTCCTCCACTTCAGGCTTGTCCTTGGCCTTCACCTTTTCCTTCTGCTTTTCCTTGTGCAAATCCTTCGTTTCAACTTTCCCACAATCAAATCCAGGAACACATTCCCCAGCTGCCTCGTACAAAGTCTCCGTAAAGTGCTCATCTGCCAAATGGAACGTTCCCCCCCTCCTCGGCTCTGGTGTAGGGGACCTATCCCAATCAACTAGATCTACGATAACCCATTCCCCAACATCCTTCCTAATCTTCTCCACGTGCCCCTTGTTGGCAAACCGAAAGACAGTACGCAGCTGGGAAACAGGCGCATAATTTAGCATCAGAGGATGGCCCTCTTGTAGGTGGGGCTTGTCCCTGCCAATGTATTCTCCTTTTTCTGAAGCTGCAACGTGCTGGACGGTGTTGTTTTTGACAAAGACCACTATGTTTTCCCAGCGGGGTCCGTGGTACCACGGGAAGCTCCATGCAAGGTCGTACTCATACCTTGGTCCTGTCAGTTTGGAGTTGCGGGCACTAGGCGTTGGGACTTACATGTATGCGCACCAATCGTTGTTGCAGCGCTTCCTCGTGTAGACCTTTCTTTTGGATAGTAGAGATTTCTGAAAGCAATGGGCCCCATTTGGTACACGGGTGTTTTCGGTACCATTATTATCGATAGCCTTGCGGCGAAAACAATTTCCCTTGTCAAAGTAGAAGGCTGGTTGGTACCGAAGACTGTCTTCATCTGCATTTGCATCGAGTTTCTGCGACAGCTGCCCTGGTTTTGAGATTCGGCTGGGGAATGCCGTAGCAATGGAGACTACTCCAAGGATGGAAAGGAGGAGGGATGGGATATGCATCTCGATCGTCGACAAAGAATCTCACACTTATGTTTAGGAGAGGAATCGATGGAAGCAGCTGGGACCGACACGGGGCCAGAGCCAGCAATATATACCCGTGAAATGACTAAGATCATGGGACCGCGATGAGTTTATGCTTCAGCCTCATTGAGTACTGTCGCGCAGAATCTGGCCTGATAGCTGACAGACAAGATCAATCAAGGCATCATCGACCAGCGAGACGTGAGTGACGCCCGCCACTGCAGAGACATTTGAGAAAGGTGACACTCATTCAAGATAAATCCAAGCCACTCGGCGAAAATACACATTAGATTTTTCACTCTGTCAGGAAGATTCATTTCTTTTGGTTCCCGAGTTCGATATCCCGCACGATGATCTCAGCTACTCGGTCAAAATAAACACTTGAGCATTTTTCCCTCTGTGTTCCTAACAGCGGTTTTTCTACTAGAGCCGGGAAATTGCAGCAACCGACGGCACTAATGCAGCCAATTGAACAGTCGCATTATCAACAGCCAGGGGACTTGTATGCTGAATTCGACTAGCTGGACCGACAACTTGGGTCTGGCGTTGCACTAAAAACATCACTATTGATTATGGCGTCGGTTAGCTTGATGCTATCTTGAAGACCCCTTTCCAATTGCCGGAGTCACAATAATAAAAGGATGCAGGAGACGCGTTGAGTTTTCCGTTCTGTATTCCTTCCCTTGTACTCACTTCAGTCACTCTTTATCTGCAACAATGCAATTCATCATTCATTTGCGAGTGGCGTTGGGCTTATTGGTCATTGGGTCTGCTGTCGCAAGCCCCTGCAAGCCTCGTGAGTATTCGTTGACGACAGTGTTAAATTGATTACATGCTGAAATAAAAATAGTCTCAGCCACAACAACTTCTACTGTCACTTCTGCTGCGATCATATCCACTACCGACACCTCAGATGCTGCCACCGAGACTTCATTGGCCACTTCTATCGCATCCACCACCGAAAATGCAGAAGCCACTTCCTCCACGGTAGTTGAATCGTCTACCGAGACATTCGCATCCTCTGCCGAGACATCTGCTTCGTCGACTGAGACATCGGATTCATCCATCACCATTGAGACATCTGCAGCCACAACCACCACGGACTACACTGCGGAGACTACAACCGCTGAACCAACCACCACTGATGCCACCACCACCGTGGCTGAGACAACATCATCAGCAGCCAACCCTACTTTCACAATGTTCGCTTCCGGCTCAAACGCCGTGGCAGGCAGCAGTCTCGAAACTTACAACCGCGACAGCACCGTGGCCGTATTCGACCCCGCCACCGAGGACGACAACCCCTCCGCTCGCCAATACTCCATCGACTCTCAAGGCAGAATCGTAAATGACCTCGGCTGGTATCTCTGTGGATACTATGGTGCGACGAACGAGGAACTCAATAAGCCTGCGACTGTAGTGACCTGCCATACCCAGACCGCCTTACAGACGGCTTTCCTGACGTGTGAGTTGTCTGGTCCCTTTGGTATCGAGTGCTCGGTCCCGGCGATGTCTTGTGTGTCGAGCGGATCTTCTAGTATGCCTCCGACCTGCATACCTTCTACAGGTACTTGGAGCTTAAATTCTGTCGGTGTTCGAGCGTTTGGTCATACCTGGCAGATTGGAGGTAGTGATACGCCGGCTAATTATGAGCGTATGACTATGAGCATCCGGGAAGTCCGAGCGTAGGAGGTAGAAGTGAATAGTCAGATTTACCATATGTCTGGGAACTTTTATCAGAATTTGAAACGTCGGTCCAGAAAATTTATAAATATACAATAAAATCTAAGACTTTTAGATATCTATTCTGAAGAGAAAACAGTAATACTACAATTGACTACTTATGTTAAACTGCATCCCATGTTGTTTCCATTTTACCCCTGTCTCGAGAGTAAACTTGATCTTCTATCCTCACCGTCACGTCAGTCTTCACACTGATACCTTTGCCATCCACATGCCCAAGCTCCACAGATTCTGTCGTCGCGTTGCCGCTGGTCACGATAGCTCTTGCGCTCGCCCCGTCACTCCCAGGGTCGGTGTCGGCAACATGAGACTGCCTGATATATTGACTTGCACCAGGCCGAGTTCCTGTCCGAGTTCCTCGAGCGGGTGTCTTGTCTGTACTGTACAGGTGACTCCGGAGGCCGACCTGGTAGGACACGAGGCGAATCAGAGGCTGAAGAGCAGGGAAGCTGCCGCACCAGAGTCCAACGTGTAATTCAATTGACACCCAAATAGCAACTCTGCCCATCTTATAAGTCCTGTAAAGAAAGTGTTAGTGGGAGTAAAGGAGCCATGGCAGGTAACTAACGTGTCAACGCCAAAGTCAGTTGTCATCATGAAGCCAAGTCGAATAATGCCAACGACAATGGCAACTAAGCCAACACAGAAGACAAGGATGACTTTTATAGCCTGAGAACCGAACCTCATGTTTTTGTAAATGACCCAGATAGGCAGTCCGAATAGTGCGGCGTCAATGAAAATCCCGATGAAAGCATGCGCCCAGAGCAAATGAGCCTCCGACTTTTGGCTGACACAATGCCTATTATCCTTCATGCGATCAAACAGGTCCCTTGGCAGTATTAGATGGTCAACTGAACAGAATGATAGAAATCGGCACACGTACGCGATAGGTTGACACTCGAGGAGGAAGAATAGTAATGCTGCTAGAGTGATCAAAACAATGATAGCGCCGATGCCCCATATCCATCGCATGAATGGGCCTATCCGCAGGTCATATGTCAGTCTATAGCAGTAGTGCAGAGGATAAAACACGTACGATCTCGACGAAGACGGGGAATAAAAGCTAGAATTGACAGCCGGATGAAACAGAGCGCCGGGAAAAACAGCATTTGCTCAACAGGTAAAAGCTTGAGGTTTTCCATTAGCCTATAACAAGAAACAATCCGGTCATGTGTGCATTGAATTGGCGCGTACAGTGAAGAAAGCTTTTAGCTGTGCAGGAGTGAGTGCGCTCATTGTAGAGCCAGATCCGTTTTGTACTTGAGCAATCTCAATGGCGGAAATAGCGACAGTCAATGCCTAAGTCATACGCATGTTAATAGTGTTTCAACGGGGAATCACAGGGGGTCTCACGAAGCCAAGTAACGCTAAAGAGTCATCAACACCAAAAGCCCTCGTCATGAAGCAACGAGCGTACAGTCGCGCTGTTATGATAAGAGATGAGAATACGATAAGGCATACATTCAGGCGTAAGATATCGGGCCCTTGAGACCTAGTCTCACTGCCTGAGCCGTTCGCCATCTTCGGCGTTGGCGCAATGCAACAGCAGTGTAAGTAGTAGTCTAGGGGAGTCAGAGCGGTAGCTCTGTGTCGCATTCAGGGTCGACATCCCCGCTTTTATAGAGAGAACGAATTTGCTAAAGGATTCTTAAGGGGCCGGAAAGTGCCTGTTAGTAGTCGAACGTAAGCAGCCACAATCCAAAGGAGACAAGCTCGTCTATATAACAGTTACAGACACGAGGAACCAACGTCAGGATATCTCAAAGGCCGTCTTCCCCGTACCCACATGGCATGGATAATTTCGATCTAGCGGGGCATGCCACCCAATCAATATGTCGATGGCCAATAACACGGTTGGATCGGAATGTGGAGAGCTCCGGGCTTACTCGGGCCCGCACTCTCCTGAGAGATGCTGGTCTCTAGCGTGAACTTCCCCTTGAAACCCCGGATGACAATGGCGTTGTGATAGGATCAAAGGCATTGTACCCTGGCTTAGCGAGCTTTTGACTTTACGTGGCGCCTCTTCGAGTCAGCATCTGGACACAGTTTGTGGAGATTGGAATCCTAAGTTTTCGTTTACAAGCCCGAAAGCGACATTGCGGGGGATCCCATCATTCTCAGCCTTGACCCGGGTTAGCGGTCCTGATGCCGGTACATGCGAACATCATACTCAGTGGCTTTGCCAGATCTTGGGGACGGTTGCCAGCATGCTATCGCGGTTAGCTAAGGTGAAAACAAAGACACCTAGCCGATAGTATATAGGGTACCCATTTTCAAGTCTTGGACAAGCTGGTATGGCTTTTTTCCAGCCCTTTGGAAAGAAGTGTTTACTTTATTGCCTAGACATGGGTTATGCAAACATCACCAGCAGAAGGTAAAAAGCTATCAACTATTTCAAAATGTGTAAAATTAAGTAGATAGTGACTCAAATATAATAATGTTCAAGAAGATTACAATTATGCCCTGAGTTGCATTAAACCTCGGACGGTTCCCGTCGATGCCGGCCCTAGCCAATTCCAAACTCTCCCAACCACCAAGACAAGTAGCCGACCCGTCGACCATAGTCAATATCTAATCTTGCCGCATCTAAGTGGCGCAAGAGCCTAAGACACCAGTGTCCCATCCCTCGTTCTCAGTCGTCGCAACAGGGTCATCAAAGGTGATGTAACACGCACCATCGTCCCGTCTGCGGGAAAAGCCAGTGCACAAGCCGTCAGTCAGACAAAGCATAGCACACTGCGAGATACTGCCGCCGCCAACAAGGTTCCCACCGTATAGACTGACGTCGCATTGGATTTGCGCTGAGCCTAAGCAGACGCCAGTCTCGGGAGGACAGTTGTCCACTGGTGGTGCCGCTGCGGTTGTGGTAGTAGCTGCCTCGGTTGTAGTGGTCTCGGCAGTGGATGTGAAGGCTGTAGTTGTAGGCTCGGGTTCTTGTCCACACGTGAACTTGATGCCACTGTCCCATCCGTCTCTGTTAGTTTTGGAGACGTCAGCGATGAGAGCTATGGCCTTGAAGCATCCTCCGGACGAGCGGACACGGGAGAAGCCGGCGCAGTCGTCATCTTGGTCACAGAATGAAGCGCACTCAACAATGTCGTTGGAGAACCCTGCGAGTACCAAATTATCAAGCTGGACATCACACAACACTGCCGAGTCACCGGCGCATTGCTTAACCATCGAGGGACAAGTAGGATCAGCCGTTGACAGAGTGGTTGTCGTTGCCGCTTCGGTAGTCGTGGTTTCGGCGGTGGATGTAAAGACTGTGCTGCTGGACTCGGTGGTTTCGCCGCACGTTCCCTTGATGCCAGCTACCCAGCCACCAACATCGGCGGCAAAGATCTCTTGGGTAGTGACAATGAAGCATTCATGCATGTTCTGATTATATGTGAAGGCTCGGCAAGCATTGTCGGAGTTACATTGCTGAGCACATGCGTTCATATCAGCGAGAATGCTAGGGCTGTTCAATCCTCCGAGGAGCACGTCGCACTGAATCTCCATGGTGCCGAGGCATTGGTTGACGTCGGAGGGGCATGATACGACAGGTCCGGGTGCAGCTGTAGTGGTGGTTGCAGCTTCGGTAGTGGTGTCTACGTTTAAGGTGGTGAAAGAAGTGAGGAACGTGGTGAGTTTGGACTCGGTTGTGCTGACATCGGCAGAGGTGGCGCTGGAAGCAGTAGACTCCGCAATGCTCGATTCAACGGTGGTATCGGCCAGAGTGGTAGAGGACTCGATGATCGTGACTGAGGCCGAACCGCTTGCGGAGGCAGTCTCGCTGGAAGCAGTCTCTGTAGCAGACTTGGTAAGGGTCGTTTCCGTGGTCGTGTCAACCAGAGTAGTACTAGACTCAATCACGCTGACGCTGGCGGAACCAGTGCTGCTCGTCACCGACACGATGGAGCTTGCTATGGAGCTCGACCGGCTTTCAGGCTTGCATTTCCCAGCGGAGGCAATGCCAACCGTAGCGGAGAGGATAAGAAAGGAGCGAATGGCGACCATGGTGAAGGTCAAAGAGAAGACAATTGGTAAAGATCGGACGTCAAAGAATTGACAATAGTGGGATGAGATAGAAAGAAAGAAATCAGGAGCGAGGAATCAACAGAAGGCCTTTCTCTCTATGAAATGCCTGTTTTTCTGGTGGCGCTGTCTCCTGAGAGGAAGTCATTTCTTTTTGGATCTAGAGCTGAAAATGGCTTGAGGCTATCGATGATTATAGCGACATTCGGTTACAGAATTGAATAGCGTCAGTTAGCGCACAATATCCTATTTGCTAGTGACATTTATAATCTTAAGCATGATAATCTTCTTTTTACGGATATAAATTATTATTTTCGTATTTTCATGTTTCAAGATAACCGACTTGCTCCGGACGTCACGGATAATCATCCCATGTAATGAAGATTGGTGGTGGCCAGGCGCGATGCGCACTGAGGTTTTGATTGCTAGTCACAAATAACGAGTTCTGGCAACTAATCTAATAATCCGATCTTTGCAACTACTCTACTAGCCCTCAACTATCAAGATCCAGTGCTGAGAGCCTGAGACGTCCAGAACGAGTCAACGATGTGCCCTTGGAAGCGGTGTCACCATTCTGGGTACGTCATCTCGTCGGAACCGGTGCTTACTATGCTCCCCGATGTCCGGCCCCAAGAGGCTTATAAAACCGATCCCCGCCTTGCACGGAATGTACGAATTCAGATCTTCCAGGACAGCAGATCGTCTATCAAGACTACCAGCGATGGCGTCAGAGCTATCAGAGCCACGAGATGTCACCTTTCGAAACTACACTACCGACCAAGCTTCCGACTACGCTGCAGGACGACTCGGTTACACTGACGCTCTTATCGACTTCATTCTCAACTATCATAGATCCACCTATGGAAAGTCTGGCTGCGTGTTGGATGTCGGTTGTGGGCCGGGGACAGCGACTCAAAAGCTTGCACCGCATTTTCATCTAGCTTACGGTGTTGATCCGGGAGATAACATGATCAAAACAGCTATTGCTCTCGGTGGAAAAACTCGCACTGGCGACCCAATTGTATACAGATTGAGCACGGCAGAAGATATTGACAAGATCAAGGAGGTTCCTTACTCTTCTGTCGATATGATAACGGCTGCGACTGCTGTATGTCTATATCTCCTAGGCCAAAGGTCTTCACTAACGGTTTATAGGCTCACTGGTTCGATGTGCCGAGATTCTGGGCCGCAGCAGCTAAAGTGTTGAAACCAGGAGGGACTGTCGCCATATGGACTGTCTTTAGACAACCTGGTATGCAGAAATGCTTCTCTCACTTCTGCTGCATACTAATCGAGATCGTCTAGGTTCATTCAACAAGAACACTGAACTTCAATCCATCTTCAACGATTTCCTGGACGCCCTTGCCCCTTACTCAAGGGCAGGCACCCATCTCACCCAAAGTGGTTATGTCGATCTGCCGATGCCCTGGGATGATCCAGAGACTTCTTCATTCTACGATCAACGAGCATCTGCCCGCCATGTGCTCACTGCTGAAGATGGCTTCATCCCTAACGCGGGCAGGAATGAAAGTAGCCAGAGCAACAGTGATGAGTCCGTGGAAAAGCAAGTCCAGAGAATAGAGAGATTAGTAGGAACATTCGGTTCAGTAAGTCGTTGGCAGAAAGAGAATCCCGAACTCGTTGGAACAGAAGAAGATCCCGCTCGTATCTTAATGAGTAAGGTTCGCAAGGTGTTGGAAGAGAGTGGAGAGCCAATTGAGTTGACGGCTTTGGCGGCCAAGATGGCTGTTGCCTTGATTCTGGTAAAGAGGAAGTGAGCTACTGTTCGGCGCGTCACTCATAGGCAAAGCAATAGAAACATGGACTCTTATGTTACTATTGAAATGTTCTAATCTTACACTCTATCATGGCTTGAGTACCAACATCATGGCGCCCCAGCATCAGTTATTGATCTCCCTGATAGGTCCTATGTACCCGTGCCTCCCCTTCCACAGCCAGTAAACACCCAGCAGCAAGGTCGAGCCACCCCAAACTAGACAGGCATAGTTCATATTCTTAGCAGTGACAGGTAAGGAGTAGGGCAAACAGTAAATGACAAAAGCGATCACCATATACGCGCTCGCGATCGCGTTGACAACAAGGCCCAGCTTTCGACCCATTCGTATCGGCCCATAAACAACATTTCTCCGCCCTGTGAGAAGGTGAGGCAAGACCGCTGCTGTATATGCTGACGAAGACATGAGGACATAGGATCCGATGATAGCATTGAATGCTGTCTTGCTTGCCACGTAGATGCATCCCATCAAGGTGACGAGCACCGCAGAGGCCATGGTGGCATTGATGGGCGCGTCGAACTTGAGGTTGAAGTTGGAAAATACCGACGGCCATGGCGTTGCTCCGTCGCGGCTCAATGTCCACAAGGTTCGTCCACATGTGATGTAAAGACCGATGATGGTTAGGCCAATGCATGTCTGCATGAGTATGAGGAGACAAATCGTGCCGTCGGCTGATCCCGTAGCTTGAAGGTAAATATCTGCAAGCGGAAATTGGCTCGCAAAGATCTTGTCGTAGCTGTGGATGGAATACATGAGAGCGATCAGATAAGAGAAGCCGGTGATGAATCCCGTGATAACCTGAAGGCCCATCGCAAGAGGCACGTTTCTCTGCGGACGGGGTATTTCCTCAGATAGATGACTCACAGCTGCAGGACAACCAACACTGTAAGCGCCGTTCAACATGCCGCAGAGGAATACGATGATGTTAGGGTATCCAAGGTCTGCTTGCCACTCCAGCCACACAAAGGATGAAGTTGCATGGCCACTTCCACCGCTTCGAAGAGGTACAGCTACCAGAACCACGAATGTGATAAGCAGGCCGATCAGGAGCCAGTAGATGCCGAACTGGTTGAGAAGAGGCATTGCACGACCAGCGAAGCAGACCGAAAAGCAGGCCAGCCATGTGGAGATAACAAAGACCACAAAGACGTGTACTTCTTTGACGATGTAGTCGGGATGTTTCAATGCGTAGATCTGGATGATGCTGTTGCTCCAAATAGCAGCCATACTTGCACCAGCGCAAATCCAGCCAAGATAATTCCACCAGCCAGCGAAGAAGCCAACGACCCGGCCGTATCGTTTGCCTGGGGTGACAGAAGCCCAGTAGTATACGCCTGCGCTGGAGGGCATGGCACTGGCGAGCTCGGCGAGGGATGCGGCGACGAAGAAGTAGAAGAATGATACAACGATGAACTCGTATAGGACACCTGTAGCTGGATCAGTTGCTGTATTTAGGATACGGACGTAGCACCGAACGTACCTGGAGATCCACCATTGAAGATAGCAACTTGAATTGAACCGCCGGACGCAGGCCAGACAACCCCAATGATGATGCCTAGACCTGTGAGAGACAAGAGTCCGAAGCTCACTGGTACCTCTTGGGTGTGCTCTGCGACGACAGAGCAGCCATCGTGATTGTCCGATGTAGCCGTGCTGTCAGGGTGTTTCTCTCCAGAGGATTTGTTCTCATCCATTGTGGTCGATGATTGAAAAATTATGGATTCAATTGAGAACGATAACTTGGAAAGCACTTATATACAGGGAGTCCACTTCCAGACATCTTATGTGAACTCGAAGGCTATTCGAGACATGGCCTTATCTATCGCGCTATTACGACGATAAGCAGCCTCAAGATTGCAGACACATATCGCGGTCCAGGTCTCGAATGTCTAAGTTACCATGTCTCTAAAACTAAGTCTAGCCAGGAATTACTAGTATAGGATTGGCCTTATCTATTGCAGACATGTCGAACCATGCTTCCCCGGCGAAATGATCCCAAATGCTAGGTCGACGCGGGGAAGTTCGCGGATGCTCGGTGGTTGATACAACGACCCCAAGGGTATATTCTAGCCGCCCCGTCTTTCCTCATCGGGCTACTAACGTCGCAACCTAATCGGGTTGCAGCGGAAAAGGGCAGTGAATGTAGAGAACATCTGACGTAACGGAGCAGGTATATCCCTTCTCCCCTCATTGGTATTTCTGCAGGTTGAGCACTCTCTTGGAAGTGACTTGGCCAGTAAACGGAACACCAAATTGAATTCTCGCTGGTCAGTTCTACTACACTCGGAAAATGTCTTTCCAGGACTCATCATCAACGTTTCTTGGTCTTGAGAACTGCCATGTGTTCGTCACAGGCGCAGCCGGAGGGGTCGGCGGAGCTGCTGTTAAAGAATTTCTTGGTAAGCGGTCGATTAACCAGGACGATATGCACTCATTCTGGCTAATATTTGCGACCAGTCAACGGATGCCGAGTCACGTCTTTCGACAGGAACCCATTGAATGTCGAGGACCTATCAATCTCTGAGGATCAGAAGCCGAGACTGCACCATATCTCGGGCGATTTAAGAACCGAATCATCCATTGCGCAGGCATTCAAAGAAGCTAGCAACAAGTTCGGCCCAGTCCAAATCCTCATCGCCAACGCTGGCATCACAGACGAGAGCAGTCATCCATCAATCTGGGATATCGACACCGAAAAATGGGACGCAGTGTACTCCGTCAATGTGCGAGGAACTTTTCTCACCATCAAACACTTCCTCCGCTCAGTCAAGCAAGCGCAAGAAGAATCTGGCAAGGAGCTGGACAACGTCGCCATTGTAGTCACCGGCTCTGAAACAGGTGTCTTTGGCCAGGCTGGCCACGCTGAATATGCTTCAGGCAAAGCAGGTCTCCAATATGGTCTTGTCAAAACCGTCAAGAACGAGATCGTGAAGCTCAATTCCAAGGCTCGTATCAATGCTGTTGCGCCTGGGTGGATCAACACTCCGTTGATTGGAGACCGACTAGATGATCCGAAAGAGAGATGGGCTGAGGCCGAAGCGACTGTCGCTCTCCGCAAGATTGCTGAGCCCAGTGATGCAGCTCGTTGCATGGCGTTCTTGGCTTCTCATAGAGCTGCGGGCCATATCACGGGCCAGTGCATATCTGTCGATGGAGGCCAGGAAGGTCGCTTGCTATGGAGAGAGGCACAAGATGATCTTCAGACCAACACCGCAGGCCATTCCTTGACACATAGAGTGGCTTCACCGACTGCCCCCAGTCCTCCTCAGAAACGTCGAAGATTGAGGATCTGTCTCTCTGTCGACTTTGATGCGGTCTCGGGGCTGATCGGAACTGGCCATGTTCCAGAGAACAAACTCGCCGACTACTCAGCTGCCCACTTTGGCGGCAACGTCGGTGTTGATAGACTATTGAGAGTGTTCAGCAAACATGGCATTTCCCAGCAGGTTTCGTGGTTCATCCCAGGCCACTCGATGGAAAGCTACCCTCGACAGACACAAGCCATTGTTGCGAGCGGCGCTGAGATTGGCCTCCATGGGTACAGCCACGAGGGTGCATATTCCTTATCTGAGCAGCAGGAGCGAGACATACTTGTGAAGTGCATCGAACTAGCCACTTCTCTCTGCCAGGGCAAGAAGCCTTTGGGTTACCGAGCTCCTTTGTACGAGATCAGGGAGTCGACAGTTCGCCTACTGGAGGAACATGGGTTTCTCTACGACGCCAGTCTCAATTCTCACGACAGCCTGCCTTACTATCTTCCCAAGACCTTTGCCGAGGGTAATCCAGCAATTCCAGACTACAATCAACTTGCGAGCACGTGGATGAAGCCAATAACCTTGACTGAGCAACCCGAGGCCGGATCACAGGAGGCGGAAACGTCTGTTGTTGAGATTCCAGGTAGTTGGTACACTGAAGACGCTACACCTCTATGCTTCTACCCACATACAGCAACAACCCAAGGTTATGTGAGTACAGATGTCATTGAGAAGATGTGGCTAGACCGTTTTGAATGGCTATGGGAGAATGAGAGCTTTGTGGATGAAGGTCCTGGCGAGGGTTACGGATCGGTCTTCCCGCTTATTCTGCATCCTGAGTGCGCTGGTCGGTCTCATGTTATTGGCATGATTGACAAGTTTATCGCCAAGCTCAAGGAAAAGGCTGGTAGTGCTGCTGAAGGGGAGATTATGTTTGAGTGCATGACAGATATAGCGAAGGCTTGGAAGGCAAGGACGCCTAGCTCATAGATCCAGTAAAGTACTCTTAACAATAGAGATGCAATGTCATTTCTTTATGTTCCCATACTCGTTTCTCTTGTCCCACTTGGCTAGCTATCAATCTGTATTGTACGTAGAGACGCTGATAAGTCATTTGAAGTACTTTGTTGGGTCTAAACAATGAACTACAATGATATCTCATGCCTCAAAGTTGTCGCTAACTGTTTCTGCGTAAATTCCTTAATGTAATTATACAGGTGATCAGCATTACCATAAAGCATCGCCGTCCCTGTTCCACAAAAGCTTCCCACTCTTTCCGCCATTCAATCTCACATTCTGTCCAGTAACTGAAGGAGACCACTTCTCACTCGCCAGTACCAGACACATCTTGGCAATGCCCTCTACATCGACCGCCTTCTTCTGAGCAACCGTCGCCTCAGACTCGATCCACCTTAGTGCACCAGAGCTGTCCTCTGCGCACTCTGCACTGAATCTCTTGGTGTTTACTGCTCCAGGGGAGATAGAGTTGACTCTTGCTGATGGATGAATGCGAGCAGCGTCTGGGGCTAGAGATAGGACGAGGCCGAACTGAACTGCAGCTTTGCTTGCTGCGTAGTCTGGGTTGCCGACGACTCCAAAATCTCCAGCCTCTGAACCGATTATTATCAATGAGATATTCTTTTCTTTGCTCTTGGGAGGTATTTCTGTCGACGAATGTGACCCGTTTATGCCATTCGGTTTCGCACCCCTCTTGTTAGCCATCATCTCCACGTGTTGAAGCCATAGCTTTGCCGTTATAAAAGTTCCTGTTGTATTCTATTCAATAATTAGAGGCCGCCTTCCAACCTGCCGAATAAGCATCTCAACTTACTATATCGAGAATTCTGCGAAATTGACTTGTCGGCATCTTTGTAATAGACGAATGGTGCTCGATGAAGCTAAGATCAACAGCAGCTGCGCAGACACAAATCGTAGGAGTCGCATTAAACCGTTCTTCCACGCTCTTCCATGCGCCGATCATGCCATCCTCATCGGTGGTGTCGACCGCAACCCAGAAGAGGTTCTCGTGTTGCTTGACAAACTTGGACTTGTCGATTTCGAAGCCACCGACGAAACAGCCAGCGCTTAGAAAGGCTTGGACAATGACCTGGCCTATCTGTCCGCCTGCTCCAGTGACAACGACCACATCGCCATGAAGATCTAGTCCGAGATCCATTATTGGTGTTCTGTGCTGAGACTTGGTGGCGGAGACGAGGGGACATGTGAGGTCAGCCAATGTGATAGCCGTTTGATTGACTGATGCGATTTCTTTGCCACTGACACGATCGTTTGCGCTGGTTCAAGGTATGTTCGCCACGCCAAGTAGAAAAAGCACCTGGTCGATCATGCGCGTCTCCTCGCTTGGGTTTGTTATCTCTTCAGCTCATAGCGTGAATCCGGATCGATTAGCTTGGCTCTTCGCCGCTCACTTCTGGCCCGCAGACTAGCTTCGTTTTGCCCAATGGAGCAAGACTTGCAACAGGCTTTACAGGGATCGCGAAGAAGTGGAGTTTAGACCGCTTACGCTACTGTAAATGCGGGACCGCCTGGAATAGCTCAAAAGGGTAATTCTGTTGGCGATCACGCCCTACTAGGTACTTCGTACCGGTAATTTGTTGACTTACCAGGTGGCAGCATTCTGGGGCGGAGACTACCCGTAGCACCGACGGAGCTCGAAGGGGAGAAGTGTTCAGTTGAACATGATAAATGAATGTGATTTTGGCCTAAGGCTATTATCATTTAGGGCAGCTGCTTGCCCAGGCCTTGAGAAGATAATGCCTACCCTGCAATACCCTCTCTAACAGCCATTTGTTCATGATTTTATCTGCCAATTATTTCAGGAACTTGGAAGATCGAGAAAGTTCAATTACTTGCATCAAGATTTATAGTATTTATTTGAATATTTATTTTACTTAATTTCTTCACACTGAACGGAACGTACAATAAGTTGTAATGTTCTTTCTAACAATGAGTTTCAATGTACTTCGCTTTGACTCATATGTCAAATTGTACATGTGCTGACAATGACGAGCAGTTAAGCTTAGAGAATCATAGCTCATCCTTACTAGCCTTGTCCGACCTTCCTAGATCTTGTAGCCCTCTCTTAACCATCGATGTCAAAATCTCATAAACGACCTGTGCAGCCGCAAAAGTCGTCTCTTCGCCAGCTCCTTGATAAATGGGCGAAACCTCCACGACATCAGCGCCGACCAAGTTCAGACCCTCGATGCCTCGAAGAATGTTGATGAACTCTCTGGTAGACCAACCACCTGGCTCAGGCGTGCCAGTTCCGGGCGCAAAGGCTGGGTCAAGGACGTCAATGTCAACTGAGAGGTAGACCAGATTCTCGGTGCCAAGAATCTTCATTATGCCATCGATTATGCCTTGGGTACCAATTTTGTCGATATCGTCAGCTGAGAACCGGATCCAGTTCTGCGCAGTGTCATCTTCGTTATCTTGGATGCCAGTGAGTCGTGTTCGCAAGCCTGCGTGAACTGAAGGATGGGATGATGAGTTGGAGAGAAGCCCTTCCTGGTTGGCTAGCCAGAACATGGATCCGTGGTTGAAAGGCGTTGTTCCCCAGTAAGAGGGATATGCGTGAGGGTTCCAAGTGTCCAGATGGGCTGTATGCGTCAGCAAGAAACGTGCATGTGTAGGCGTGCTCACATACCATCGAAATGAAGTACTTGGATCTCACGATCTCCATAGACCTTCTTCAAAGCCCTAAGGGCAGGCAAAGTCAAGCTATGATCGCCACCGAGCGTGAAGAGCTTGGGCTTTGACGAAATAGACGATACAGTTCTGCGCATTCCCAATTGCTCTAGCGCCTGCGTCATCTGTTTCTGCGCAATATCATTGTCAATAGGTGTTATAGGGATATCTCCGCAGTCCACGATCTTAGCCCAGTTTTGATATGGATTAATGTCTGCTCGGGGATTGTAGCCGCGGAGTGAGTGCTGACGCCCTGAGGCATGACGAATGCTGCGTGGACCGAATCGTGCGCCAGGTCGATACGTCACAGCGGTGTCGAACGGAGCGCCAATAATAGCAATGTCGTAAGGTTCGGTTGGCTCTGTCAGACATTTGACGTGATTCAGGTGGGCGAAAGTGCCAATGCCGCCGAATGCCCACTATATCTAATTGTAAGCCACGATGTTTTGAGCGATTATAAGATGGAAGCCCTCACGTCGAAACCCCATTTTGCCTCAAGCTCGGCCAACTCTTCAGCAGTCCATTTCTTATCGTCGTGATGGTGGTTGCACCCAAGGGTCAGCCCTGTGAGGGAGAGAACTGGAAGTAGACGCTCGAATCTCATTATCGTTGACTAATTTCGCTTACTTAGACCTTTGCTATTTTACTTATATCAACAAGAGCCTTATTTATGGTCATGGGCGAGCTTTTTCTCCGCCAAACGTTGAAATAACCGGCCGGCTCGATAAGCATGTGAGTTGTGACTGGGCGGCTCGTATAGCGGAGCATCAGCGTAACGACTTACTAAAAGAGGATATTCCAGGCTAGTCACGCTCTGTCCTAGGCTAGCTAGGCGAGGTACCTCCACTGCAGAGACGGTCTGTGGCATGACAATCGCATTACTCCCTTGTGTGACATTCTGCGCCGATTACAGTTAGATTAAGCGGCCAAGACATCTCTGAATTGAGGCATTTCGCATTTCCCAGATGATGGCTGATAATTACTGTTCATGTTTTGCACCGGAACTAATACCAATTATGCCATAAAAGTCTCCCAGTTATTCTGCATCATCACATCCATCCAGTACGCAGGTCGTCCTGAACTCCCAGAACGATTATCTGTCTCCGCCCACGTAGCTTCAACAATATCGATACATCGCTGGATTGGGTTCTTCGGTAGAGAATGCAACAGAAGCTGTAGTCGACCCCTCAAGAATCCCCGCGCCCGGTGCACATCAGCCGCCACTAGAGCCAACGAGTTCCCCAAACCCGCCATGCTCTGCGGAGAAGCCGATACTTGAACAACTGGAATTGTAAGTGCACTGCATACAGCGACGATCAAGAATGGATGAAAGTCCTTGGTCCCAGATTCAGCAGGTATTGAACGGAGGATTTCGACGGCCTTGAGCGTGAACTGTCTCAGTCTCTCCTCCGCTTCATGCGCGGATATTTCGGCGACTTCTCCCCCAGCATGTGAGTTCTGGAGGTTCATCCGCGATACAAGAGTGTCGGGAAAGACGTGATATAGCTGAATAAGACCAACGAAACGGTATACTTCTGCGAGAGCTGTGAGATGCCAGGTCGGTGTCTGTGAGTCTCCCGTTTGCACTATCGCCGACTCCAACGGAACTTGCAGGTTGGTGAGAAATACCTCTAGTTCCGCGGCTTCGTCAACCTCGCGATGTGCCTCTAGAATACTCTCCCGGGTGAGGAATTGCTTGGACATGGCGCGACGACGATTTCTTCTGACCAAACGACCGACCCTTGCGAGAGTAGAATGGATATCGTGCGCGACTCCAGTTACGGGATGGGGGATCTGGACAACGGGGAATATTGATCCAGGTTCTGGGTCTTGGTCTGCCGTCCTGACCAAGTTAGAAACCATTCAGTCGTGACTGTCCAGTGAACTTACAACAGCGGGAAATGCGGCGTGTCGAAAATTTCGTTTTCGTCGTTATCGACAACAAAGGCTAGAAACATTTCCCAGCACGCCAAAGTGTTCTCGAAAAAGGCTTGACTATGCCCCGTTGGCGACATGCGACCCGAAGTCTTCAAACTCTGTACATATTTCTTGAGGCGGCGAAAATACTCGGATCCGGTGTCATTGACGTCGAACCAACTAGCTGTTCCACCGATCATGAATAACGCAATCAGCGCCTGCTCATGGATTACAGAGTCATCGAGGTCGTTCAGAAGATGGATAGCCTTTTGTCGGAAATACAGCCCGGTACGTAGCAACTGGGGATAGACGTTGGAGAGGAATGACGCAGCCATGCTCTGTAGTGTACAGTAGATGAGCTCAGAGGATGCCCATGCGCGAGAGACCGTTGATCGGAACGGATTCATCTCGCTGTCGTATAGGGCTAGTATAGCGGCTGTGTCTTTAAAGTAGTACTCGACAAGAATGGTACTGTAATCGTTGAATGGTCGATCGACAACTGTTGAAGTGTAAGGCTGAGGCGTCTCTACGACCTGAACTGGTTGAGATGAGACGGTTTGCTGTTGGTTCGTATCCATCGGTAAAGATGCTATGGGTGATGCTATAACATCCTGCTCTTGTTGCAATTTCTCTCCTGGGCTTAAACCCGCCGTCTCGGCTGCAGTGCCGAAATCGTCTGCCATTTGCAGAAGTTCTGGCGTCTGGGTTGATGTAGTGCTAGCGTTCGGTATGAGGCCAAATGACATGAGCTCAGGCAGCATGCCTGCAAATGCTTCATCAATCCAGGCATTATCATCGTGGCTAGGAGAAAGTGCATAATTTCCGTCCACAGCCGGAGTGTCAAATACCGATGGTAATGAAGAGAAATTTGAGTCGGGGAGAGTGGCTTCCGGCTGTTCTGGAGTGGCTGGGTGTCTAGTCGTTGATGACTGCTTCGTATGTGTCGTTCGTCTTTGGATTCTGTTACTAAGTCGTGCTTGGTGCTTTTGCGACCATCTCAGACGAATGATGGGCCCAGAACAGTTCATATCGAGGCGAGTACATCTGCCGCAAGATGGCCAAATCTCGTCGCACTTCAGCTGTCATGATGAATCTGTCAGCGCATCATCGTCAATAGCATCGTTAATTTTTACCCGTTGGGACTTGCATGCGGCGCACCCACTGCGTGATCTAGCCCCGCTGGACATTTTGAGCGCACTAGATACGTAATTAGGGTTGTCAAGTTTTTGTCAATTGGGTTGATACAGCTGGATCATCGCCAAAGAATGATCATCATATGAGAGTGTGTAGGAGCATGGTCAGAGCTGGCTTTGTGGGGAAGCACAAGCTAAATACGTCCGGATTCGGAGTGACATTGGGCCCTGACTCAAGCCATTTAGCGTGCTCAGTCTTACGCTACAGTATCCCAGTCGCCCTGACCCACGCTATCCGATAACCGCCCGTAGGTAATCAGTAGCCTATCTCGCTATCAGGATGAGATAGCAAGGAGCAGATCTGATTTGGGAGAATGAATATTTTACTAAATTTCTTGATCAAAATATTGCAGACATGCTAACCCAAAGTCACTCTTACATTTTCTGGATTATTTCCCTCCCAAGCTTCCGCCAACACGCGTCCACATCCAGCCCTATATGCCACTTTATTATCCCCGCGCTGAACCCATAAAACGTTGTAGAACTGGTACTCCTGATCATCCTTATACTCCAGCAGTTCTAGATCCTTCTTGTAGTCCCCCTTAGCACAAACTACATAGGTTTCGTCTGAGTCTTGCTGATCGTCACTAACAATCCATCGCCCAGCAGAATCATACGCAGCGTGGAAATGCATCCCATTCGCATCCCTGTGCTTGAATGGCCACAACCCTGTCCCATTGGTCCCATACGTACTTTTCCGCAAAACTTTCTCCTCAAAGCAGGTCCGCATATATCTTCCATCTGCACTGCCCTTTGAGATTGCAATAAGTTCGATGAGCTCTTTCGGGTTACACTTCGCATTGCCTGTAATCCGTAGTAGGCCTGAAAGTTTCCTCTTTGAGTTTCGCAGAACCACTACATCGGGCATTTCGTGCAGGTATGTCTGGGTCAGGGTCGGGTTTTTGGCTGCTGTCAAGAATGCCGAATACTCACGGATGCTAAATCGCACTTTGCAAATCTCTAAAGTGGCTGCGGGAAGAAAGAAGGCTCGTGACACCTGAGCCGAAATCAGGTTACATGACAGTGCAGGTCGCTCGGGACTTTTTGCTGGTAGTTCCCAGGCGACAGGGTCTTGCAGTCTCCAGGTTTCGGTGGTTTCTCTGTCGCGCCTATTTTGGTCGTTATTCATCGCTGGTTCCAAGCTCTGCGGGTCAACGAAACATTGCCATCCGCACCATGCCCAGGAGGGGAGCGAAGGTCTTCGGACTGAGTGTCCGGTCCCATAGCAGCCGCCCTTTAGCGGTTGCCAGAGAAGGGCATAGTCCAGGTAAAGCCTCGGGAGCCCGAATACGAAGCCCCCTGGGAATGCGGGAGCTAAATGGCTCAAGATTCCTTGGCATGCTGAGAGACCATCCTTCTCATATGATAACTCTCGTCCGTTGTAGGGGCAGATCAAGTCCACATACATCCCAAGGTCGGGCCAAGTCGGTGCTAGAAACTGCCTCATTGGTGCCAAGTCCAATAACATCATAGCCTGCGTATGATCGCCCTCTTCCGGCCGAAGAACATCTGAGTCCCAGGTTGCACACTCGCATTGCCAGAATATTCGAGTGTTCAGGAAGAAGACAACCCGCTTACTTAGGATGTATTCCTGGTATGTCCAGGCTCTTTTCGCCCATTCAGATAACGAAACTTCCCAGTAGTAAAACTTGATGCGGTCTTCCCTTTTCATGCTGTCAGTGCGAGCTCCCATGTGAAAATGTGCCGTGCTCCTCTCAAATCTAGGACAGAAGATTGTCTGCTCAGGTGAAGAAAGCATTCCATAGTCGGCTGCGGCAATTATTGTCAGGTAGGCACCAGAGTAGACACGGTCCATTGATGCTACCTCCGATGCTTTTTCAGGATCATCCTGAATAATGCAGAGCCTGTCCACCCATAGATATCTTTTCCCAATTGCTCCCGTTAACTCCATAGCATCCAAGATGACTTTTGGAATCTTTGAATTTTGTTGATCCAGTGCGTTGGCCAAAGTCAGCAAGTCAATGTTGTTACGGAGCAGCTGCAACTCGGCCCCGCTGACCATCTCACTTGTCTTGTTGCGCCAAGTGTAGCTGAGAGCGACATACTCGGCTGAACTGCTTCCTCGTACTAAGCAACGATCTTTGATATCAACCAACCAAGAGGTTGTCGATTGTTTGCTTTGGGCTGAACACGGCTTGGAGCAGGTACCAGTGTGGTGCGTGTCGCAGGTTGAGAGCCACTCTTTAATTGACTGGATGACAGTTGGACCATTATTAGAGGCAATATTGTCGTCCATCGTCGTATGCCACGGCTTTCAATTATGAGAGATTAATATCTGTCAGCTGAAGGGTGGTGATACTCGGGTAGTCGGACGGCTTACATGTTTGCAAATACATATAGCTTCTCCATTGTTAGGCATTAATGCGCTAAGAATTTTATCTGCAACATCACCTCAGAATCATGGCTGTGAAAGAGGCTGGACAGAGGCGCAGGCCAGCAGCTTTCACTTTTGCAGCTGGCTTATCCCAGTGCTCATTACATACAGGGATACCTGTGCGAGCCTATCAGCTACACCATCCTGTTACAAATACTTGGAGGGGCCTCAAAAATCAGGCTGTGCAACTGAGACATGCAGGTTTCCAAGACCCCTCTCCCCCGTCTTTCCGTCTGACATCCCTTGCTTCGTTCTGATCATCTTCCTCTGAACTCTACAAACCCATACAGCCTAAAATCTCTAGCAAGGTGTGCACAAGACCGCTGCCTGCTCATACCATTACAGAGCGCACAGGCGCAATAGGCCTACACGTTCTCAGTGCTCAGCCCACCCCGAAATCATGGCTCATCAGCCTCAGAAACGACGCTTGACCCTGAGGAGTGATGTAGGCCATGGAAAACACAAGTCGCAGAGAAGATCTTCCGTTTCCTATGAACGATATACAATCGCCTGGATCTGTGCACTGCCAAAGGAAATGACCGCAGCTCGAGCTGTGTTGGACGATGTCCATGAACCCTTACCCAGGCAGAAGAATGACACCAATTCGTATATACTTGGCAACATAGGCAGCCATAATATTGCTATCGCGTGTTTGCCAACCAATGAGTATGGAACGGATAATGCGGTAAACGTGTTGACCAATCTTACCCGCACCTTCACATCCATTTATCTTAGCCTCATGGTTGGGATTGGCGGCGGGGTCCCCAGTGAGGACTTAGACATTCGTTTAGGCGATATAGTTGTTGGTACTCGCGTGGTGCAGCACGATCTCGGGAAGATCATGGGAAGTGGGCAAATCCAACATACTGCAGTCCCGAGGACTTTGGCTCAACTCATTGGCAAAGCCTTGTCGTGCTTACAATCTGAGCATCAACCGCATAGCAGCCGAATTCTCCTCATATTGAAAGAAAAGTTCAGAGCGTATCCAGCCTACGCCCGTCCAACTACAGCAGATCGTCTTTTCGCCTCAGTATATGAACACATATCTCAAGCATCAAGCTGCGATGATTGCAGCCCTTCCGCACTGGTACGGAGAAGTGAGCGGAGCACAGATAATCCATATATCTATTATGGTACCATCGCCTCAGGCAACCAAGTTATGAAAAACTCGACTGTCCGCGACAGGGTCGCCCAAGAACTCAATATCATTTGTTTTGAGATGGAAGCGGCTGGACTTAACGATATATGTCCCTGTCTATCAGTACGGGGAATCTGTGATTATTCCGACTCTCATAAGAGCAAGGAATGGCAAGAATATGCTGCCGCCACCGCTGCCGCATTTGCAAGAGAATTCCTGGAAAAGCTGCCTCCTACAGAAGAAATCTTTGCAAGCACACCGGAGAGTGTCCAAGAACAGGACGATTGGCTTCGGAACGAAAAGTACAGCAAGCTTTTGCGCGATCTGCGCGAAACTGACCCTCGTGATGACAAGAGCCGTATCGAAGAAAGAAAAGGTGGGCTGCTTGAGGGTGCGTACCGCTGGATTCTTCAAAACGAGAAATTCCAAGAATGGTATGACGCTTCACAGAGTCAGCTCCTCTGGATCAAAGGTGACCCTGGCAAGGGTAAAACAATGTTACTATGTGGACTCATCAATGAGCTTCAGAAAGAACACCGCGGATTCTTATCTTACTTCTTTTGCCAAGCCACCGAAGCACGGCTAAGTAACGCGACAGCTGTTCTCCGTGGTCTGGTCTACCTTCTTCTTATTCAACGCCCTTCGCTCATTTCTCACATCGAGGAGAAGTATGATCATGGGGGCAAGCAGCTTTTTGAGGATGGCAATGCATGGCAAGCTCTATCCAAGATCTTCACGACAATGCTTGAGGATCCAGTACTAGATGGCGTGCTCCTGATTGTTGATGCTCTTGATGAGTGTACAACGGACCAAGAGAAGCTTCTTGACTTGATAATCAAGTCTAAGAATGTCAAGTGGATCTTGACTAGTCGCAACTGGTTGGAAATCGAACAGGTGCTAGATCGTTCTACGCAGAAAGTCAGGCTACATCTTGAGCTGAATCAAGACTCAATTTCTAAGGCCGTTGAAGCATTCATAGAATGGAAAGTTGAGAAGTTGGCTACAGAAAAGAAGTACGACGCAAAGCTCAAAAGGGACGTGATGAACTACTTAGTTGACAATGCTGATGGCACGTTCCTTTGGGCCGCTTTGGTTTGTCAAGAACTTTCAGATGGCAAGGTACTCCGCAAATGTCACACCCGCAAGAGGCTGGAGGCATTCCCAAAGGGTCTTGACTCACTGTACAGAAGAATGATGGAATACATCTCTTCTTTAGATGATGAAGAGATATGTAGAGAGATACTAGCTCTTGTGTCTGTCGTCTATCGACCAGTGACCTTGACTGAGTTAGAAACTCTTCTAGGGTCACAGTACGATGGTGGAGATGGTGACCTACGAGAGGTCATCGGTTGTTGTGGTTCTTTCCTGACATTGAAGGGAGATGCGATCTATTTCCTGCATCAGTCGGCGAAAGACTTCTTGGTCAACAAGGCGTTAGACCAGATTTCCCCTTCAGGCCTTGCCTACCAACATGGACTTGTCTTCGAGAGGTCGTTGCAGGCACTATCGGAGACTCTGAGACGTGATATCTGTCAGCTCGATGATCCAGGGTTCGACATCGATGACATCTCACCGGATGACCTTGAGCCATTGGATGTCATTCGATACTCTTGCGTTTATTGGGTAGACCATCTCCACGACTCGGAACCCACCATACTCGAAGATTCTCTGAGAATCGACGGTGATATTCATTTGTTCGTCGAGACAATGTATTTATACTGGCTGGAATCTCTCGGTCTGTTGGGTAGCATAGTAGAAGGAGTCAAGGCAATGTACAAGCTCGAGGCTCTGGCTGCTGTGAGTTATTCAGACCATATCTTGGAAGCAATCTAACAATTACACCCAGAGATTCAGTGTGCCAGACTCAGTCACAAAGCTGCTTCAGGATGCTCGCCGTTTTATCCTCGCCCATAAGCGATCGATCGAGATCGCCCCATTGCAAGCTTATGCCTCAGCACTAGTCTTTAGTCCAGAGCGTAGCCTCATTCGAGAGCGATTCAAGCATGAAGAGCCAGACTGGATAGTTCTGAAGCCAAAGATGGACGAGAACTGGGATAATTGCCTACAAAGCCTTGAGGGTCATATCCACTGGGTAACATCAGTGGCTGTCTCACCAGATAGCCAGCTTATTGCATCGGCCGGAATCGACAAGACAGTTAAAATATGGGATATAACAACAGGCGTATGTCGACATACTCTTGAAGGCCATGAGGGCCGTGTCAATTCTGTCACCTTCCTGCCAGATGGAAGAATTCTCGCATCGAGTTTATACACTATTAGGATATGGGACACGAAAACTGAATTATGTCTACAGACGTTAGAGGGTCACGACGGATTTGTGAACTCCGTGGCTTCTTCTCCAGACGGTCGGTATCTGGCTTCGGGATCTGATGATCAGACAATTAAGATCTGGAGTTCAAAAACTGGAAAATGTCTAAAGATTCTTAAGGGCCACTCTGGCTGGGTTACCTCAGTAGCCTTCTCGCCAAATAACCAGCGCCTTGTATCAGGATCGTTTGATAAGACAGTTAAGATCTGGGATATGAAATCATTCTCATGTCTACAGACACTACAGGCTCACAATGGTGGAGTAATATCAGCAACCTTCTCGCCAGATGGTAAGCGTCTTGCGTCAGTCTCGTCGAATGATGGGATCAAACTCTGGGACGCGGTAAAAGACTGTGGTCTTCCGATTCTAGAAATATGGTCACCTTGTGGGATAACAATAGCTTTCTCAGCGGATGGTGAACATCTCGCTTTAGGTGGGAGCAATTCAGTGGTAAACCTATTCGGTGCAGAAAGCGGCACAGTCATGCAGACTCTGAAGGGCTTCGATGGTCCAGTAAGGTCTGTGGCCTTCACGGCTAATGGGCAGCATCTTCTATCGAGCTCAGAGGATGGTTTAGTCAAGATCTGGGCTGTATTAATCGACTCATCTACGCCATCAGATGGAGAGCATTATGAGAGCGTGCAATCTATCGCCATTTCGCCAGATGGCTTGCGAGTCGTATCAGCATCAGCTGATGAGACTGTCAAGATCTGGGAGGCCGAAACAGGAGCATGCCTACAGAAACTTGAAGGCCATTGCGGGGTAATAAACTTTGTGACCTTTTCTGCGGATAACAAACGCTTAGCGTCATGTTCAGATGATTGCACAATTAAGGTCTGGGATACTGTTGTCGGTACATGCCTCTATACATTTGAAGACGATGGGAGGGTACACTCAGTGGCCTTCTCAGCGGATGATCGATATCTTGTATCAGGCTCAAACAAAAACAGTGGAAGCACAGCCAAGATCTGGGATGTAGCAACGGGTGAATGCTTGGATTCATTTGAGCAAAACCATGGAGTATCCTCGGTAGCCCTCTCAGCCGACAATCTCGCAACCGGCTCAGACGACGCGACGATTAGAATTTGGACGATCGGGGACCACAAATTCAAAATGCTACATGGACATACCGAAACAATATCATCAGTAGCCTTCTCAGCGGATTCCCAATATCTAGCATCAGGCTCGTACGATTACCAAGCCAGGGTCTGGGATTTGGAAAAATGCCTATGTCTACACATCATATACGTCGGTACAGCACTATATCGTCTATCTTTCGATTTACGGATAAACTCCCTACTCTACACGGACATCGGTGTTCTGAACTTGAAAGTACCAAACCCAACGCCTAGGGTTGATGCAGAGTCACTTGGCATAACTGCCTTACCAGATTTTGATGGGTCCGCTCACTGTATTAAGATTGATGGAGAATGGATTGTGAAAAATGGCGAAAAGGTGCTATGGCTCCCTCCTAATTATCGTCCTGCGTCATCGGCTGTTTTTAAATCAACTGTGGCTGCCGGTTATGAGTCAGGCCGCGTAATAATAATGAGGTTTTCTGAGGACAGAGATAGTTGGCAGTTCGACTAGGTAGTTGGCTTTATATATTATTGTGTTGTATAATGTATAACTATAAAGTAAAATGGAGATTACGATAGAACAAAAGATCATCATGAAATCGAGCAAGCTCCAGATCAAAAGTCGCTCGACCTTTTTCATCTAACTGTGCTCCATCGTGCGATATTGACAGAGGCTCTCCAACATCTTGAGATTCTAGGCAGTTGCCAATAGCGCCATCCTCAGGAAGCCAGAGTTTCGGTTTCGGAAGCCATGTCTCTGGAGGCTGATAGCAACTTGGCCCGTACAAGGCCATGAACTCATCCTCAGTATGGTTTGGTGAAATATCATTCTGAAAATCCTCAAAAGCCGATGTGCGGAACCAGCTTCCACACATGCGGTGTTTGACCTTTCTTTGAGTGCTCCAAAAGCTCTTGTTGAATGTTGATGGTGAAAGATCCCTCAGACTCTCTGTTGAAGCCACAACGTTTGAAGATGATCCACATTGGTCAAGGCCTCTAGCCGCACTATCCTCGCCCAGGTAAGACCCCTTAGATGCGCCGTCATGATCGAGCGTGCTGAAGCTATCAATGCGAGGATTCATAGCTTTCCGTAGGGACAGGTGAATAAAAACAGTGAAAATGGCCAGCAACACGAGCAGAGAAAACCGGCCCCACGCGCCAGATCTGAGAAACAGCAGAATGAAATAGGCCTGGTCTAAATATAGCCCAAGTAGTATATGCATTATTGCTCGAGGGTAAAACCGTCCGGTCGTATCGAGAGTTTCAGTATCATATATATGGACCAAGGTATATTTGTAAACGAAGTACACAAATCCGAGGCCCGTTAGGGCGAAGACGAGGATGAGTGGTGCAATGCAAGCATAACTAATGGCTGCGGAAGGTTAGTGATGTCTGAGATCTTTGTGGTTTGAGATACTTGCCGATAACCCCAACAGTTGTCACTACAGGATAAACACTGCCCCAATGAACTACATCGAGTTCACAAAACCTCTTGTAGGTCGTCCGAGGTGTTCCAGGACGTTTCTTTCGACCCACGTTGAGGAACAGCTGCCATAGCTGAATGAGCTCTGTAGCACCAGCCGAGAGGCACCGAACCAAGATATATGACATGTACAAGTTAGAAGCCTTGGGCACATCTGCATGCAAGAAGCTGTAGTCGAGGAACGACCTGGTGGGCATAATGGGCCTAGTCCGGATCATTGGACCAAGGAATATTTGTAGTGCTTGGAAGATGATGTATCGTTTGTGAACAAAGTGTTCCATATCGGTCAGAGTAGGAACTCCTGCAAGCTTGGCACATAGTCTCATGAGAAATGGGACGAACTCAAGCAAGATCCACATGAGGAGTGCTCGTCCCAAGCCAGATATGGCATTGACCGCTAATGGAGGAAGCTCCGAAACACCGGGCACTCTACCTACCATTGGTGCAGATGTTGCGAACTCTACAAGGGCAATGGGCATGATCCAGACGATAATACATCCACCGATCAAGATTGCCACCACAAATTCTCGTAAAAGGCGCTCCCACCATTTGACTCTTAGACTGCTCCAGATAATTTCACCAGGCTTGATGCCCATGATTTGTCGACACATTTGCAGTGGCTGATGCTGGGGAATTGATTGGAATGCAGCCTGAGCATTGGCAAAGGAGTCGAACTCGATGAATGCCGCATTCATGTGCTTTCCCTGGCCAGCTTCGTATTCCTGGCGTAACTTATCAATCTGTTGGTTGAGGACGTGCAGATCCGATCGAGTCGACCTGATTTTACCAGATTCAGGATTGGACGGCTCAAATGCTAGGTTTGAACTTTCGTGGTTCGATATTTGTACTTTGCCAGGCTGAATATCCACGTGTCGTGTTTTTCTGGATGTCCTCTGGAAAAGCCTAACCTTCTCCACGTCAGGCTCGTTAGATCGTCTTTGTCTTATCCAGTTGAAATTGAGGGGACTGGACCATCGATATAGTCTTCCGCGAATCCCATCATTGATTCGGGCAACTTCTTCGTCTTGTAATTGTTGTGCCCTTTTCTCCCTCTTCTTGACCAGTTTCCTCAACCTCCTTGCGGCTCGTGGTATCCAGCATTGAACGAACGAATGGCCAAACAGCTTTTGGAAAACCTTTTCATTCAGACAGTGCTCAGGTATCGAGGTAATAAGGATGGTTCTGGATGTTCTTCGCTCGTAGTAGCCTGATTGTGAGAGGTAGAAATGTCGTAAGTTGATATAATAAAGGTTTTCCCGCCACAGGATGTACAGGACAAAGGCTGGGATTTGGTCAGACCTGTCCGGCTCGGTATGATAAGGAACTTGCCTGTGAATACCCAGGATATGACTACATGGGCATAAAGCTGATCGGGGTTCTTCAGGTTCATTATGGTTAACGAATTGAGAAGTGGCAAGTGTGAACCCGTCGCGTGTATCGGAAGTATGACCGGCCAAGTGAGGACGATGCCAACGAAGCAGATAAGACTCAGAACTCTGAGATATCTCAGAAACAGAAACCCATCTAAAGAGCATTTCGAAATTATGTAGGAATCTGGGGCTCGAAAAGAGGAGATCCAGCCACTTGGTAGCCCGAATATAGATGACCTATAATAGTAAGCATAGCGACCTCGGCGTTTCCATTGACTTGGTCACCTAGATAGTGGGTTTGTGCTCTTGGGGGAGTATATTCTCGGTATGCGTCGACGAAGAATGAAGAATAGAAGTAAGCACAATATCGTGTAGATAATTGTAGGACCAGCAGCTATCAGGAGAGGGCCAACCGGGCCCCTTAGCAATGCGGGTAAGGAAGCTCTATACGTGCCTCCTGAAGCTCCGTCTCTCACTCCGTCTCTGTCTTCTCCGACCCGAGTATCGTTGCCCTCCGAGCGAAGCTATAATATTATCAATACTCAATTCGAAGCTTTGATCGTTCGAGTCAACATACCTCTAACATTCTGTGAACTGTAACAGAAGTGTCATAAACAATGACAACTTAGCTAGTTCTATACAGAATGTGGCGGAAAAAATTGTGATAAAAAGAGAAAAGCTTCCTGGCATTTTCTGTCCTCGTATTCTCAACCCTGCTTACATCTGCCAAGCCAGTGTAACCTTGATCCTGGTGTTCTTGAGTGGTCAGATCACCGCAAGGAGATTTGACCCCCGCATAGCTGAAAGGTGCATCGGCTGTCAGCACAGCCGCCGATCGACAAGCCAGTAACAGCTTGAAAGTGCCTCAACGATGCAATCGAAACAGGGATATGGGATATCATTACATATAACATCATGTGCAATTAAACAGTGTCGCAGATGCCTGGAAGCTGTAATACGGCATTCGCTCCCCGAAGGCAAGATCATCAGTAAGCTTGAATATTATCTGCGTCTGCCCATTTAACGCTATCTAAGGTAAACTTCCGCCAATCGGGCGAAAGATTGTGGTCGACGCTCGATTCTAATGCGTCGTTTTGTAACTTCCGATTAATGGAGCGATTGAAGGAAAGGTGGCTGTAATGTTCCACGGCTATGTCTATACGAATTATGACAGGCGACAACGTGGAGACCGCCCGAGCAGTAGCTAAGTAGATTGGTATCCTTCAGAGTAACGGCATTTCGATGGGGGGTCCAGTCTACCGGTCTATGAATAGACATTCGCACAAAGCCATACTAGCTAGTCTTATTTCGGTGACGTTAGGGTCATCGCCTCTATCTTTTGGGTGTATTATTGCGTTTGCTGCCGGATGTCCAGGTTGACAAGCTTATACCTGAGTTCCTGAAGCGCAGGCAGTTGCAGTGCCAACCGTCCCTCATTGTTGACTATCAATGTTTGAATGGTGCATTCAAGCCAACATGCAAGTGCCCTAAAGAGCAGATTGATAAATTGTACAAGTTAGACTGATGCATCCCGTCCTGCTCAAGGCCTGGGGTCGGCTTGGAAACCATGGCAGTCTACTTGCGATGGTTGAATGCAATTTGCTGGGAAGCACACAGGACATTATTGACAATATACGCGCCTTCAGATACAGCATAATGTTGATAGACAACTTGTTGTAAGTGGAATTGTAGCAGCCAACGAATCCCTTAGCACTTAATGAGTAGAGCGAGGCTGAAGCGTCGTGAAAGCAGCCTATACTAAAGCAAGGTGCTTATTGTAAATAGATGGCTTAGCTTAGAAAGAGCCTACAAGCAATGTGTAAAGTCAATGTGAGCGATATAGGACGGACTAAAGGGCAGTCAGAAATATATAGGGATTTCTAGTTGATCCCAGAAAGAAAGTCTATTGTTGCAGCTTCAACAATGGCTTTAGACTGTATGTTATGAACCATATTAATATATCTGCTAGAGAATGGCATCAACAATCTGTTGCCTTCTAGATATCCCTCGTCATATAGTTCCCACATGTCCTCCAGGGCTGTTGAACTAGACGCAGAGCCAATTCCCGAATCCGTCGGAGACGAATACTTTTGACAGTGACGAACAATCCATGACGACCGAATTACATTGCCATTTACGGCCGTCACACGCAGACGAACTCCATCAGGTATAGACTTGTAAACAATAGGCCACTGCATCCGCGCCCTGAGTCCAGGGATCAGCGCGTACACCTCGTCAACATAGTATGTCCTGACCGTCTCGTCGTAAGGTCCAATGAACGGATCGTCAGCGATTGATGCTGGTAGAGTAGAGATTTCCATAAAGGTGACTACTGAAAAGTTGTGTTTGAGGGTTGTAGTATATCTCTGAAGCCAGCCAATGAGGAATTGAGGCGGCAGGCTGGCAGGGAGGGGAATTGTGACTGAAAAATGGTGTTGCACCCGCATTTGTGGATCTGGTTCCTTGATTCAATTTGATCAGCAGTTGTTAAGCGCGTTAATTTGTTGGTTGTAGCGATCGTGAAGGTGTGTTGGCCGCTCTGTAGTAGGTTCGAAAACAGTAGATTAGATCTTTACCCTAAGCGGCGTTAGATCTGATTGGTGTTTCTGCCTGCTAGCTCACTGGCGCCTCTCTATCTTGTAAACCTCACTTGAGGGACGTGGCGCGAAGAATAAATAAGTAATGGGCTTGTGGACGCGAGTCGTGCAAGCCCTTTTAGCTATCAAGATAAGATAAGGTCTATTCTAGTACCTTCACTAACACCATCTCGGCAGTCACTAGTCCGAGTCAGTGATGTCCGATTGCTGTAATAATGGCCGATCTTGGAGTGAACCCCAGCCCCAATCCTTCAGCCATTCGGCAAGTACTTTCTGTATTACGAGCATCTTATACGAGATTCAACACCGAGAATTACAGCTAAACTGCCAGGCAGAGATAAAGAAAGAATATAAAAATAACATCATTAGTCTATATATTCCTAATTTTATTTAGTATATTACTTATCAGATGTATGGTAAGACGGGGATCTGTCAGATCATTATAAGTGTACTGCTGTTTGAGTTAGCATGGCCAATGAAAATCATGCCTGTCCGAGCACCATACAGGCAATGCTCTTATTGGAAACCCGACTATATAACTCCATTGTAAATAAGAACAGAATCTCTTACAAGATTAACTAATGTAATCACTCGGCATTCCTGCTTGCGCTATTTATTTATCTAATGCTATTGTCTCAGTTCTTCTGTGGCTTCTTATCAAAGAAGAGGACATCGAAAAGATCATTTGAGAATCGCTCTTGCAAATCTTGCAACGGCCAACCAGCCTTTTTTCCAATGTCAGCAAGCGTCTGGAGAAACTGTTGTCTTTCGCCCTTGTAATCCACTGCCTCAAGCCTCCCAATCCACGGCTTGCCATCAACCGTATACCCATGCCACTCCTTAGCCCAATGCGGATGAGTCTTCAAACTTTCCCCTGTCGTGGAAACATTGAGTGCAATCCATTTGTCCAAGACCGACGGCGGAAATGTTTCCTAAATGTCTGCCGCGCTGTGAAGGGTTAATACCTCGATACTACACGTTCCAAGGGCATTTCCGCGTTGGGGTGCCATTATCACACCGCTACCGCCCATGATGCGCATCTCAAGGGGCATGCGTATTGGACATTCTTCGCTGTTCTTGTAGGTAAGAACAATAGCGTCCCAACAAGCTTGCTGAACAGGGGCGTAGTCTATGGTGCCTTCGGGGGCGATTTCTTTTGGACAAGAGGCATCTCAACTTCAATGTCTCTGACCCGAGCATTCTGGATTGCTCGCTGGAAGTGCAAGGCATCAGGGAGGTAGGTTTTGACATTCTTCTCCGGGAGTGCTTTCATGGCAGCCATTGAGATGAGAGTGACGTAGGCTTCCAACATGTCTGTAACGTCAATAGAGCCTTGCAGTAAATCTGTATCCTGTAGAATGTTTATCGTAACTGTTTCCACGAATGGAAAGGTTATGGCCAGCCCTTAGCGAGGAATTTATCCCAAGCCTTTACAAAATAGGTAGTATTTTCAAAGTACCAGAACTTTACATTGAATATGAGATAATATTTATGCATATCTGCATCTTTTTTATTATATGTAAACCATGCATAACGTGGTGAGCGCCTTTCATTGACCTTGTCACGCCTTATGCAAATCGATAAACGACACTTAGGCCTCAAACACTTATATCACAAGTAGCGCGAGGGGCTAGTACAACTGATGGTAATCATAATAGTCCAGTTGGCGTTTACATGCAAGGCAATCAGTATGGCCTCAGGCTACACGAAAGTGAGCGAGAATTGTTTTTCCGGATTCCGCTTCCAATCACCGTCAGTACCTCTGCACAATCTTCAGTCCTAGGCATCAGCCCGCCTTTGCTAAATCACCACACAAAAGTCGCGGCCATGACTATGCAAGGTTCCGATGCGACTGATCTCCCCGCCTCACCTTCCATCTGGGGCGACTTTGTAGACTCAGACGGCGAATGTGACGTCGAAGATGCATGCGAACCCGTCGACCGATATGAAGAAGGACTTTACCTTCCCATCTGTATCGGCGAGATCATCGCAGACAGGTATCAAATTGAGCACAAGCTAGGTCATGGCGGATTCTCGACTGTCTGGATGGCCCATGACATAGACAAAGGAAAAGATGTCGCCCTCAAAATCATGACAGCGAACTTTGGGGGTGAGCGAGAGTTCCTCATGCAGAATGAGATCCTCCGTTGCGTAACAGACACTTCACGTCTGTTGATTTACCAGGACGATTTCTTATTACCTGGCGCCGCCAGAAATCCTCATCGAGTCCTCGTTTTCCCACTCAAGGGCCCCAATCTGAGAGATTACGCCCGGGAGACATCTACAATTGTACGCAGGTCAGCTGCCAAACAGCTGCTCCAAGCACTCAAAGCACTGCATGATGGTGGAATGGTACATCGAGGTTAGTCCTATTTTTTCAACGCTAACATCCACACAAACTGACCTTTTTTGCAGACCTCAACAGTGCCAATGTGATGTTTGGTCTTTCGTCATTTGAGCCTGGTGCTGATATATCCGCCAAGTATCAAATTCTTGGTCGCCCTCAGAAAATGGAATTTCCGACGAACCAAGAGATGTGGAAGAAGGGACAACTGGTGGCTCCAATGACTCCAAAGGACAGCTTTGTTGTTCAGGACACCATAACTCTCGCCGACTTTGGTCTGACTATTCGATCTGGCACTGAGGTAGACTTTAAGCTTCAGGGAACTATCGGATACTCCGCGCCTGAGCTTATGCACGGTGTAAACCCGACTTTTGCTTCTGATATGTGGAGCTACATGTGTATCTTTGCTGAGCTCTACCTAAAGTGGCCTCTCTTCAGTACTGGGTTTTTCGGTGGCGGATTACGCTTTGTAGTTGGACTTCTCATCAGAGTGCTAGGCCCACTACCTCTGTCGTGGAAAGGTTCATTTGAAGGCGGTGGGGAACCAGACGAGAGCTGGTACGATCAAAAGAGAATTCCGGAGCTTGGGATGTCTTTGGAGTCGCGAGTAACGCAATCTTGGGATACAGTTGAGCCCGCTGATCAACAGCTCGTGCTCTCTATATTACGACGGGGCTTTTCTTATCTGCCTGAGGAACGGTTCAGTGCCGGAGAACTTTTGGAGGATGCATCATTCAAGGCGCTCATGGACAAGTATGGGCTTTAGAAGAGGGAAGCAGTTATACAACACATACTTTGAACTGATAATGCAAAGTCATCACCGGCCAACTTGATCCAAGCCAGATCAACACCGCGCTGCTCTGGTCCCTCAGCCATCGTCACGACGGGTTTCGTGAACTGCCGAGAACGGCGCCGGGTAAACCCGCACAAGCTTATCTATAAATAGCGACACGCAAAAATTGGGTCGGAGGACGGAGAATTTTGCAAACGGCTCGAGGCTTGGCTTTGGCCAAGGAAACCAAAGGTTTGGGACCCAAAATTGGCATGCATTCAGATTCAGAGAAATGACCGTGCTTACCTGCAGGCGACATACATCGCCAGGACCGTGCCTGAACAGATGTCTATCGCGGGGAAACCTGGGTGCGACTGAGTTTTAAGCATGCTAAAAGTGACATAACAGTGCGCGTAGTGGCACAGCAATTTAAGCGTACCCCGCTAACTGGTTCTAACATTTTCTGTCTCAGACCTTTTGCAATCTACCCTATGCTAAGCATTTGTAGGAGCATCTTAATATTTTTAACCATACTCTACAGAAGTAATTAGGCTATAAGGCTAATCATTGTATTGACTTCACAAGCGAGCTCGATACGAGGATGGCGATTTGTACTCCTAATCTGGCATGTTCTCCATGATCGATATCACTGAGAAATCTCAGCAACCTCGCGACGTTGCAACATGTGGAGACGAGGAAACTTTATGCTCGCAGAAAGAAACGTACGAAGATGTCCAGTAAACGAATGGAACCATATCGTCTATGCCCTATCGATATAGGTCTGATGTTATTATCACCGACGCATAAATGAGAAGACACCGTTGACGTTCCAGGCGATGGTTTGACGATTGCGTTAAATGGTGACATTTTATCGCAGAGCACCTGAGATCTAATAGCTGCATCTATAAAATACCACTCCAGGTTACATTATCCCTCGCCTAGTATTCGCCTACAAACTCTCCTCTTCGGTTCAACGCAAGGGACTCAAGTTCTGGAACCTTGATGTATCCAATCCCGGAAGAGTGTCCAACTGCCGATCATTACTAACAAGAAATCAATGATATGAGACAGCTTTTAACTTTAGCATTGCGTGATCAAAAAGCAAAAAACCTAAACTCTTGTTAAAACAGACCACAAGTCGGTGCCGTTAATGTCCGTGAATCCGATGGCTTGAATGCCCTGTTAGTTCCATGCATAAGTGAAAACCTTCTTGTCTCCCCCCTCCCATCAACACGGCTCACCCATCCTTGTACAATGCAACCCCTGAATTCCTTCTACCGGGTGGTATTCGATCTAAGTGGTCAGCGTCCTCCGCGGTTACCGGGACGTTCCATTTATCGCAATCCGTATTCTGGATCATCCCATGAGATGTCGCTTAGGGTGTACGAGATCGATTGGTTCTGAAGCGAAGGAGTCGAGAATTTCGTGCTAACTTGATCAATGCCCTTCACCGAGGGGTTTGTTTTCTCTTAGTCAGGTTTAACATGTGCCGAATCCACAGCGCTGAAGGCTTAATTTTGCTGGACGGGCCTTTTATACTCAGCTTCTAGAAGTGAACTAGACGACTCCATAGATTAGCAATGGAAATCGTAAGCTTGGACCGTACTCTGTATATGTCATTCAAACTTTGCACTGACAGGTCTGCTATTCCTTGCTAGGCAGCCGCGTCGGCCGCGGAAAAGATACAAGGGTGCGAAATCTACAGGGCTGTTAGCAATAAGGTTTAAGCAGTGTAAACTCTGATTACAGGAGGTAACATATTAATTCGAGCCCAATATATTTCTCTGGGGAAAACTCGTCTCGGTTAAACACGTGAAACACAACCGACACTCCTAATAAAGCATAGATAATGCATTGTAGTTGTACAGATACTCAGGCAGAATTCAGCAAGTGACGAGAGGAGAGAAAAGGTGTTGTAATGCCCCCTGTAGCTTACATGGTACGATGAATGGAGGATGCCGAAACGCGGCTGACCTCCCTGTTACGCGGTCACGAAAGGGGTAAAGGATCGGCAGTTGAAGTCGAGACTTTTCAAAAGCCCTTGATTGGTTTCCGGACCCCAGATCGACGACGGCTGTTGATCCCGACCTCCCCACCCAGCGAAGGATTTACCCATCTTGGCTCTGCAATCCCACCCAGAGTCCGAAAAATCATAAGATGGCGCCAAGGATGAGCCCTGAAATGAAAAGAAAGCCTCAGCGAAAGTAAATCTCCGGGTAGTGCACTGAGAGAGTTTCAATGCAGGGGTTTTATCAAAGGATGAGATCCTACAAGCTGCCCAACCAACACTGTTGCGTGTTGTGGAATTTGACCTGTAAGTTTATTAACGTGGCATGAACAAAAGAGGTTTCTTATCGAGTGCGATATGCCCTGTTGAGATAAGTTGTCTCCCGAAACACATGTCTTGTACGCAGGGTCGGGGGGAGTGCATGGTGGTCCCAGTTGCATCATTGCGTTAATTAGATATCAGCGAGAAGCTTTATCACCTTAATCCACCCCATTCTCTGCTTTCATGTGTTTGATCTGTCATTCATCAATTCCTCACAAATCATCGAGATGCTTTTGCCTCGTGAGCATGAGACGCCGTTTAACAAGGCGCCTGTTATTCGGGCGCTGTCGATGATTCTCATGATTGTCACCATGTTTTCGGTGTTTATCCGTGTTCTTACGCGGATTGCTACGATGAGGAGATTGCGATGGTCGAGTTTGTTCAAGTCGGATGATATTCTGATCTTTGTGTCGATGGTAAGAATTAAGCTTTGATCGCTGATGATGGTTGCTAATTTTTTAGATCTTTGTTATTGCTCAATCAGGGGTTGTTTATTCTCAGGGCGCGAATGGGATGGGGAAGCTTGATGTGTCGTCTGGACAAACAGCGTTGATTCTCAAGGTGAGTTCGACAGCAAATGGAAGCGAATGATCTGACGGTAACAGGACCAACTCGTATCCGACATTCTGTTTTATCTGGCATTAGCATTTTCGAAGATATCAGCCACGACGACCGTTGGAAATATGTCACCGCTGTCTCACAAGCGAATACTGCCGATCCAAATCATCATAGTTGGCTGGGCCATTTCAGCGATATTTGTACGAGCATTCGCATGCTCCTTACCGACATCCTGGGACTACATCAACGGTTCTTGCGTCGATCTAGTGGCATTCTGGGCATACGTTGACGCTCTCAACATTATTACCGATCTTCTCATCACAGGTGTCACCATCGAGATTCTCGTGCACCTGCAGATGCCAATCGGCACAAAAGTCATGGTGGTTGGTGTTTTCGGCTCACGCATTCTGTAAGTCATCTGCGCCACACATACCTTACACACAGACTAACAGACGCTCAGGATAATCCCTCCCGCCGTGTCTCACATCTACTTCTTCAAACAAGCCCTCGAATCATCCACGCCCATCTTCACAATGTGGAAGCCCACCATCATCGTACAAGTAACCCAATGCATCGGTATAACCACCACCTGCATCCCCTTCTGGTGGCGCTTCCTCAAGAGTCTCGAATCAGGCCAAATGGGCGCAGGCGATATATTCGGCGCACTCAGCAAAAGCAACAATAGCAAAAGCGGCGGGACGACGAGAGGGACGGGGAACAAGTCTAGGTCCAACCACACGCTGACGTCGGCGTCGCAGGCTTTCGAGCTGACGAGCAGGCAGGGGGATGTGAAAAAGTTTGCGCACATTGTCACTGATCACGGCAAGGGAGGAGGGTCGTGGGATATGGCGCGGCAGAATAGCCAGGAGGCCCTTGTTGATCCTGCTGCTGGGGTTGCTCACTGAGTGACCACTCGGATCTTAATTGCGGTAGGTACCGGTATATTTCTTTAGCAATGATAATGGGCGGGCCGAACCCTTGTAAATAAAGTGGGATGGTTTAAATGGTGTGGCGCAATGCATGTCCCTGAAGATAACAAGGGTCAAAAGACCTCAGTCCACTCTGCCTCTCCCGTTCGTAGTTTCATCCTACGCGATATGCACGTCTCATGCAAAGTTGGGAATACCTCCCCTACTCGGCTGTAGCGCCAACAGGTGGTTCTACTTCGCGTTCCACCTGTACCGTTACCACGACCGCCAGGGATGGTTCGCCGAACTGTTTGTCATATCTGACAGGCATGGGATGGGGTTGTATTTAACTTTTTTACTGCAGACGGGGTTTCTTTTTTAACCTTTCCCCCAACTTCCCCCTCCCCCATCTTGAGGGTCATTCATTTATTTGCAGCGCAGACTGCAGACTTTCTTTTTTGCATCAATTCTGTACCCATTTTGACGACGATCACTATGGCTACTCAGTTCGAACTCAACGATATGCCCGCTGCGAAACATCCCCGATCAACGGTCGAAGATGCCTCTATGTCTAGTGATCAGGATCACATGGACAATGCGCAATTGGCAAAGCTTGGAAAGAAATCAGTCCTCAAGGTATGCATCACCAATTCACCCTCTTGAAACGCAATTGACACAAATGTAGAGAAACTTTGGAGGCTGGACAATTCTAGGCTTCAGCTGCGCCGTCCTCGTCACCTGGGAGGGAACCCTCATGAACTTCGCGCCCGGTCTCAGCAACGGAGGCAGCGCGGGTCTCATCTATGGCTACATCTTTGTCTGGATAGGCGTCCTCAGCTCCTTCGCGTGTCTCTGCGAACTCGTGTCGATCGCCCCGATGGCTGCCGGCCAGTACCACTGGGTCGCTATGCTTGCGCCGCCACGATACGCGAAATATCTTAGCTACATCACCGGGTGGATGAACTTGGCTGGGTGGCAGGGAACGTCTGCTGCTGCGGGTTTCCTCACTGCTACTATGATCCAGGGTCTTGTTATCTTTACGACGCCATCTTATGATGCGAAGACGTGGCATGGTAGTTTGATGATCTGGGCTTGTGTCCTGGTCGCTATCATTATAAACACTGTTGTTAGCGCTTTGCTTCCGATTTTGGAGGGTATGATCTTGATTCTGCATCTTATCGGCTTCTTTGCTATTCTCATCACGCTTCTTGTCTTTCGCGACAATGATAATGGCACTGAAGTGTTTACTGAATGGCGCAACTCGGGCAATTGGCCTACTCAAGGTCTTTCATGGTTCGTTGGACTGTTGGGCTGCGTCTTTTCATTTACTGGTAAGTCTTAGCCTCAAAGTCAATTATCCATTCAACTAACGCGCATCAGGCGTCGACTGCTCCTTTCACGTAAGGACTACCATTCTCAATTGATGTCGATGTTACTAACCATGTCGCAGATGTGTGAAGAAGTTAGAAACCCCTCTCTGATCGTCCCCCGTTCTATCATGGGTAGTATCACCATCAACGGCCTTCTCGGCTTTGGTATGGTCATCGCCATGCTTTACTCCGCTACCGACATCGACGCAGCCATCGAGACACCAACTGGTTATCCTTTCATGGAGATCTTTTACCAAGCCACTGGATCAAAAGCCGGAACCGCCGGAATGGTGTCACTCATTATCGTCATGACCCTTTCCGCTACCGTTGGTGTCATTGCTTCGACATCACGTATGCTATGGGCCTTTGCTCGTGACAATGCACTTCCTTTCTCACCTTTCCTCTCAAGGGTATGTTTTAATTGCCTCATCTATAAGAACCAACTAACAAGTCACCCAGGTCGAGAGCCGCACCAACATGCCCGTTTGGTCCATCACAACCACCTGTGTCATCTCTTGCATCATCGGTCTCATCAACCTCGGCTCCTCAGTCGTCTACAACGCCATCGTCTCAGTAGCCATCTCCGGCCTCTACGCATCATACTTCATGCCCGCCATCCTTCTTCTCTACCGTCGCTGTGACAAAAACTACCAGATCCGAAACATTCACGGCGACGGACAAATTCTCGAATGGGGCCCTTGGCACCTCAAGGGAATGTTTGGCATCATCAACAACACCTTTGCTTGCATTTTTATCACCATTGTCTGGTTCTTTAGCTTGTGGCCTCCTTCAACTCCCGTCGATGCTAAGAGCATGAACTATGCTTCTCTGATGACTGGCGGAATTGGTATTTTGGCTACCATTTACTATTTCCTCCGTGCTAACAGGATTTACGTGGGACCTAAGAAGGAGATTTAAATAGGAACTAGTGCGCATGGAGTCTAATAAGGGCTGCTCCGAATCTATCACTGTCTAATAGCTCTATAGCAAAAGTTTGTCTACACTGAGATTTATAACACACATTATTTCCAAGGCATGATGGTCAACTCGGGCCATAGCTTAATCCATCGCTGTACTTTCTTGTGATATGTCTCCTCTGTCATGATCAACTGATTCGGGCGCACCGTCATTGTAAACATGTCCGAGAATCCCCATGGCGCAAAGATATCCCATTCTCCATCCTCTCTCAATCGCACACCAATAAGCGCAGTGTTGGTCCCCCAAGTAGTCATAGATGCCTCGCTAGATCGATGCTGAGGGCACGGCTTGCCAAACTTCTTCTCATACCAGAGATGCACGCGTGCCTGATTGCGGATCTCAACTTCAGTAGGAATATCCGCAAATATCTTCTTGCCAGCCTGAATAACAGCATCCTCAGCCTCCCATGAGAGATCTGAGTCGTCGAAGTAGATCAAGTCGTAGTCGTCAATGCCAAGTTCTGGGTCGCGGTTGGTACCGACATTCCAGACCGTTTGCGTGAGTGCACCGGCGGCGAGATACCAATTGGGGAGCTTCATTTCAGCGGCGCGCGATAAAACGGTCATGAGTGTTTTGTTGCATTCTATTGCTTGACGAAAGCGGGCGACTTGCTCATTAATTGGAAGGAGAGCGGCGTCCATTCTGTTCATAGAGTTGAAGTTGGCGATGTTGAGAAGAATGAAAAGTTCACGCTTGATCACGGTTTAACATTAGGCAGCTGCACGTGACATGCATCCTCCTGCTTGGCCTTTAGGCAGCAGACTGACACTGCGATCAATTGTTCAGAAATTACTAGGAAGTCAAATCATAATGTCTATATCTACTGCAATTTATACAAAGGTCTTTGTTTTAAGGAAGGCTGACTAACAAGTCCCGAAGCTTGGGAAACTTGGGTGAGCCCATTCCCGAGACCGGATCCCAACCCTTGGCCGCTTTGAACCCCGCCGTGCCGCAACCAGGATTAGAGCCTTGGGTAATCTATCAACGTTAGTAAATTGCTGGATATTGAGTGAATCATGCACTTACATCAGTGAAGACTTCAGGGTGCTGATACAGAATCTGGTTCAAGAAACCGATTGGTTTCTTCCCCGCTAGCAATCGCTCATCATTGATCCTGTTGATCATCGCCGCGAACATCGGAGTTGCAGCGCTGGTTCCTCCACTGATCGTAGTCTTTCCATCTTGGAGGAAAGTCACATTCGCTCCCAAGAGTGCGACATCTGGAAAGGCGCGTCCAGAAATGTTGTATGTTCCCTTGGGGTAGTGGGGGTTGTTGGCTGCGAGATAGCTAGCGACAGCTTTGCGCTGGTAAGCTGGCTGTGCGTTCATGTTACTGAAACCGCCTAGAATACGTCAGCAAATAAATCACCACTGTTCTATGAATCAACATACCTCCAGAGTAAAAGTTGTGCTTGGGATCAAAGACAGCAACTTCATTGGTTCTGCTGCCAGTAAAGTTGACCTGTGTCGCTCCAACAGCTGTGACGTAGGGACAAGATCCTGGGAAGAGAGCGTTGAAAGCTTCCTTCTTCTTATCGTAAGGATTCACAGTACACTGTGTCGCACCTTGAACACCACGATCTCCAGCAGCGACAAGAACACTGACACCGCTAAGAGCCAACTTCATCCACTCATGGCATTGACGCTGGATGTAACGTCGAGTTAAAGTTTGCTCATCAATCGCGAAAGAGATTGAAACGACGTTCGTAACCTGATACTTGCCGCACATAGCAGGGCCCTGGAAGCCACCAAAGACAGGGAATGTAGGATCAAGATCAGGATCATCGCCGCCGTCATACTTGCAGTAGCTTGCGTCAACAGCGTCGAGGAAGTCATTCGCAAGACCTCCTTTGTTGTTATAGGGAGTCTGGAACATTGTAACGGTCTGGGGGTACACAATGGGGTACGACATTTCGATGTCGAGTAACTCTTCGCCCTCGACTGGTTCACCTTCTGCTACGGCGCCGTTGATGCTGTTGACTTTGGGTTTGGTTCCCTTGGGGATGAATGGTGCGTGCTTTGCCCAAAATTGGTTGAGATCAGCTGGTTGATAAGGGTCGCCGTATCCAAAAAGACCCATGGAGTTATTCTTTGCGGCCTTGGTTCCAAGAGGAACGCCATACAGCTCTGACATCAGTTAGTAGTGAGCGGCGAACATGCGCAGTTGACTTACTTCGGATACAAGCTGGAGTCCAGCTTTCGCTACAGTTGCGCAGATCATCTGCAACTGGGAGTTTGTAAGGCGGTGGCAGGGTATCTAGAACAGGCTTGACTGCACGGCTGCGCTTGGTCTTGCCAGCTTTCTGGGATGGAGCCAAATCAATGAACTCAACATCGTCCTGAATTGCAGACGGAACTGCGTGGTCGGTAGGTTCGAGGCGAAGTTCACCAGTCGCATCGTTGTGCATAACATGAACGCCAGCTCCGAGCATCTTCCCAAGTTGCTTCACAGGAGCAGAGAACTCAAGAATCGCAGCCGCCTTCTTAAGATGCACAGAGGATAAATCAATGCCTGCATCTTCGAGCCATTGCAGGACTTTTTTCTGTGAACTGTCGCTGGGTTTAAAGAAGTCTTGCTAGAATATCATGAGAATCAGAGCGACTCTGAGGAGATTGGAGAACGTACCACTTCCCTGAGCTCAAGATAGTGTCCAAACTTCTCTGACGTAGGATCCGAAATATCCATCAACAACGCTTCTGCTTCCGCAAGCTTAGGCTGGTGAAACGCGACAGCAGCGCGAACCACTTCATCTCCTGACACAGCTGTCCATTGTGATTGAGGAAGAGCACCGACGATCTGCGCGCTCAAAAGCGCGACAACTGTGGCGTAACAATACATTGCTTTATGATCTCTCGCCAAGACGAGAGCAAACAGATCTTTGAATCGAAGACGGGTCTTGGCAGGTTGAGAATCACGGAAGTGAAGGGGGAAACATTTTGTATTTCGGTGAAATCGGCTAGAACGGTCGGGCCCAGTTCCTGGTTTCAAAACCTCGTATTTGAGCCGGAACTAATTTTAGATGGTTCTCGTGATCGTAAAAAGCATAGCGTTGATGATAACAGACTAGTTAACCTATAGTGGCCGCAAATGGAAAGATCAGTTCACTTTTCTCTGCTAATCCTTCGTATTTCTGCACGATTTTCACTTAAGGCGAGGTCAATGCGTGAGTCCATTCAGACCTGAACAATGTCAACCAATTGCAGTTTTGTTGTGTGATTAAACTATTGAGTTAAGAAGACGAAGGCTAGAAGTCTAATTCAGTCTTGACAACTTGAGCTATCTAGATCACAGAATAAACTTCTCTTAATAATCTCGATTTAGACAATGGAATGAATTGATGACTCTACTATTAGATAAGGTTAGGTCACGGACGACGACAGTTATTCCATGGGTACAGATCGAACTTGAAACGGATATCTTCACAGGTGCAGAGTCAATCTGGAGTAATCACCACAATGCGGCACCGAGCTGCCCCCGCGAATTCTGTCTAATTTTGCATGTCGATCTGTAAATGGTTTCAATTTACCCTCGGCCCTTTCTATGCCGAGACTTCCAGAATGCTTCTGTGATGCCCCCAACAGACAAGGTTGTACGCGGGGAAGCTGGTCAATATTTTAGCCTAATATGTGGAAATGGTATATTCATTGCAAACACTATGTCAATACTTCATTTGCCACATGTTGTGGGAGCAACTTCTACTCAATTGACCATTCTGAGTCCAATCAAGGCCGGTCAATGGTTCGGCCAGCAACCAATTGTTCAGCGATCTTCTTAGCCAAGATTTGGTGAAACGCTTGTGTTGGATGAGCACCGTCGATGTACATGTACCCCGACGCGTTGTATTCACAGTTGTCAGACTTAAAGTCTGGCGTAGTCGTGCCACTAACACATGTCAGTCTCCATGATGTCACAAGGTTAAGTCAATAGCCTTACGCCTTGTAGTCTGCGCAGAATCCCGTACTCTTGTACACCGCGGTCTCAGGGAACTGAGAAGGATCCTCAGTAACAGCAGTGATCAACGGGACAATGTCAAACAAGAAAAAGGTGCTGTGGGACAACTTGCGGTCAAGCTGTCTCAAGAGTTGCTGGAGCTGTTTGTTCCAGTTTTGAGACGCTGCCTTGAGAGTTGGAGCGATGGACTTAGGCACGTTATTCGGGAAAAGAGACTGCGGCGGCGTCGAGATGAAGAGGAATTGGCGGGCGCCGTGGCCGTGTAGTTCAGTTGTAAGCTCGTCTAGGCGCTCCATGATCTTGATGACCGTCTCATTCTGGTCAGCGTCATTGATGGTGCGGTATATATCGTTGATGCCGATGAATACTGTATATAGCGTATGCTTTGGTGAAAAGAATTTTGGCCCTAGCTGTTGTAAGTAGGCGTCAAATCTGTTGACCTGAGTAACCACGTCGTTGGGTCCAGTCTTGACGACGTTGACATCAGTGACAGCACCGCCGACAGCCATGTTATATAACAATACGGATGACTGATTACACTGTGTAGTCAGGTACATTGGCCACATGTTGCCATTGGAGCTTGTCTTTCCGGTATTTCCGAACGGATTGGAGATGGAAGGCTGGGTCCCAGAGGTATTGAATCGAGTGTCCGTCCATGAATCACCACTGGTGAATATGAGACTCATAATAACAACAAGTAGCGGATTGTCAACAAACTTACAAAGAAACGATTTTGTGAATCTTAGAAAAGTCAAATTTCTTTTGAGAATGCTTCTCCGCTGAAGGTGCCGCGACTGCTGCATGAAGCGAACTGGCGAGGGAGAACAGGACGAATAGTTTCATATTGGAGGCAGAACTGACAGTAATGAGACCAAAAGACAGTGCTTAGACGTGGCTATCAAGTCTATAGAAAATCTGGGGTGTTGCTAGACTTAAAATAGGAAGCCATTTCTTGAATCTCGGTGGTCGATCCCCCGAAGACCAGATTGGCATATTTCCAGAAGGCGGAACATTTTGGGGGTCAATGGTTCTAACCCTATATGCCGGCTGCGGGCGGGTATAGCTAACATAAATACCGATCGATCAGGTACTATGCATGTGGGTTTTTTACATCGAAACCTAATGACTGGAAGTTTATGTTTGCCTTAAAGTGTCGAACGAACATCACTCAACCCGACAGTTCAACGCCTCTGGGACACTCCCTGTTATCAAACAAGGTGCTCTGAATCCCCTGACTAAGGCAAAAGGTTAGTGGGAAGCTTAGTTGGAGTAGTGGAGTCCAGCGAGGAGCAATGCCGGGCAAAAGGAATCAACAGTGAAGACATCGATCTCAAGTCAATCGGAGCCTCAACTCGGCGCCACGATGTTCAGTCTCCAAAATAAACGGAGATTAGATGAAGCCTATCAAACAGACCCACGAAAACCAACGGTGACACGATCATCAATGTCTCTGATAACCCACTCCGATAGGCTCCAACGATAACGGTTATCGGCCCCGCCAACGCTGATAAGCCATCACGAGACGCTCTCCTTGGTAGAGTGCGGGGTAATTGTCGGTCTGTCCCGAACGGAGGCGACCGCTCTTTGCTCCTATATCGGGAAGGTCTCCGCCTCACCATATCATCCTATCCATCCTTTGTTTCTTCCATCTACCAACATCTCCCCCAAAATGCCTTCAACTTCAATCTACCAGTCTGTCATTTATCCCGGCAACCACGAAAAGTTGGACAAGCCCAAGGACACACAGAACTTCATCGACAACAAACTCGTCTCTTCAAAGACATCGTCATGGATCGAAGTTCATGACCCTGCGACCAACAATGTCATCACACGTGTTCCTGAGAGTACCAACGATGAGCTCCAAGAAGCAGTCAAGTCAGCTAAGGCTGCGTTTCCCGGATGGAAGAGGACGAGCATTATTAAGCGGCAGCAGATAATGTTTAAGCTTACGCATTTGATCCGGGAGCATATGGATAATCTTGCGACTAGCATTGTCACGGAGCAGGGAAAGACTTTTGCTGATGCCAAGGGCGATGTTCTTCGTGGACTGCAAGTTTGTGAGACTGCGTGCGGAATCACGACTCAGCTCGGCGGTGAAGTCCTCGAGGTTGCGAAGGATATGGAAACACGCTCGTACCGAAACCCATTGGGTGTTGTTGCAGCCATCTGCCCTTTCAACTTCCCAGCTATGATTCCATTGTGGTCTCTTCCTGTAGCGACTGTCACTGGAAACTGCATAATCGTCAAGCCATCGGAACGCGATCCGGGCGCTGCTATGATGATTGCCGAGCTCTGCAGAGAAGCCGGCTTTCCACCAGGCGTCGTCAACGTTGTCCATGGATCAAAGGACACAGTCAACTTCCTTCTTGACGAGCCTGAGATTCAAGCTATTTCCTTTGTCGGATCTAACAAGGCTGGAGAGTATATCTACCAAAGAGGCTCAGCAAACGGAAAGCGCGTGCAAGCGAACCTTGGAGCAAAGAACCACGCTCTTCTGAGCCCAGACGCCAACAAGGATCATGCCCTTGACTCAATTGCCGGAGCTGCTTTTGGAGCTGCTGGACAGCGATGCATGGCTCTAAGTGTTTTGGTCACTCTTGGAGATGCAAAGCAATGGTTGCCGGACCTAGTTGCCAAAGCGAAGAACCATATCGCTGGCAGCGGCTTCGACTCAAAGTCGGATTTTGGACCTTTGATCACTCCCCAGAGTCGAGATCGCTGTAATGCTCTCATCACAAGCGCCGAGAAGGAGGGTGCTAAGATTCTACTTGATGGTCGAGGATATAAGCCTGAGGGTTTCCCTGATGGCAACTGGGTAAGTCAACCACGTTCTACATACCATCGAGTCGCTAACATGATGCAGGTCGGTCCTACAGTCATCTCCGGCGTCCGCCCAGACATGGAATGCTACAAGGAAGAAATCTTCGGCCCCGTCCTGCTCTGCATGGAAGAAGAAACCCTCAAAGACGGCATCGATCTCATCAACTCCAACGCCTGGGGCAACGGAGCCGTCATCTTCACAAACTCTGGAGCCAAGGCTTCACTCTTCCAACAAGAAATTGACGCTGGACAGGTTGGCATCAACGTGCCGATCCCTGTTCCTCTGCCCATGTTTTCGTTCACAGGGAACAAGCGCAGTGTGGCGGGAACTGGTCTTGCCAACTTTTATGGAAAGGATGGGTTGAGGTTTTATACACAGTGGAAGACTGTTACTTCTCTTTGGAGGGCGGATGAAGCGAGCACGGGGGAGAAGTTGACGAGCATGCCTACTAATTCTTAGATTTACATTTGATGGTAGTTCTTGGTAAATGTGATTAACTAGACTTGAATCAAATGTTTCTCACAAAGTATATGGGCTATCTATGATGCGCTGATTCGAAGTCGTAGCCAAATCTGGGGGCCTGCAGAGCTGAAAGATCCCTGTCTATAGCTGCATACTCATAGCGAAGCATTGGCTCACAGCATCCGTCATTGCAGGGATCAATTGAGGCCATCTTGTCAGCAAAAACATCCCCCTCAATACATTTCCTCCCCTTCCTTTCACAACCATCAGGCTCGTGAACCTAGCTAATCGGTTATTCAACTTCACTTCTGTTGCGCCATCGCCATGGTTAGAAATCATCCCGAGGATCCTTTTCAGCGCCAGATTCTTGTAGATACAACCTCCTCGTCCTACTCAATTCGGTCACAGCTTATCGGCGTTATCCATGGACGCATAGATGCAAGAACGGAGCAGCAAGCCACGCTATTGGTCTTGTCGTTCAGTTTTCTACCTCGGAGGGCAGCTGTCCGGATAAAATCAGTTGAGATCAACGTTGAATTCTACGGGGATGAGACATGTCCAACTATCTCTGCAATGGCGCCTGACGGCCCGGCCTTCGCTGTAAGTCAGCCCCTGCATAGCCTCGTATCTTGCCCTGAAGTTCTTACTCTCGGAAGCTCGAGACTATTATTGAGGAGCCAACACTGAACGCCAACGCTGGGGCTGTTATCATTGGTGATCTGGGCCTGGGAGCTGGAGGAAACGTCTTGGTAGAGAGAACTTCAAGAGTTGTGCTCTCTGGCTACAAATCCATAAAAGGAAACGCCATAGACCAGCCGAATGTCGTGAACTGGACCATTATGGAAGATCCGAATCTCAAAGTGGGTGTTCCGCCGTATCTGCAAACGGCGATTTTACTCTTACGGGGTTCGGATGAGATTTTCAAGGCCAACGTCAATGTCAAGGCTGATTTTTCCGGTTTCTCGTTCCGAAATATGCAAGATGGCTTCCTTGGTAGTGAGGATGACCCTGTGATCTTTGATCCCGGGGCATACCCTCTGCTGCCTTATGAGCTGGGTGGCCTGGGTATACATGACCTCGGATCCGTTGACCTCTCCCAGCTTTATAAAATACGAACCGTTATCGACGCAGACGACATTCCGCGATGGGGACCTATCGGCCAGACTATCAGAGACCTTTTCCAAAAGGATCAGGCAAAGGACGACAAGGCCGAATCATGGTTTATCGATCTGTGGGACAGCAATACCGCTGTTGATGCACGAAACGTGTTGCCCAAGTCAATAGATCGAGAGGAATTGGCAAAGTACTTCTCTTGGATGTCGGAGGCACCTGTATGTTAGCCTACTCTCATATCGCAACTTCAGTACTGATTCCACTAGAATAATGATGCCCCGGCACGAGCGACACAGGCGGATCGAGAGGGAGAACAGGGCCAGCAGGAGCTGAGGCCTACTCATTTCTGTAACTTGATGTATGTTCTTTACACTTATATTCCATTGCACAGTCGCTGACAAGGCAATGAAGTGCAAGGCAGTCAAGTGTGGATAAGCTCACGACTTTCAACAAGTTGGAAAGCCTCCTTAACGAACCTCCTGTCGCACTACTATCCGACTTTTTCGAACTCCCCGACGACTTTGAAATCTCTCGACGACATGACCGCAGAGGCTTCCAAGTGTTCGAACGTAAAGAAGGCAGCAAAGCTTTTAAACGTTAGGAGATCCTTGCGCATTATACCCCGAACCATAGTTAATACAGGCTACAGTGTACATCATCCAGACGCCATTCTACAGCACAGATTTCTGGTCATTACTTCTTTACTCGGTGGTCGACAGTGATATTGCGGGAGATTCCAGCAAACTATCTGGTGTTATTCAAGCTGATGCTGGCGTTGATCTAAGACGGGTCTTCGGCGACGTGCGTGACCTCGTTGCCCGGCATGGCTACCACCGAACTCTATTACCAGTACAGCTTTTCAGGTCTCACTACGAATCTACTTTGTCGGCTTTTAATTCTATTCTGGCAGATGTTGGAATAGTAGATGAGAAGCTCCTGCGGCAATTTGAAGAAAGGAGAAAGCTAGATGATCCTAGTAACCTATACCAGGATTTGAGCATCACATTGCACAAATGTAGCATGAAGCTTGCTGAACTTGGTCGACGACGAAAGTTTGAGGAGGAACTTGGTACCCGATTGCAGGAGGATTTGAAGAACGATAGTAAGCTGAGAGTCGTGGTGGAGATATACTCTAGAATGTCTCAGAGTAGGGACTCGGACATTGAGAGTCTTCCTGGAAAGATTGAGAGTCAACGAAATGTTGTAAGTGTCACCGTCAATGCTCTTGAATCCAATGACTGATACAAAGTGGTAGCTATACAATCTGATCACGCAGCACGATAGCTACCTACAAGCTAGGCTGGCTAGAGAATCACTTCGAGACTCCAAGGCAATGAAGACTCTCTCTATCCTGACGATTCTTTTCCTACCTGGAGCCTTCATCGCCACCATGTTCTCCACCGATATGTTTGACTTCAAATCCAAGAATCAGCAAGTAAGGATCTACTTTGCAACTGTTGTTCCTCTCACAGCTGTCCTGATGAACTGTTGGGTTCTCTGGTTGAAGAATACACCCGAAAGGGGCGATGCAGAGTCTGGGTTTAGATATCTAACAGCCAAAAATATGAACTGGCACAAGGAGGGAAAGGAAGATTGATAGGAGATATAAGATATACCGGAAACAATGGTATTGAAGGTCTCCTCCTAGGCACATACTCATCTCGCTCTTGGTGTTACTGTCCAACTCTGAGCCTCGAACACCAAATCCCCGCTCTTGCGCAAAGCCTCCAGATCGATGAATACTCTCAAACCAACTTGTCCTGACTCCAAGCCGTGTACCCGAAACAGGATATAGACCTTCCGACGTTGCGTATCAGTATTCACGCTTTCACCAAACGACTGCATCTGGAATTCTGTTAGTAGGTATATCTGAAAACAGGTAAACCAAGGCATTACCCGTGCATATTGATGTTTGCTCATGTAGAATGGCGTGTCGAGACGAGCCGATGTTGTGGTCTTGACTTCGATGTAGTACTCTGGTCGCTCCTTTCTCCAGCTGTCCTCGAGATACCCTTTGTCGATCAAGTAGCTGGTGAATGTTCCTGTCACATCGTCAAAGAACAGGTCCCCTTGCTCTGTCCCGTACCAATTTCCAAGGGAGTTGTAGTCAGGGTGTATGCTGGCATGGTGTCTGACAGTACTTTGCCAGTTATCTCGAGACCATCCGGGGAGGGCATTGGGAAGGGTTGAAAGCAACTCAAAGACCTATTTATCTTTTAGTGAGAAAGGATCATTGTATGAGAGGCGTGCACTTACATATAACTCGCCAGCGGCACCAACCATTCGCTGCCACTCTGTCTGGTCTCCGACATAGAATCTGAACAGTCCAGAACGAGCTGTACTTTCTGCAAGACTTTGTGAGATTGCAGTCATGTCAAAGACTGAATTCTTGTGTGGAAACGTCGAGATGCGAGCAACATTGACAGCTTGAACAAGCATGGCCTGGTATGGAGTAGTGGCGTCGCGGATCACCTGAGCAGCGCTCACAGCAGGGACAGGAGATCTAATAACTGAATGCGGTGATGGAGAAGGCGAGGGGGCAGCGTTGTCTCGTCGTCTCTCTGGTGTACGAGGTGGTTCGGGTGTATAACTTGACAATGCACCCGCTTCGCATATCCCATAATGTTGGAGGATACGCCCAACATTAGAAGGCTTAGCTCGAAGGACACTGGAAGTGATGATCACCGCTTGAGGGTTGACAGCGTGTAATGGGCAGTCCAGAAGCTGAGCAGCGAACATCCGCGGAAACTCAGTCGCCATACAGTAGTCGCGATCGTCATCGTCTTCTGGAATGTAGAACTGCCATTTGCCGAACAAGGCCGATTTGAAGTGCATTCCACCTTTTGCAAGCGGTACTGTAATGACCTTGAAGCCATGATACCAAGTGATGTTGGTCTTTATGTCCGGATGACGGAAGACCTCTACCTTACGGATCGTATCTTGAAGGTTGTAGTTTCTTACCGTCGGCTTGCCATCGCTGAAATGCGAAGAGATCCTATTTGGTCATGTTAGCCCATAAAAATTTTCATTGAGAGGTTGTGTGACGAACATAGCAAGTGCGGCAGATTTGCTAGCAATATCATGGGCGAGAACCGTGTCTTCAGTGCCTTGAGATTCATCAACGGACGTCTTTTCCGTTACGACATTTGAAAGGTATCGCTTAGTCAATCCCAACCACTCAATGACTAGCTTGAGACGATGGACCTCCTCAACAGAAAAGTCGAGAAAGTTGGCATGTTCCTTCAAGGCTGCTGCGTATGCAGGTCTGTCATTTATACAGAAATCTCCCATTGCGTTCATAGACTGAACTTCTCCGGACGGCAGCTTGACCGGAAACACTCGACAGTCTCTTATCTTATCCGCATACACACTCGATGATGCCGTGTCTGCAGCTAGGGTATCAAGGAGCGACCAAAGAAGTTTCTTGAGGTCTGGAATAGGCTTAACAGTGTTTCTGACATTCTGGAGATTCTGATAGACAAGGGAAGGACTCAATTTGGGAACCTCGAGTAAGGACACGAAAAGGGGTGACATATCTGGATAGTAATATTCCAGGGCCATCTCGTCCCCACTGCGACAATCATTGTAAAAGACACATTCTGGAGCTTTGTACCACTTTTTGGCCCCTTCCCAAGGTCGATAAATGAGGGGGGAATCTCTAAATGCTTGCCTACAAATTTGTCAGTAACAGCGCTGAAGGCTAGAAACAGGTTGGGAGTCTTGGTTCTTACTTGATGATAAGGGTATTGATCTCGCTGAGGTTCTCCGTCTGTGCCTGAAGGATCTTGTAAAGCTCCATTGTCACCACCGAGTAGTCTTTCGTCTGATCCAAGGAACGAGACAAGTGACGCAGCTCACTGAGTACGTCGTGTTCGGTTATGTCGCGAATTGCGAGAGTCTCACTGAAGAAATCTTCCAGCTTTTTGCGATCTGCGGGCTCCATTTTGGCCATTACTGGGGACCACAAAGACTGCAGAGGATTGTAGACGTTAATGCCCCCAGGCGCGCTCCACAGACATGCGGACTTGTTTGCCCAGTTTTGCACCCGAGTACGTCTCTTCTCATCTCCTGGGCTGAGAGGTACGCAGAGAATACACTTGTTGTTGCTGAAGAAGTTTCTACTATCCTTAGCATGCTGTGTTGGCGAGACTGGTAACAGGAGCTTACCTGATCTGTGTTTGTACTGCAAAGGTAGCACTCAAAGAGCCATCGGGAACCTGAGAATGCAGTTCGAGGTACAGGTTAGTGACAGCTTTTGATAAATCACTCGTGATCTCAGTAGTAGCTTTAGATTTAGAAATGGAGCCCAACATCGCCAAAGTGAACTTGGTGTCGTCTTCAGTCCCAATGCCACAATGCTCTGCCAATTCGAGCCATGCAGGAACATCCTCGTCTTTCATCGGCTCATCAAGCTTGAGAAACGGCATGTTGTCCACTGACGCAAAGCTCTTCTCACAAATCTGCAGCAATTTTGGGAGCGGAAGCAGAGTCTCCTCCAAGGGATGCCTCACACCATCAGTGCAGAGAAACTCCATTCTTCTCATAAGAGCAGTCCCCTTCTTATCATCAACCCACTGCTTTTTGACTTCTGGCTTTTGAAAGTTCAGCATGAGTCTGTGAAGTGTAAGACCCGGGTAAGCTTTGACAAGAAACTTGTACTCCGGCGAGTAAGTCTTGTCGGCTTCTGCGGGCGGTTCTCGAACAGTAAACAATTGAATCTTTTCTTCGCAGTAGAGAATGAAGAATAGCCATTGCATCCATGTTTTATCATGACCGGGTGATGGGCTTGGTGGATCTTCAAGATAAGCTGGATGCACGAGTGATACGTCTGGTGGCTCGAGGCCCTCTGGGAATGGAGGGTTGAGGATTTTCCCTGGGGCCACTGGTCCTTCACCTGGGAGGTATACATACTCATGCTTTGGACGCTTTATACGTAGCTTCTGGTCAAAAATAACCATGATTTCTTGCTCCTCTTTAGTGATCATATCTTTCGGCTCAATCCGATAGAGAAACACAAGATGGGCCCTTGACTTGGCCAGGTCGAGCTTCGCCACTTGGGCAGGATCTTTATACATGTTTATGATCTTTGCTCGAACTTGCTGAAAAGTAAGCTTCTTTGGTTCAAACACCTCATAAAGCTTCCGACAATCCGGATTCGCGGTGGCAGCAGGTAGAAGCATTGGGAAGCCCAGATCTCCAGGGATGGGAATGCCATCAATCATGTTGTCATAGAATGGGTGGTCCTCTTCGTTGTAACTGACCCTCTTGAAATCTCCTGAAGCAAGGGGGATGATATTCAAGTAGCGAATAGAGGTCTTGCGGTCATGTTGCGGATCGTGACAAATTGCGAGGATGAGACGCGCCAGTCTGCCATGCCAATCTTCATCTCGATCCTTAAAGGTTCTCGCTCTCCAATCATCACTATTGGTGAAAACCTCTAGCCTCCTCAAGGTTTCCATACTCGTCATGTACGTTAGTCCATAATAAGTGAGACTATCGAGGTCTTGGTGTTCGTATTCTGAAGATAGATACATCTCTTGGAACAGATCAGGCAATAGCGGCGCGCCATACTGGTCCAATTCGTCCGCAGAAAGGCGCCTGAGAGAGACTGGCTTCGAGAATTCGCCCCTTCCTGTAAGCAAAACTGATACGTTGGAGATTTTGGATTTTAAAGTGGTATCGAATAGAAGCCAAAATGGGTCTATCCCGTTCTGGTTGATCTGGGGAAGGAAACGCATCCATTTGTATTGTGTGCCAGGTTTCTTGCAGAGGTCTTGGACTGCCTTTACGAGTGCATCCTCAACTGCCGTCTTAATTTTGACGTTTCTGTCCGAGAAGGGAACAAGCTTTTGTCTCGTGGCATCGGTAACGAAGTCAGAGTGAACCAGAAACTAGATCATTGCTTAGTTTTGGGATCCAAGTGCTATGGGTGCATGTGCTTACACTCAATCCGCTTTCAGAAATTGGCATGTAGGCAAATACTTTCTGGGACTCGATGATTGGCTCGCCTTTTACATCAACAGGAAATGCCAGTACTACTTCGGCGCTGTGCGTTTTGGCAGAAGCATCTGGAGCAATTTTTCGATGCGGGTTGGCTGGCAAACCCGTTACTGTTGATTTGTAAACCAGATAGCGATTCCATGTCTTGAGCTGGCTCGGACCGAGCTTCTTGGCTGTTGTGATTTGAGTTCCAGAACCGAATAAATCTCGGTCGAGAAGTACATCTTTCGAGCGCTGAACTTTGTTATCCTCACCCAGTACCGTAATCTTCAGTGACCGTAGGTTCTTCATGAACAGCAGCACGCTGTCGGGCGTATCCCACAGCTGGCTAATGAAGCTACTCCGTAGATCTTCTCTGTTCTGCTCCTTGAGAAACAAGATGATCCTTGTCCGGTTTCCGAAGAGGCCGCCATATGCTTCATGGTCCTTCACATGGCCGGGGAGAGTGGGTAGCTCGGTCCAGTGAGGTCTTACCATGCCAATACCAGGATCTCTGTCCTCGTGCTGGAGGTAGAATGAGTAAGGGCCAGATTCGATTTGGACCTTGGAAGCGATAGTGAAAACAGACTTGAAACCTACGCCTGGCTGTCCGATGTAGCCTGACGTGCCATCTTTGGTAGACTTTCCGAAATCGCAGAGAGCTTTGACGTTGCTCTCTGTGAAGCCGTCCTCGTTACTGCCGATTATCACCATATCTGGAGTAACGATAAACTGAACACCTGGATTCGCGCATGCGGCTCTGGCGCGTGTGTATTGGTTGTCGTCTGCATTCTGGAGCAGCTCAAACGCGACATTGATGTTCCCCGCAACCAGCTTCTCTACAAGCCTGGCGAGAGGTTAGATGCGGTAAGTCTTTGAAGGCGATTGCTTACTCTGTAGCAGCGGCATCAGATTTAGAATTGCTCTTCAGAGCTTCCTCTACTACTCGTCGTATATCAGTCGGCATCGCGTCCAGCTTTGCAGCCTCGATGTAGCCATGGCCGACAGCGATTTTCTCGATAAGCTTTTGCGCTTCGTCGCAAGCTTGAGACCCAAAAATGGCGCTCATTGCAATTCCATGCGTTCTCCAACTTATACTCAAGATAGAAAGATGGAAGAAAGTCAAGGCTGTGGAGTGCGGGAACTAAGATAACGGGAGCTCAAGCCTCGGCGCATGCCCATCCCAATCAGACCATCTCCCATCTGCCTTGATAACCTCCAGGCAACTTCGCAGCTTGGGGCTGGGTGACCTGACAGCCGTTGCGATTGCCTATCGAGGCGCAGTAGTGGTTTCTTCCAGATAGGTTAGTGTAAAGCAGGGATTTTTTCAGCTCTCGTTCGATTCCCAGGGTCTGTAACAGCCACTTTCTGCAGGAGTCGGGTCTAGCCTTTGGGCGAACAGTTTACACTGGCTCAATCTTAGGATCGGCATCGTCTCTGTCGCGTTGAGCGCGTAGCTAGCTCATTTCATTGGCGGTAGTTCCGGTAGTTCCGAGAACAATTCATCGTTATCGAGTGGTGAATCAATTAGCCTGGCTATCTGTACCCGTGACCGTTGAATTGTTCCTGGGATTATAGATTATCCACCCGCCGATTCAGATTTCAAGCGACAAAAACAAGTACCATAAACGTATCTAACTTGATCCAGTAGTGTCAGCCAGCGGCGGCGGTGGGGGCGATAAATATCATCACTATTGATTGATACTTACTCGTGGATTTGACCAAAAGGGAACCCCACTCATAGAATAAAGCTTATGACGCCTCAGCGAGGCATATCAAGCCACTACACTGAAAAATCCCATTTAACTTTAAATATCATCACTATCAATATATAAATGCTAACATAGATGGTAGATTTTAGGTTTCAATCTCCAATCCTGTTTGACTCCGCAAACACAAGTATCAAGACGCAGGTTTTCGTCCCCAAAGGAAATGCACAGGAAGATAAAGGTGAATCGAAGGATCCTTGATCTCATTCTTGACCTTTGCCATAAAAACCTGTATCTCTTCCTGTGACCATCCAAGTACAGCCGAGAAGATCTGTGGTGTGTATGATTCAATGGCTTTAGCCTCTTGGATAGACTGATATTTGCCAATTTCCTTGAGCTTCGGGTCTTTGGGCCATGACCCGAGTGGCATCTGTTACAATGTTAGATATTGATTAAATGATAGTTAGGTCTCGTGCATACCTTGCGTATCTCTTCCCGTACGTTCTCAAAACCAGCAGCAATCAACTTATCCTTCCACAGAGGAGCACAATCAATTGGTTTGCCGAACTTGGCAGATCCTTCACACAGCGTCTTTAACCATAGCTGGGCGTTGACGGCCTTTACGTCAGTACCATCATCTGATAGAAATGGTGCCGCGACTGCCTGCATTTCGATATAGCCGCCAGGAGCTAGGTGTTGTAAGGCTTGCTGGAAGAACCTATCATCATCGCCAATGCAGCCTTCCAGCTCCCGTGCGTGAATGAAGTCAAAGGGCGTGTGATAAAGCCACTCAGCCTCGAAATCGTCTACTTCAAATCGACAATTTGGCGGAGTCCTGCGGTATAGTTAGTCGGCTTCCACCCATGGACGTGAGGACAGTTGCTATACCACTCTGGTTGGATAGGGCTAAGGTCCGTCCCCAGGACCGAAGCCGAGGGAAAGTCACTGAAAAGCAAATTTAGCAAGAGTAAAACAGGCAAACCACGCAATAATTGACTTACTCGGCAAAGTCTATCGCCCAGATACCAGTGCCAGTTCCCAGATCCAGAACACGCTGAGGATGGTCACCAATAGGCGCCAAGAATAAAGCACCGTCTAGCATGAGAGAGTAAATGTGATGTACCAAGTCCATTCGTGTTTGCTCCTCTTCATCGTTGGGCTGGGAGAGGTTACATCAGCATTTCGATCTGAATGATACTTAGTCGTCAAAGCTCTGCGTACCACGAAGTAGGCACCTTCACGAAAAGCATGATACCGGCGGCCGTTCTTGGTCTTCTATTAGTAAGTCGGATGATTGGGGTTGTCAGGTGAACACCACCATGTATCTGTAGTTGAGAATGCTGGAGTTGATTGACGACGTCTGGCTGGCTGACCCCTCCCTTTGCGAGATGACGTTAGTCGGATCGGGAGCCATTGGTGTCGATAACTCACGACAGATTGTATGTGGAATCATTATCTAGAGTCTCCTCTTCCTAGACCTAGTCAGCACGGTGTTCAGCAAAAGTAACCCATGGGAAACACACGTCGACTTCCAAATGATCTTCTCTCGGCGGAGACTGAGTTTCAGGTACGAGGCCCTGGTCTGGGCTCGGACTTTTGTCATCTGCCATGGCTACAATAAAGTTGAGAAATTGTAACGTTTGCGGGGTTTTTGAACCGGACTTTCGGTCTGCATTTATGGCCCGCCAGTTCATCACATATCACATTGCATGATATCATCCCTGTAAGCAGCAGCCAACCGAGATTGAATCCAGTCCTCGCTACCAGGCGCCAGGTTATTGGGCAGATGGCGATCACAATGTGGATCTACCTAATTAGTGTTGGATATTGAGCTATTGCAATGGTAACTTGAAGCTGACATCAAATCTGTTCCATTTTCCCTGGACTGTTAAGACCTCATTCGAATTTTCCAAACATCATGTCTCGTCTTCCTGTCAAAAGGATCCTTCTTACCGGCGCAACAGGCTATGTCGGTGGTACTGTTCTCGACCACCTCATAAAAGCCCAAGATGAGGTTCTTAAAGGCCTCACTATCGATCTCCTCATCCGCAGTGATGACGCTGCCGCCAAACTTCGCTCGGCTTACGGCGACCGCGTGAATCCCATTCAATGGGCTGGTCTCCATGACATGGACTCTATCAGGGATATCGCATCCAATTACGAGCTCATCATCAACACTGGCTCAGGTTTTATTCCAGACGGAGCCGAAGCTTTTGTGCGGGGCCTCGCTCGTCGCGTTGAACCAGGTGTTCCCCCGCCTTGGCTATTGCACATTTCAGGTTGTAGCAATTTAGCTGATCGGCCACTTACACAAAAAGCGTATCCGGATAGGGAATGGAACGATACGGACGGGAATGCCGTTTATGAGTTTTTGAAGTCTGAAGACGCGCGAGAGCCTTATCCTCAGAGGACCACCGAGGTTCGCGTCTTGACTGCAGCTGAAGAGACTGGTGTGCAAGCTGTCAGCCTCAATACGCCTGTGATTTTTGGTGCTGGTAAAGGACTTTTCAACCAGCAGGGCATCATCATACCTATCATAATGCGCTACATTATTCAGCACGGATATGGGTTCAAGTTGAACGAGACTGCGAACTGGGACTGGGTTCATGTTGAGGATCTTGCTGACGCCTTTGTACTTCTCACGCGAACTATTCTGGATCGGGAAGACCGTGGAGTAGGCTATATTCCAACTGGGAAGAATGGCATTCTTTTTCCAGCTGTTGGGAGGGCTTTGCAGACCGAGATCGTGCAAAGGTGTCTTGATGCCGCGTTCGATGAAGGAATTTTGCCTCGTCAAGATACGCCTCCGTCAAAGGAGATCAGGGATGTTGCTTTACAAGAGCTGGCGGATGAGATCACAGCTGGTCTTGTTGATATGGCGGAACGCGGATGGGCGGGTACCAAGTCGATGAAAGGTACTGAACTGCAACGACTGGTTGGTTGGATTCCTAGTCGTTTGGAAAATGCTTGGAGACAAGATTTTAAGGATGAGCTTGAGGCATTAAAGACTGGGAAGAGACCATGGACACTGGAAAGCTGCATTGGTAAGGCTGGATAGGTCAACAAAGTACTCCTTTGGCGTGCTTGAGTTCAGGTACCCGGTTATACTGGATATGATACCTGTAACTGTTAAATTTGTTAGCAAATTAAAGATTCTCCACTTGCCGAAGCCGCTCTCCAGCAGGAAAATAAGTGCCATCAATAGGTACTAGGTCCCATTAGTCTTAGCTTAATCTTGCATAATAACAGTGGCTGATGGTCTAGACTAATCTAATATTCCAATAGTGCTTCACTTTGCATTTCATGGCTTTGGCTGGCCAATCGAGATTCTATATGGCTGTCTTGGATTCTCCAATTTCCTTTAACAACACGTGGTATTATCGACCTTATTATTTTAATCTCCTCCCTTCCCCTAACTTATACACTCTTTTCCATTCATACTTCATCTTTAATTGCCCCAACTCCATTCAAAACATCTCTCAATTACTGATTTCAAAATATCCACGGCAATGAGCTCGCGCACGAGGCGTATTGCTAAAGAAATTGGGGACTGTCAGGACACCGGTGTAAACGTGCGTACATTCTACCCAGCTGATTTAACTTATCTCGAAGCTTCTCTGTCAATTCCGCCAAATACACCCTACTTCGGAGGCACTTACACCATCAGCATCGTGATGCCCGATGACTACCCATTTGCGAAGCCGTCAATCAAGTTCAATCAAAAGATATATCATCCTAATGTCTACTATGAAACGGTACGACATTGCACTACACAGTGCATTATGATATCCTCTGACCGGGCGCTGAAACTGACGACACTAGGGGGGGGCTTGCACCAGGTGCTCTTGGCTCATGGGAACCAACCAATACTATCAAGTCCACCTTGAGCATGATAGTCAAGCTGCTTCAGCAACCTGACTCAAATTTCCCTGTCAATGAAGAAGCAAACTCGCTGTTTTTGAGGAATAATCCTGTGTTCAGAGAAAGGGCTCAGGAGTGGGCCGTAAAGTACGCAGGTGCCCCAGCTGCGGAAACGGACAGGTTTGTTTCTTCGATGCTCTCCCATTCTCTTATGAATAACAGATCCACTGACCATCAGTAGTGCTCGTTACGGAGGGTACAATCGGAATTTGATCGAGCCGTTCATTGAGATGGGATACTCTAAAGACGCAGTTCTCGAGGCATTCCAGTACGTTGGAATCGATCGCAATAATGGCAAAGACTATACTCTGGAGGAAGCTTATCTAGGCGATGTTATGTTAAGGCTATCCGACGCTCTATAGTGGGTCTGTGTCATCGAATAAGGAAGGAAAGCCGTGTCATCGACATGAACTGCAGCTCAGACTGTTATAGGTGGCCAGGTCACATACAGTTCGCCACATTCACTCCATAAGCTGGCGGTGGATCTACAGATACTGAATCTTGACATTCTCGACGGCTTAAATCATTGACACCATAGTGAAGATTCCCAAGACTATACTACTATACATTGAGTACCCCTATTTACGCACGTTTGACGAGTGAAGTAAGCCTCTTCGATTACTGGAATGCTACAGCCCTGGTCTGGCTAAAGTGGCTAAAATATGATCCCCTTCACCCGGTGCACTGGTCCCGGACTTAAGGACCTTGGTATTGTTTATAGTTCGACTTGACTGAAAATATCCGAAATCGTCGCGGCGTAAACGCCACTTTGATCAATCATTCCAGATCACAATTCCTAACAATGCCAGGCTGATAAATCACGTCTGATCCCTTAAAGACTTCCCGGTTGATCTTCTCTCTTTCCTCCCCTAACATGGGGCGATTCAAATTACAAATCGGCATAATAGCCCTGTCGTTCAGGGTTGCGGCAGCCCAAGCGCCGACAGGACTCCCAGAATGCGCCGTATATTCTTTCGATCTTTCAATCGTGATATTGACTGAATCTTGATCTAGATGAATTGTCTGCTTAAAATTATCACTGAGCCCGCATTCTCCAACTCGACGCAGGAACAGCTTTGTCACAATGAGATCTTTAGTGCTACAGTAGGCAAGTGTTTATCGCAAGCCTGCACTGCGATGGAGACTTTAAGTACTACACGCCCCTACAGTCGAGCTCTCATTTAGAATGCTAATCTTGACTTACGCGATAGGAACGGTAAACATCTCTGCAACCGAGTGCGGTTTACCGATACGAAATGACGGCGCGGCATTACAAATATCAAGCTGGGCAATCTTCAGTCTCGCCATGATGTTTGTAGCTCTGAGATTCGGGTGGAAATACTTTGAGAGGTCACATTGGGGACTAGATGATACTTTTATGATCCTCCCAGTTGTGAGTGCTGCTTCAAATTGCTGACGGCGAATGAGTTGGGATATGCTAATAGCCAGAAGGGATTTCTGATAGCGCAAGCAGTGCTTGTACAACTAAGTCAGAAAATTCTCCTCGATACCAAAGTCAATAAGTACATGCACTAATTGTGTAATAGTGGTCGAACATGGCGTTGGTCGAGATGTTTGGACACTCTCTCACGACGAGATCGTAACCTCGTTTAAAGTAACTTTCCCGATGTTAATCTTAGCTACCGAGTGACCGAACCAGTTACTCTTTTTTGAGCAGCTCAACTACTTTCTACTCCTCGGCCTCGTCAAAGCATCCATCCTAGCCTTTTATCTCCGAATCTTCCCCGATCACAAGTTTCGCGTCACAGTTTGGCTCACACAAATATTGAACCTCAGCTCAACCTTGATATGCCCCATAGTGATGCTTACCTCCAAGACGCCTGTTCAATCAAACTGGGAATCGTGGCAAAATATATATCCATACGGAAGAGTTCGGACCCAAGAGCTGTTATTCTTGACACATGCGATCCTCAACATTACGCTTGATGTGTGGATGGTGATAATCCCGATAACGCAGCTTTACTATCTGGGCCTGAAGATCAGAAAGAAGATTGGGGTGATTGCAATGTTTAGCGTTGGAGTCTTGTCAGTCTTTCTACTACCTCTCCGATAGTATATACTAATACCAAATTCTTTTAGTCTCATAATATGTAGTGTCATGAGGTTCATCTACCTCAGGTCATTCCTATCAGCAAAGCAGGGCACAGGTAAGCCCCGTTCAATAATATGCCATTCAAACCTAACTTTCGCAGAGAATAACGCTCTCATCGCACTAATATGGGCTTGTATCGAGCCCTGCGTGGGTGTCATGGTGGGTTGTTCGCCCAATATCCGCCAGTTTGTCCGAAAGGTTCGAAGCTCTGCAACGGGCCAGTCCAGCATTTCTGGGGCGCAGTACCATGCGTCTACCGGGATCTTCAAAAACCGGTCACTGGAGCTTATATCCGACGGCACTACTGCGGTTGAGTCTGAGAGATCTAGAGACAAAAGCTTTTCTGTTTGCTAGTGTTAGTAATAAATAATACCATATGAATATATCATAATCAGCCTTGACCTGCGGTTCTGACTCTGTCTTTGGGATATGAGAGCCTGACCAAGCGCAACATCTAGCTCCAGATGAACTAAAGGCCGACAGCAATTGAAGCTTTTAACTCGAAGCCGGTTACATCGGAAACTATTAATTACTTTATCGCAGTAGTAAAAGGTAACTTTCTCGGCTAAATGTATACTGCGTATCAAGAGCCTACAGTCGGGATAGACAGTCAGGTCCTTACATTACACTGAAATTGCCGGTATGATCACGTATTGCAGTGTATATAAGCAAAGTTAAGGCATTAACTAGAGAAGCTAGGAACTAAACAATATACCTGGACATATTCTTTGCTATACATTGCTGATGGATACTCTTAGTACTGCAGTGCATACATTGCAGGTTTGAAATATCGATCGGCGTCAACCTGCTCTTTACTTACTAGCTTTGAAGTATGTTCCCCTTACGAGTGGGTCAATCAAAAAGCTGATTATCTCTTGATCAAACTTTCTGGCATCCTTCTCGTATTGATACTCTGTGCATCAGCCAAGACTCACTACCGCTAGTCATGAACCCGACGATGGACCCAGATGGTCGGTGCGGAAAGTGGACAAGTTTTGTAGATGCCGTGAACTCTAAACCGGACAATCACGAGGCGGTCTGAAGGATGGGGGCCATTTCTGTCATATAAATCCACCAAGAGGTCCTCGTTGATGTGATTCTCTTCATCTCATCATAATCCTTTTACATCACTCAGCATCATGAAGTTTGCCTCTTCTCTCTTTCTCATTGCCAATGTGGCTACTGGAGCTCTGGCACTTAGCGGAGATGGCGCCGCGTGCCAGTTGAACATTGAGTGTCTCAGCGGATACTGCATGCCTCATACAGGCTCGGACAAATACGTATGCTGGGGCCAGCGTCGCAAGGGAGGTCAGTATAATCTCTGCATCTACTGTCAACTTCACAATAGAAGTCGCTAACATGAACAACTTTTGTTAGACTGGTGCAACGTCAACTACAGCGGAACAGTGTGCAACAACGGACTGACGTGCCAGTCTTATCAGGGTAAGTTGCATTTAGAGGCCATAGCCTTCCTGCGGTATAACATGCACGGTAGCAGATGCTAATTGTTTTCTAGGAAGCTTCTTCCTTGGCAAGTGCACTTAAAGGCAGCTAGAACTAAGGTCCTAGCTAGATAAATCAGTAGTGATACTACCTCATATATGCTTATTCTCTTGACATTCTTACGCCCCTGCGGGGTTGCATCTGGTGGCGCAGTAACATTTGCAGTGTCACGCAGGTGATGTGCCTCTATATCCACTCGACTCGTGTTGGGTGCTTATTCACTGTGATGCTTATTCACTGTTTACTGGCGATGATTGAATTTGAACTTTGTTTAGCGCATCTGCATTGACAAACAAATAAATAAACAAGTAAATATTGTGAATGTCTGATTGTGTCACGCCAACACGTGACCCCAGCAACGGGTTTTGAGCCTCGAAAACAAAGCCGAAACTTTCTTTTCATGTCCCCTCAGTACAGTCAATCATCGTTGCAACACTCTCACTTTGTACAGCAGCCTACGTGACGATGGTGTCGCAGAACCTCTATCTCTCTTACAAGAGGGACACAAAATACCTGTTGTACTGGATGATCAACGTATCCAATCGTCTGCTCAGATCCACCGATGGAGATGCTCAATCGGCCGCATCTGTCAACACGACAGGTCAAACCACAGTAAATGGTCTGATTTCCATGTCGACACTCATTTCTCAGCACAAGGAACCTGTACCCAATGTTATTTATCGACTTTTCGGATCCATCATTCAGGCGAGATCTCTCGTTAGCACCACGTTTCAAGAGCTTATGGGGCCTGATTCGGACGACGAGCTCAAACGAAGTAACGAAAGTCACCGACACTTCATAAACACTCTTCGCAGCGCCTTCAAGATTCTTGGTGGCGAAGAATGGGAGAAGACGAGCGCCACGACCAGCGACGATAGCGAGGACGTTGAACAGATCCTCTTCGCCAACAAATTCCAAGAATTGAGCGTCGACAAGGGAGAGTCGAGTGATGAAGAGGACGATGTCGCTCCACATTCACCAGTCGCTGCACGAAAAGTCTCACGAAAGCCAAAGGGCAAGGGCAAAAAAGCGAGAAAATACAAGAAGCCGAAGAAGGGCAAGAAACAAGACACGAAAGATCCTGCGACCGATGAAATACCTATTGAGAGCATCCGCATTATCGAGGACAGTGGCGAGGTCGGCCTTGTCACAGACTATCTACTCGCAGTCTACTCAACTGTCAAAGAATGGGCCGAACTCCGCGCTTACAATCAAAGTCTTTGGAAAGAGGTTGCATACGAAGGTCTCAACAGCGCTGTCGCTGGAGCTGTAAGCAACCTGACATTCTCCATGGTCAAACGCACCAACGCGGCTATCTTTGTCGACTTTCCGGGTCACGACACGTATGAAACTATCATGAACACCATCACTCGAGGAAACATGGAGAGGGCACAGGGAAACTTCAGGCTGTCTCTCTTTGCGGTCGGTCCGGATGGTGAACAGCACAGTCAGAAGGAGACAGCTGTGGATATTAAGGAGCAATTCCTTATCCACGCTTATCAGGACTTGAGGGCCTTTGTACTTGACTTCCAGGCCAATCGCACTGGCAAGCCGACAAAGGCAATGCAGGCGAAGATTGCCAAATGGGACCCAAATTTTAACTTGGAGCGCGCGACGAATGAGGAACGAGTGTACTGGCGGCGCTGCTACACCATCAAATGGCTCTACGATCTTGTCAACGTTTTCTCGTCTGTTGTGGTTCAGAGAAACACCGTCAGAGGAGAGAAGCATGTCTACGAGGAGGTGGATTGGTCCGCTAATGGTCCTTGGGGCGTCCATCGAATCATCTTCGGTTTGGAAGAATTCGCGGGCGACATCACAAACATGGCCATGAAGAAGCCCGGAACCGACATCACTAAAATGATTTACCCGCATCACGTTTTCCAGATGCAGTGTATCGTCGACTCATTCACTGTTTCTCGCGGTTGGTCTCTGAGTGCTCTGCACGGCCATATGCTTCAAGCGCCGGCAAAGAAGGGTCGTGCCCGGCGAGACGTCGACCTTTTTCTTGATCGACAGAATAAGCGCGTTTTTGCCGGTTACTGCCAAACTGTCGATTTACTCAAACAGATTCTCGATAAGGATGGTAAAATGGAGCAGCACAAAGACTTTTTTGAGATCATCAAGATCTCGCAGCTTGATTTCGTCGATTTTCTTGGAGAACACAAGTACACGACCGGCCTCGATACCATACCGCCCTCTCGTTTTGCAGACCACGATGCGAATGGCCTGCAAGAGTATTCGCCGTTCTTGTGTGGAGTTGGGCTTGAGGAAGGTCTTGAGATCGCTTATAGACTTGGCATGTACCTTTGGGAACGCATCCCTGAGCCAACGCTGATGATCCATCTTCACAATGCTGTTGTACAGAAGGGTTACCTCTCTCGACCTATCGGACTGTGCGCTACAATAGAGGATCTCTTCAAGCATACCTTCTTTGCACAGGGTCGCATACCACAATCGGAGTTTGTGGATGCTCTACTCGCGTCTGTAGGACAGCCAGGGTCGAGACAGGCGCAGGCGCAGAGTCAGGCCATTCGGCACAGAAGAAGGTATGCCGATAACATCCATCAGCTATTCGACTTGGAGGCCAACCAGATCTTCAAGAGGAACTCTATGCTTACTACTTGTCGCCGAGCGGGTTGGAACCTCGAAGCCATTCCTGATGAGGAGCTTCAATTCGGCAGCATGTTGTTCTTTGAGCGGCTTAGTCGAGCAAAACATGTTAGCGAAAATGAACTCGAGAGCACTGTCCTTGTTCGGAAGGCGAGAGCGGTTGGAATGACTGATAAAGAGATTATTGAAGCGACAAACAAACTCTCGTCGATTGCGAACAATACGCTCGAGGTACCAGATGAGGTCTTGAACAAGTATGCACCTGAAGGCTTTCAGTTACCCCCACAAGTTGGATCAGAAGTCCTCAACGGTCGCGATATTCTTGACTTGGCTAAATTCGACATTCTCTCCGACGTAGCAGGAATGGCGCCAATTTCGAGTCTTAACTATCTCGGCGTCACCTGCTGGCTACTCATCACGTTTGGGCGTATAGAGGAACGTCTCAAAGAAGCTGGAAATCCTGTGTACTTTGAGGCATACGAGGGATCTGGGCCTTGGAAATTGGAGAAGAGAATTGCTCTCGCGTTGCTTGCCCTGAAGGGAGATAATGAGGAGTGTTTGAGGATTGTTGCTGATACGTTGAATGAAGCTCGTTCTGGATTCATGGATTTTATCTACTGGGAGGACTTGGAGACGGAACCGAGAGAGAAGGAAGAACGTGTGGACCCCAGTGTTGGAAATGAGTGCACTGTCATGTGAATGGGCTTTGGGTCTGCTGGGGTTAAAGAGTGATGATTTGGTCTTCGTATGCTAGACTAGAGGTTTTGGTCATAGAAAGAAAGACAGATCCTGGACCACTTATGGAAGCACTTCAAAATCCCAATGTCCCTTTTTCAGTTGCTCTGCGTAGGCCATATATCCAGCCACTGCAACCTTCCAACATGCTGACATGTTTCAATGCTCAAGCCGAGATCGCGATATCAGCACAAGTCAAGTAAACCTGAGGAGTCTGGAACGAGTTCCACTTGAACGACAAGAGGGTATGGTTCGAGACATAGTCTGGGATTTTGATCTTGCCAGACACAGTGTAACCACCTGCAATAGAGGTGTAGCATGAGTTAATCGGCGCATTATCAACACCACGACATCCCTTGCCATCCGAGTTTCCATCAAAAGACTTGCATGTGAACCAATCATTGCGATGGCATGGCTGATCAGCAGAACAATCAGGACTGTAACCGCACTCCTGCCCATCAACATCAGTGCAGGGAAGAAGACCTTCCTCAAAGCAATTCTCAGCAGCTTGCTTCTCAGCTTCGGTGGGGATATAGTTTGGATCAAGAAACTTGTCGACAATGTCTTGGTCTTGACAGATACGATAGGCGTACATGCCTCCATGGTCACCGTTGTTGTCAACGCACCACTGGACATCGACAACTTGGCCGGGTTTGTAGGTGGCGATGGGTTCTTTGCCCCAGTTGGAGCCGGGCTGGTTGTAGTCGACGCTGACTCGGGCGTTGTAGCCGCAGGGACCAGAGCGTCCGACTTTGGCGGCGTCGAGGTCTGGCCAGGCTGTGACAGGCTCGAGGATGGTACACTCTGGGCATGTATCTGGGCCGGCCTGTCGCTTGTTAGCTAATGTTGGAGAGGTAGGATGGGGTTAGTTACTTCGGCGTTGAGACCGGTTCGGCTCATGGGTTTACTGAGGTAGCCGTGCCCGTACACGAGGGTGCACATGGAGGCAAGTTGAAGAGCTTGGAGGGTGAACATGTTGATAGCTTGTAGATCTTGTAACCTTGAATGCAGTAACTTGTCTGGGTGTCGAAACCGTTGAACTTGTGGAGGCCATCTGGGCTTCTTATACACGTTTTGCCCTTGTTCTCTCACAAACCCTTCATGGCTTATGAGGAAGATCATTTCCATTTTCTCTCGTTCCGAGCCTTTTACCTGATCATGGGGTTATTTCAGGTTTGTGAAGCTATCTCGATCATTGCCATCACCCTCGGCCATTAAACGGAGCATTCACTTCTTACAAGACCATAGTTCCACCTATAATGTTTCTTCTAGCCCTGTCAACTGATGTCAAGTAAAACCCTCTAGCTCCTTGATCATAAATTGCATTACTCACCCTTCGGCGCTTCTTCCAGCCCTGCGCTAGAAAAACAGACACATCGTGACAAATTTGACACCAAGTCATTTTGCAAACTAAACCAAATGCTCACTGCAGAAAGGGTAGCATCGATCGGCTACGGCCCGAATAAATGCATAATAAGGACAAATGCCAAGACTCATTCGCATAAACTCATCGGCTGTGACCGTTTTGGGGTCGTCGGACCTGAACATCAAGCGGAGACTCCGCCTGAACCTTGGGATTTCGGAGACTTTCCGCTACCCCAGTATGATCTACAGAACCTATGATCAGACTTCGCGAGTACTCAATGCTAAGCGCGCATACCAAAAAGGAAAGGTTAATGAAGTCGAGCCGTGCAGGCAGTTGAGAATATTCCAGATACGAAATGCCAATTGCTGCGTCTCATAATAGCACAAATAGCCCCCTATGGGATTGCCAGCGACATATCTACAAACCGTAATTGACTATAGACTTAAGCGACACTAAATAAATTGTCCAGGACTTCTACTGTATGCATTACGGCTCCTGCCGAATACCCCGCGTTCTCTGTCGATCATCATTGGGCGGCGACATGTCGGCCACTCTTGGATATTCGGCCCTCAGTCGGTGAACTAACCATATGTATTAATCTAGAGTTGTCTGATGTACCTAAACAGTAATTAGTCGAAACAGGTTCGACATGCCAATCAGTCAGGGTTATTTATTCTCGGGATGCTGTCCAAGGACATGCGGTAGCCCTCCATGTCATGGTCACTCTTCGTCAAATCATATGAAGATATTTGATAACGATATGTGGGTTTCTTCTATATCTCAAAGCTTCTCAAAGTTCTGAAATACATACGTTGGCCATTTACTCACAGGTTCTTCACCCCTTTTTGTTTTCTTGGACAAGTACAGACCGTCAGTACATTACGTTCTTCCAGAGTCTTACAATACCTCACCAACGGTACCTTGACCGCAACAGGAGTCCCATTAATTCGGCCACAGTTTCCATACTGTAAACTATGTGCCAAACTCGTTACTCATTTCGCTGGTTAGATGCACCATAGTCCGTACTCTCATCTAGGCTCATGTGGCCTCTCAGCCCTCCTGTTGCCATGCAGAAGACATAGCATGGTAAATGTCTTATACAATATGGCTATAAGTATTCAAAGTTCTTATTGGTCATTTTCTGCTAAGACTTTCTGGCTTTGACCAATACTCCTCACATATGCCTCGTCAGAAGTGCCGAAATGGCGCATCTGAAGGACAGCGATGCATCTTGATGACCCTTGATATTGCTTTTCGGATCAACCATTAAATTCTGCAGCAGATTGGTCTGTGGTAACTAAAGGATTTACGTCGTCGCGGTTCAAATAGACTTTGAGTAAGTATCTCACTTCTTCGAAAACATGGAAGGAGCGCATGCGAAACCACGTGTCGTCACCAGATCAGGCAATTGTCCCAAATGGCAATTTTTTTCACGAGGCTTGAGTACCTGTGCGCTTAAGATATCAAGCGGTGAGCCAATTATGTCAATATCAAGATAACAAGAGTCTTTGACGCTGCCAAGTCTTGGTGATGAGGCAGGGTTTAACTTGGCGGGCGTATGACATCATTGACAAGGCTCAGACCATCGCCACTCTGCCCAGCCAAAAGACGAGCGACACGTACAAAAGAAAAGTAGCTATTCCAAGGAACCCCTTGACATTCTGAAACAAATCCAAGAACCTTAAAATTTATGTTTCGAACCTGATTTTCCAGCTGTCAGTCACGTATTAAAGCGCTCTCAATTGAATGAGGGTTTCACGACATTCCAGAGTCTCTTGTACCCAAAATGCGCCAATCAACTTTGTACCCATTTTTATGCCTCTGCAGGCTCGCTGAAAGCATTGACCTCTCGTCAAAACGCGGCCTTGCATACCACGGAGACGACCATAAATCAGATAATGAGCTCCTGATCTCGAATAATTCTGAGATCGCGTGGTATTACACCTGGTCGCTTTGGCAAAACGACCAAATCGGCAGTTCTTTACCATTCGTGCCATTAATTCACGGCCTCGACGATGCATCGGATTCTGAGCTCGAGTCGCGCCTAAATGGACTACCCGAATCATCTACGCACCTCCTCACCTTCAATGAGCCAGATGGCGAAACAGACACCGGCGGAAGCGCGATATCTGCCAAAGATGCAGCGCGCGCTTACATAGAGCATATTGTCCCGCTGAGAAAAGCAAAGCGCAAGTGGTCAATCAGCCATCCCAGCGTTACCGGCTCACCACGCGGTCTCGAATGGCTACGAGACTTTAATGAATCCTGCTACGACATTGACGACCATGGTTGTCCTACAGATTTCGTCGCGGTGCATTGGTACGGCGACGCAGGCGGTCTTAAAAATTGGCTGGGAAGTTTGCGCGAGTTTTACAATGAGACGGCGCCTGACGCACGGTTCTGGATTACGGAAATGGCTCTACCGAAAGGCGATGACGATGAGACGCTGGCTATGATGAATGAGAGTCTTCCGTATCTTGATGATAGCGATGATGTCCAGGCCTATGCATGGTTTGGAGCATTTAGGAAGGATGATGCGAATGAGTGGACTGGGGATAGCGTGTCGCTGTTTGATGATGATGGGGGTTTGACGAAGCTGGGTGCGGAGTATTTGGGTGGTGAAGAGAAGGGATTTGAGGAGGGAATGAAGGGGGACTCGGCGGGAAGTTTACAGTCGCCTTCGATGGGTATCATGCTGGCCATGGCCCTGATTTCGCTAGTTCATTTTTGGTGAAGTTACGGAGTAGACGAGTATATGATAGACGATAGATAGTGATGCCATTCATGAAATTGCATCGAGTGTGATAAGGAGCTGTCTCGGTCACAATTCCGCGTGGAATTTACTCTTCCAATTCGGATGCGGATGTGGATCCAGTTTCGTCCTGAACAGGAGAGATCGGAGTGTCAAGCAGCTCCGAGTGGTGGAGCGATAGATCCCGTCTCCACAGCCGTGTCTGAATTCGAGGGATATCCAGTTCGAAGACTTCTTAGTTCCGCACACTCAGACTTTGAGTCTTTGTCCAAAAATATCTGTTTCTCACAAGATCGCGAAGCATGTCCAATACAAGATGATTCTATTAGCCACTAGGACATCTTCGCACGAAGGAAAGCTCGCGACTATCCTACATCATATTCAGAAATCGTCAAGTTCATTAATCATCAAGTTTCTGTGAGAGATTCTCATGACTTGTTGATAAGACTTACCGTGATAAAAGCTACTCTGTATAGCCGCTGAAGCGATTGAACCAATCTGAGACACCCGGAGCCCAAGAAGTCACCGTTCCCATCGAAGTTCGTCCCAACAAGATGGAACCCAATCATTCAACACCATTCTTCATCTGGTGGTCCCAGAGCCACGTTTTCATGCCGTCTTGGAATCACTAAGCCTTGGTTCCTGAACTTAGGCGGCCGTGCCCATCCAGAAGATCTTACTTTGCATGTCTCACGGTTCGCGGGCACGGATGATCATCACAAGCTCACAGGTAGCATCACGAAATGTAACATGGAATTCTGCACGTTGGACTCTAGGGTATCATTACGAGAGACAATGACGTCAGACCTCTCAAAAGTTCCCAGACCCTTGTAACATTTCCCCAACCTCGTTTACGGTCGTTCCCCGACTTTCAGATTCATAATCTTTACAAATACACATCAATTGAATCCATTCAGCCTGTAACGTATAGCCAGGTCGGTTATTCCATGACATAAATTACATCTCTCGAGCTGCAAAAACTAGCTTGTCAACTTGATTGGAGGGGCTGTGAAGCTGTCACCCGTCGCATAACTACCGCTTACCACCAGCCTTGTCTCGGCCAATCCCTCGGCGGGATACGGCTGTTGAACCTGTAGAAACCCCATGGACGTGCAAACAGCCTGTTATCCCCCGCACGACGATCCCAATCCAGACTCGCACAACCATGTCGAGACAGAGTTCGCTAAGATTACCCGACCCAGGCGCACCAATTACACTCGCGCGGAAAACCTGGGGAAGCTTCTTAGCTCCAAAACTTCCCCAGGATCGCGGCTCAATGGCAAGTTCCTGGACGGACGATGACAGCCGCACCAGTCATTGAACTTGAAAGCTGATCAGACGAGACCCTGAGATCCTTTAATTGGAGAGGGGTTCTGTTGGTGGAAGTTATGTGGGTTGTCCCGCGAGAGAACAGAGATCGTCGGTTTTTCTATAAAGCTTGGGGGTTTTCGCTCTTTCTTGCTAGGCCAGTCTCCACCTTGATCATCCGCAATCATGTTCTTCAAGGCTGTCGTTGCTGCTCTCATCCCACTCGCCCTTGCGACCAAAGGCAAGGGTCCCGACAAGGATGGCAAATACTGGATCAAGGGAGACGGCATCAAAGCCGCTTTCATACCCTATGGCGCCTCCATCACCAATCTTCTGATCGACGACCAGTACGGTATCTCCCGAGATATCGTCGCTGGCTTCGATAATGCTACGCACTATAGCATTGACGAGTCTCACCCCCATCTTGGCGGTGTTCCCGGAAGATACGCCAACCGTATTCGCAACAGCACGTTCGAGATTGACGGCAAGAAGTATCACGTCACGCCCAACGACAACCCTACGCCTGAGTCTCCCAAGGGCGCTGACACGCTCCACGGCGGACCTGATGGCTGGGACTACCGCAACTTCACTGTTGTGTCGTACACCGACTCCAGCATCACCTTCTCCATCGTTGACCCTGATGGAAAGGAGGGTTTCCCCGGAGAAGTTGTCTCCTACGTCACCTATACCCTGACTGGCATGGACTGGGATTTCAAGATTGTTGCTCTCGCGACCACCAAGAAGACCCCCATCATGCTTACCAGCCATACGTACTGGAACCTCGACGGCTTCTCCAACAACGAGACAAGCACCATTTCCAACCATACTCTTTACATGCCCTACGGTGGCCAGCGTGTTGCGACCGATAACATTCTTATCCCCACTGGTGATATCATTCCCAACAAGAAGGGATCTGTGAATGATTTCTGGAGCAAGCCTAAGATGATTGGTGACCAAGCCAACAACAAGGATCTGGAGAACAACTGCGGTTTCAACTGCACAGGATATGGTTAGTATTCCATTTCACACGATCCATAACATCGCTAACTAGTCTCAGACACTTGCTACAGCGTCAACCGCGGCCAGCTCGGCAACTTTGACTGGCGAACTGAGGGTCCCGTGGCCACCATCTCCTCTGCCTGGTCTGGCATCCAGCTCGACATCTACACTGACCAAGACGCTTTCCAATTCTACAGCTGCACTCAGCAGAAGGGCACCATGCCTCTCAAGAAGACTCAGGGTCTCAAGGATAACAAGGACTTCCCCCGAATTATCCCCAAGTATGGATGCATGGTTGTTGAGGTTCAGGACTACATTGATGGCATCAACAACCCTGAGTGGCAGAGACTTGAGAAGCAACTCTATGAGCCTGGTGGCAACCCTTATGTTCTTCAGGCCAAGTACCGCTTCAGCCTGAAGGGCAAGGAGTAGACTATAGATGTAGGGTCTGGTAGTTGAAGTAATTGATAATATTTGAGCGGCTTACTGTTTGTGAAATGAAGCGATAATTGAAGTATGAAAGTGATGCGTTATGATATTCCAATACCGCTCCTGAGCATCACCATAGAAGGTTTATATCAGAAGAGCACAAATACCCATACTCTCCATCGATTGCCTTGCACTCCAAACTCTACTCGGATTTCGCCGGCGTTGCTTCCAAGCATTTTGCATCACACTATAAACCGTACCACAATTTGTGAAGCCCGCCTCAGCATGGTCCATAAGCTTCGTTAACAAATTGTCAAAGTACTGCTCATTGGGAGGAAGCGCCATGCAACCCGCAACGCACAGAGGCCATGGTGTTGCTCTTAGGGATATATGTGGAGGCAGGTTGTCAAAAACCTCGACGACTCGTGATACAGCACCGTGAGGATCTGGTGAAGTGATGTTGTGCTCGGAGGCAACAGTGTAAAGCTGCACGAGTGCCGCAGTCGCGAAGAGGTGGGTTACCGAGGGGTTGGTTGGCGTTAACTGTTGGGGCTGATTAGCGACAATTCGCTTGCAGTCTTGTGGAAGGATAGAGACCATTGATCCATCGTCTAATGCCTCGTCTATTCCGCTATGTATGCGTTTCTCCAGGTCATCAATGGCGATTTGCAAAGCCCCACTGTCCATTGTTATAGCCTTCGAATCCAGGGACATCATGTCACCGATCGCAATCATGATGCAGTTTGAGCAACCCATGACTCTCGACATATCAATATTTCCAGTGTTGAGCCAATCATGATATGGTAGTCTCGGTGCAATCCCCGTTGCTAGAGGCGCAAGTATATCTATCCAGACAAGGTTCGACAGAATGAACTTTTGCGCAGTGTTCATGCCCCGCTGGAAGTCGAAATCCGGGCTCGAAGGATTGCATGCATCGAAATCGAAGTCGGAGGATGTCAGGTCCTGGATGACCGAGACGAGGGCATTGAAGTGGGCTTGCCAATTGTTTGTACCGCCTTGAAAGACCTATGCAGTGTTAGAGTACACTCAGGTATGTGTATGCTGTGGGATTACCTCGAAGGAGATCAAGAACATCCCGCCTGCAAGGAACTTGAGCCATTCCTCAATGTTGTCAGCAGAAGCTCCAACGTCTCGGTGGCGAACGACCTGTCGAAGTTCCTGAAGCGCTTTGGTATGGTATTGCAACAGTTCGTCTTCTTGATTTTCCGTATGATAGGGTGAGAAGGTATGTTGATGGAAGGCAGAAAGGGTCAGAGCCGCATTCCGAAGAGGCGCATCTAATCGATGGTCAGAGTGAACATCTCCGCGAGGGGCATCTCATACTTCTCTCCAGAAGGAAGAACAGCCATCCTCTGCCTCCTTGATCTGGCGCATCAACATAGAAAGCATACTGAATGGGAAAGATATAGTCGAGGTAGTGTACCAAGTACTGCGCCTCGCGAAAGATGGTGTTTGTAGTTGATGTGCCGACTGGTGCTGGACTTTGAGTAATTTTGCCTCGGGGTCGAGAAGTGGCTTTGGCTCGTGAAACCTGTGCTGCTTGAGCCGTGGACCGAGCAAGTTGTCTGTTCTGAATTGTCTTGACGCGTCGGAAATTCTCCTTGACAGCAACTTTGATCCGCCGAAGCTCTTGTTGCAGCAACTGATCATTGCTCATCCATTCTGGTGGATCGAGATCATATCCATGGCATGTAATGCTCCGCGTACTACACTCTTTGCATTCAGGGGATGACTCGTCACATCTTCTGTGTCGAATGCGACATGTCCAGCAGCCCCTGCGTCCTCGGGGCATGATCTGCTGATGTGAATGTCAAGCTCGGAATTGAGCATGCAAGATGGGAAATCAAGCGAGGGCAGAAGAAGTGGACCAGGAGTGCTTTAATGGTCTGTTCAGTGGAGTGACTAAACCATTTCAGGGCCTAAGTTGCGCTGAAGCGCTAAATCTAGTGCTGTTCATCGAGACAACCACAAAAGATAACGAGCTGGGCCTGTCGTACCAAACAACGGTATCTTTTAGAACAACCAATTACGGCTATTCCTTGAGACAAAGAGTGGTTTATGTCGGCAAGGTTTACTTTTAATTGTAATCAGTCAATGGGGTTCCGATCGTCGGAGGTCAGTGCCTCCTGTTGGTCCAGTTGCTGAACTAAGGCCTAAAGACGAAGACCCAGTGGAATGACGCAGATGGCTCTTATCTCATACAAGTGAACCGACGAAGTTTATTGAATACCGACAGTAAGCTATGTGTTTCAGAATGGAACTATGTGTCAACCTCCGTACCAAGAATAATAGCAGAGCCTCAGGCCACATTGCAAGAGAAGGGCCTGCCAACACTGCCTCCGTTGAATTTGGCTATCTGTGATCATGTCAGCTATCGTAAAATGGGAACTGATGTTCGGCACACTTACGATCTGGTCAATGCTGGCATATGTGCCGGCAATAAACACAAAGAAACCGACGATAAAGACAATACAGTTGCATGCAGCACGCTTGACATTGTGTTTGTCGTACCAATTGCCCTCCTTAAGGAGGAAGAACCACATAATGGGAGGGATCCAGAACGAGAAGCCCGAAATGAAGAGGGCAGCACAGATTCCTAAAAGCTCGGAGAAAAATGGGATAGCTTCTGCGATAACCCACGAAAGGAAGATCACAAAAGCAACGACGGCCAACCAAGTGATCCAGCCCTTGCGGGTATTGATGAACCGTGTAATAGAATTCTTGTAAAGTCGACCGTGAATAAACCTGCAAGCGACCGTGGCGTTTATAGAGCCTGAGATGTAGATGACAGGCAAGGCAATGCCGAACGCGACTTTCGACACTAATGGGCTGGCGGATAACAAGGCGGGGGACTGAACTTCCTGACCAACGAAGGCATAGATGACTGATCCTGTGATTGTATACAAAACGATTTCGGTAAGGCCTAGAGTGACGATGGATTTCGTGAAATCGGCTGGGGTATGCATTTCGGACATGAAGGAGAATTGGGCTGCAGCGAATGCATACGAGAAGACGATATTGGAGACCGCTGTGAGTGCTTGCGTGAAGCTAAGGTCGTCTTGTGGCCACGCTGACCAGGTAGAAGACGAGAAACCACCTGGAGCATCTGACCTCTGAATCCCAGTGGCGATCATGGTGATACCGATCGCGAGGATGATAGAGATGAAGTCGATGTAACCAAGGATCGCAATCTCAGTGAAGGATGGTGGGATCGCAAGCACCATAAGAATAACAGCAGAGATGACCCCAAAAGCGAGGGTACACACGCTGCTACCAGTAATCTTGACCAATGCAATAGTGCCGGTTAAGCAGTGAGAGCCGGTAGCCAAGATCAACAGTCCCAAGAAAACAACAGCGAACAGCTTATCTCCAAAGCCTCCTATCAACAGCCGACCGGCATCGACATAATGATCAACGTCAGGGTATTTCAGCTTGACAAGACCAACCATGTAACTAGCATACATAGCAATCAAGCTGATTCCGATGCAGGATATAACACCGGCGACCATTCCGAGGGTAGCGAAAGCTCCGGGGAGACTTAGACTACCGAGGGCAATGGCTTGAACGATGAGAACAACTGTAAGACGCTTCCAACCTAGGCGGTGGAAATGGGCTGTGCCTTGGAGAGTCTTTTCTTTCTCGAGGTCGGTTTGGAACATCTGGGCTGTGGCTTCGCTGAAGGAGGCTTGACGGTGGATGCCATCTTGTTTTTCGCCCGCGACGATGATGCCGGAGTCGTTTGTGGTTTTGGGATGACTCATTGTAAAAAAACACAGAAGCTATCAAGAGAGATGATTTAATGGGAAGAATGTTGAAGAAGTTACCTGACCTGGGGAGGATGATGCCCATTATATCCTCAACAAGCCAAGCCTATCCAATCCCTTGGATCGATAACCCCGTGGGGAAGAGCATCAACGTGCGTGAGATCCACGCGATAAGAGTTTTCCGATCATGTCATCAGTTAGACTTGGGAATTGCCGAGTGCGATGACTGGTTGACGAATTCCCAGTTTGAGAACCAATTCCCAGTTTGAGTGGGTTATCGAACAACCGAGCGTGGGCCCTTAAGCCATTGCTTTCCGACCCATTGTTTAGCGGGTTATGATATGAAGGGCGGGATAGTTAGTGCGTGCTTGCTGCTGTAGGGCGCGGTTTGAACGAATATCGGGTATGATGCTCAAGGAGAAATGTTGACTCTGCCTTGTATATGAGACGCATGACATACTTGACAGTATAGATACAAATTTGTCAATGGATTCGTAAACCAGACAAGAATGCTTTACCTTCTTCACCTTCAGTCAACTACCTGATATCCCGGACAATGAAATGATATCCACCCTCTCCATTATGAGGAATCTATTACTAATAATCTGCAACTTTAATTCCGCACCGAGATCAACTACGCTCGGAGATGGGGAAACTGGGGACCATTCGCATCTACTGCTTCATGCCATCTATTTGAAAGCTGTAGAAGCAGTAGTAAAGGTGAGGTCCGCTGTAATACATATATATCTTATGAACTTCTTTTCGCCGTGCGGGGCCCCGCGATGATACTTGCCACATAATGCGGATCCAGCGTAGCTAGTAGACTTCGACTGATTTCTGGTTTGATGAACGACTCACCGTTGACTCTTGTTAACGGAAATGAGTTGCATGCTCAGGCGCAGACGAATGATGCTTACCCGGTCTTGTTATCGGTTTTGGTTGATAAGTATCAAAGGATTCAGTGGCCTCTATCATTGGTTATTGGCACAAGACATAGTTTCGTTTTCAGGTAGATGCAGACTTCTGTCACTTTAATTGACTATTAATAAAGACAGCAATAAAGCTAAACGACAATAAGAGATGGGGAATTGTATAGAGGATGAGCATTGCTAATTTGCTCTATTTCTTTGTGTTATAAGATACTTTCTACTTCCTGTACGTTTCGTTGATGTTCCGGGTAGGACGGATATTTCTGTGATTATTTCCAGTCGGGCTTGCAACTTGGCCAATAAGAGCACTTTTACATGCAATTCATCTCGCTTCACTGACGACTCTAGGCTTAGCCCGTGGACTACAGAGGAACTATTGGCATTAGCTCACTATTCCACGCGTACTCCTAGGTATTTCCTATTCCCGATTTCCTTTATCCATAGACAAATTTTTTCTCTCTTTTGTCTCATTCCTTTCCAACTAATTACTTAATTTATTTTCACGGCTTCAAGCCACTAGATCTGCCAAGATGCGATTTTGCGCGTTGGTGTTGACCATCTTTCTTGGTGCTGCTTCAGCGGGTCCTTGCCGACCCTCTAGCGCCGAGAGCAGTTCTGAACTTATTAGTGTGACGACAATCGAATCGCTCTCCTCAACTTTCGCAGCGACTGTGTTAACTGACGCGACAACGACTGCTATCACATCTATCGTCGAGACTACGACAGAATCAAGCGCGGCTGCTACCACTACTACTGCTGCTAGCACGTGCAATGCACCAGCAGCCCTGACATGCTGCCAGACTGTTGGAACCTCAAGTAACCCCGTGATCAGCCTTCTTCTGGGGTTGCTTGGTATTGTGGTTCAAGATCCCAACACTGTCCTCGGAGCAACATGTATGTGCTGCCTTACTGTTTTTCCGTTTTGTGGTCTAATATTTCCTTTTAGGCTCATCTATTACTGATCCCGCGGCTTGTCAACAAGGCACAGCAGTTTGCTGTAATGATAACAGCCATGTAAGTATTTCCCCCCTAATGATGTCTACAAAATGATATTGACTCGTGTTACTACAGGGCGGCCTTATTTCTATCGGTTGTTCGCGAGTTTAGGGATATACTACGATCTGTTTGATAAACATATAGATTGATTCATTGTGTAAAATGACTGTATTGCTTATTACTTAATGGACCCTTCTTAAAAGCTAGACGTGTAATGGCATAGCACCATAAGCAGCATTAATATATATAAATAATTTAAAGTGTGATAAGATATTACTTAATTTTGTACCTCTAAATATGACTGGCCTGGACAGATGTCTGGAATCACTTTCGAGTTTTAACTTATCAGGGTCGCAACAACACCAGGTACAAGCGGGAAACTACAGTCTAGAAGGCAGGGCAAGCCCGGTGAATTGTAGCCAAGACCACATTATATAACCTGTTCAGCCGTCGCCACGCAACAGTATTAATTAGAACTCACCTTGAGTGCATATTGTCTCTTACAACATCTTAGTATAGGTTAGTTAAACACTGTCTCATAATGGATCGCTTGGTTAGTATTCTAGCTGTGTTGGCCAATCTGTAATCAATAATCTGCGACTTTAAGTCCGTACAAACGTCAGACACCCTCGAAAATGGAGAACATTGGGGATTCATTTTAGAGCCTGAGCAGGGGAACTGATAGCCGAGTCGAGGTAGCACTGAGAATGCTAATTAGATCTCTGTTATCTTCTCCTTTCGGTATATTACTAGGCTTGGTCGAGATCGAAGATAAGGTTTTACCCAGCAATGCAAATCAGATCTGATGGCATCGGGCAGAACATGGCTAGTATCGCGCGAGTACTAAAGGAGCTACTGTTCATGCCGTAAGTAAGTTCTTGCTCAGGGCAGTTCCTGAATTTCCCCGGCATTGGCCTAGCTTCGCGGGTATCACTCCGGCTAAGGTGTCACTTGTTTCTCTCTAAGTCAAGTGGCTTGGTCGCTTCCGTACTGTGCAGATCCCATGGCAGAGAAACATGTCTTAGATGTTGTTTACTGACTGCTAGTTATATCCAGATAAACTGAGACAATACTTGCAGAAGAGTGCTTCCTATACAAATATTGCTGGACTTAGATTACGTTAATCTATATGTACAAATAGGTCCCTTCAGTCTCTAGACAGAGTTGAGCATTCTAAGTGACCTAGAAATATCAATTAGAAGAGCCCAGACCTCACTCAAGGCTCTCCCCCACTAGGTGATGTTGCATTCCTTGGATGGGTTGATTGCAATTGAGGCTTGTGGCTGAGATCTTATCACCACCCAGAACTTGCCCTTACATAGGCCAGCCATACAAAGACATCTGCAACTTACTAACCCAAACTGTAGTACAGAGTAGAAGATGTCATTTGCTGCTGTGAAAAAGACATTGCCGAGCTAGCCGAAGCTCAAATTGCCCAGTACGCCTGTTGCCAAGCTCAATGCGGTGATATCATCTCTCAGCCACAAGCCTCATCTGCGACCGGGTCGGGCGCTGAACACGGTCTCGAATCATTTCGTAAGATTCGAAATCGCACTAAATAGCTGACCGAAAGTTTCCCGCATCCATACTGTCGATCAAAACCTAAAATAAAGTAACTTCTGCTGGTGGTACCTCATGATAAAGACTGGACGTCACTCTCAAGTCTCGTAACCTTCCAGACTGGTCTCTGACATGTTCATTTACATTTTATTCTTTAATTTTCGTCACTACAGCCAATTGATAATCTTTACTTTTTTCTTTACCCTCCTTGGTCATGTCGCTTCGGCGCATGATGCCCTTATGGGCCCTGGCCTTGTTAGGCACGGTATCCGATGCAAAATTGGAACCACGGGATGTCAAGACGCAGCCCATCGAGATCATTGACGGATCATCTACGCAGTATGACACTTTGACAAGGTATGAGATGTAGGGATTTCTCATCGGCTTTCTTAAGCTAATGTCTGTAGTACATTTCTCATGCGAACTGATGCTACATACACTGCCACTGACCCCGTTTATGGATATGGTGAACCAAACACTACGTACAACATTCCGCTGGCGGATCAGCAGCCATCATGTGGAACTGTCATGGTGGAGAGCCATGTGACTATACTATCATCGACTGATCGTATAATATCCGTGCCTGAAACAACGACTCTGCCTACCCAAAATCCATGCGATATAGTAACCGTGATCGTCAGAATGCAAGGCTACAGGAAAGGCGATACAACGAATCCTATTTCCCAAGCCCAGGTCAAGGTTTTACTTCCTTCCGAGAGCGAAAGCTCTCCTCCAGCCGGGACAGAAAGCTCTTTAGGTGGCTCTGCCGTTTCTTCGGATCCTACAGCAACTGGACAAGGCACTGCTGCCAGCATCATGCAGACTTCTTCTCAGGACGACTCTACGAGCACTTCAGATCCTGCAGTGCAGTGGACTACAATCACTACTCAAGGAACTGGCACTGGTCCTATGACCATCACGCAATCTCCAACTAGACCTGGTGAGACAGGAACCGTGTTGGTTATGGCGGCTATGACCTCGGATACCCCAATTGACTATACAACAATCACCAGCACCGGCACCGACACTGGTACTTACACTGTCACCGAGAGCCCTTCAGGATCTGGTCCTGGTACAGTGGTGATCGTGGTGCCGAGCCCGGTAGCTCGCTACGTTACCGTGACATCCTATGATAGCTCGGTTACAGCTGTAGTCACGAGTACAATGACTCCCAGTGCTCCTGGCGCAACTGGTACTGTTGTTGTCTACGATCCATACGAATGGGTGACTACCACGTCTTATGATGATGTTGCTCCATCTGACCATACAACGTCTATGTGGCCTTCTGCATCTGATCATGTAGGCACGGTAGTCGTGTATAGGGCATACAGATGGGTGACAGTGAGTTCCTATGATGCAACTATCACAGCCGCATCTACACAGACTATATCCCCGAGCTCCCCAGACCAGACGGGTACGGTCCTGATATACCAGCCAGATCCATGGTTTACAATTACTTCCTATGGAGGTGTCACGGCGGCATCAACGACCACTGAATATCCAACCGCCCCAGGCGCAACAGGCAATGTTATTATTTACAAGCCACACCAACTGACAACCATCACCTCTTACGACTCAGCGGTTACAGCAGCATCCACCACCACCATGTCGCCATCTTCTGAAGCAGAGACAGTCACTGTTATGGTGTACAAGCCTTGTCAGTGGACGACAGTCACGTCTTATGGGGATTTCACAGCTGCAGCTACATCTACCATATCTGCAACAGCTCCGGATGCAACAGGCACCGTTATCGTGTATCAGCCTGATCAGTGGGTGACTGTCACTTCTTTTGGACAATATGCCGCTGCGTCTACATCTACAATTTCTCCCTCCATGCCTGGTCAAACAGGTACAGTGGTGGTCTACAATTCACAGCCATATTCGACTTTTACTTCTTATGGAGATGTCTCGACCGAGACCACATACACCTCGCCGCCTCCTGCTCCTGGCCAGACAGGCATTGTTATGGTCTTGATGCAACAGCCATATACGACTGTCACTTCATACGGAGGCGTTACGGCCGAGTCTACGACTACTATAACCCCATCGAGTCCAGGCCAAACGGGTACCGTGGTGGTATTTGATCCGCAGATGTACGTAACTACGACCTATTATGGACGCGTCACAGCTGCTACAACAACAACTGAGAGTGGCCTTGGCTCTGACCCGACCCTGACCGTTGTGGTTGATCTCCCTCAGCCTTACACGACGGTTACTTCGTATGGAGGCGTTTCGGCTGAATCGACAACCACCATAAGTCCAACTAGTCCAGGCCAAACGGGTACTGTCGTGATCTTTGATCCGCAGATGTACACAACTACGACCTACTATGGAAGGGTTACAGCGGCTACTACAACAACTGAGAACGGTAACGGGCCGAACCCGACTCTCACAGTTGTGGTTGATTTACCCCAGCCTTATACGACAATCACCAGCTATGGCTCTTTTTCCGCAGCCAACACTGTGACATATCCACCTTCTGTTCCTGGCGAGGACGGTACTGTAGAAGTCGATCTTCCGATGCCTTATACAACCGTCACCAACCACAGAGATAGTCTGACTGCTGCTTCAACTATAACACACCCATTCAATGCTCAAGCAAAGTTTGCCACTGTTGAGGTTGATGTGCCTCAGTCCTACACGACACTCACAAGCTACATCCCAGGCCTGGCAGGCCCAGCATCTACGACCTTACCAGTAGATAATCCAGACGATGTGATGACTGTCATCGTCAATCTTCCGCAGCCGTATACAACCATTACAACCTTTGTTGACAGTATAACTGCGCCTCTGACTACAACATACCAACCTGCTAGCGCTGGGGATCCTGTCACTGTTATGATTGAGAGTCCGCAGGTCTATATAACCCTTACGACCTATGTCGACAGCCTAACTGCACCAGTGACTACGACATATCGGCCTGCTAGTCCTGGTGACCCGGTTACAGTTGTCGTTGAGGACCCTCAGGCCTATGTAACCGTCACGACCTATGTCGACAGTCTGACTGCACCTCTCACAACAACAAACCGACCCGCCAAGCCTGGTGACCCTGCTACTGTCGTCATTGAGAGCCCTCAGGTCTACGTAACGGTCACAACGTACGTTGACAGTTTGACTGCCCCTGTAACTACGACAAACCGACCAGCGAACCCGGGGGATCCTATTACTGTTATCATTGAAGATCCTCAGGCATACACAACAGTCACAACATATGTTGACAGTTTGACTGCACCTGTGACTACGACAAACAGACCAGCTAATCCAGGGGACCCCGCCACTGTCGTCGTCGAGAGTCCTCAAGCATACATAACCACCACAACATATATTGACAGCCTGACTGCACCACTGACAATAACAAACAGGCCGGCTAATCCCGGTGATCCTGCTACTGTCGTCATTGAGAGCCCCCAGGCATACACTACAGTCACGACCTATGTTAATGGTCTTACTGCACCTCTGACCACGACAAACCGACCGGCTAATCCAGGTGATCCCGCCACCGTTGTCGTCGAGAGTCCTCAGCGGTATACGACTATGACGACTTATGGCACTTGGTCTGCACCTTTTACTACAACGCTATCACCTGCCAATCCCGGGGATCCTGCCACAGTCGTTGTAGAGAGTCCTCAGGGATACACAACTGTCACGACCTATGTTGACAGTCTGACTGCACCTGTAACCACGACCAACCAGCCGGCCAATCCAGGGGATCCTGCTACTGTTGTCGTCGAGATTCCCAAGCGGTACACAACTGTGACCAGCTATGGTTCCTACACCGCAGCTGTGACAAGCACCTTAGCACCGGCATCTCAAGGTGATGTCAATACTGTTGTAGTAGGACTGCCCCAGTCCTATACAACCGTGACTAGCTATGGAAGCTTTACGCAAGTACGAACAACAACAATGGCACCAGCATATCAAGGCGGCGTAGCCACTGTTATTGTTCAAGAGCTCCAGCCCTACACCACCGTCACAAGCTGGGGAGCCTTCTCAACAGTTGGCACCACTACCTATTCACCAATTTCTCAGGGCGGCACTGCAACTGTTGTTATTCAAGAGCCTCAGCCTTATACGACCATCACAAGCTATGGTGCCTTCTCAGCAGTTCAAACCACTACCTATCCGCCAGGCTCTCCGGGTGCTACAGGAACTGTCGTCGTTCAGAACCCCCAGCCTTACACAACCGTCACAAGCTGGGGATCCTTCTCGACAGTCAGCACCGCTACCTATCCCCCAAACTCTCCAGGTGGTACTGGTACTGTGGTTATTCAAGAGCCTCAGCCTTATACAACTACCACAACCTGGGGTACCTTCTCAACAGCTCATACCACTACCTATTCGCCAGCCTCGCCAGGTGCTACTGGGACTGTCGTGGTTCAAAACCCACAGCCTTATACAACCGTCACAAGCTGGGGGACCTACTCAACAGTTAGCACCACTACCTATTCGCCAATCTCTCAGGGCGGCACTGCAACTGTCGTTGTTCAACAACCCCAGTCCTATACGACCGTCACAAGCTATGGTACCTACTCAACCGACGGTACAACGACCTTGGCACCCGCCTCCCCTGGCGGCACTGCTACAGTTGTTATGCAGAAACCCCAACCTTACACCACTGTGACTACTTATGCTACCACAATATCAACCATGAGCACGTCAACTGGAACTCCGGCTGTCGCTGGGCAGACTGGTACTGTGGTGGTCGTTGCTCCTGCAGTCGGTACAAAGGCTGCAGATCAAACATGCGATAACGCCGGTTTGGAATACGCCATCTACACCAACTCGTTCTACAACGCTGATCCACCAAACTACTCTGCCCTCAACATTACCTATTTTGCAACAGCTTCACCGACCTTTACTGGTGTCACGAAATCAATAGGTATCACAGAACCAGGTGGAGTCAAATCAGGAAACTCAGGCCCTGCACAGGCTATTTATCCTGGTTCGCCAAGTCAAACATGGCAATACAAGGCCGTTAACCACCGGGCATTCTTATATGCGCCTATCAATGGTACTTACTCTGTGGTGGTCCCGTACTCTGACGAGGTTACACTGGTTTGGTTCGGCAGCAAGGCCTTGTCGACATGGTCGAAAGCACGTTCGAGTGCAGATCTGGCGCAAAACTACTCATGGGGACCTTCTAGCTCTCAGACCTTCAAGATCCAGCTCACAGCAGGCACTTACACGCCATTCCGAGTTTTCTGGGCCAATGCGCAGGGAGATTATTCTATGATAGTCACTGTCACAGCTCCAGACGGTACTGTTATTGTTGATGGCTCTGGGTCATCAAGCAAATACTTTGTTAGATATGCTTGTGATTCTACTACACCTTCTTATCCTGCATTTGGAAGTGGCGGTTAATCCTGTCACTCACTGACTTTCACTCTCTTACGAAGTTTTCCTTTTTATTCTCTTGTATAAGTAGTTGGATACAAAATGATCTTGAAGCTATTGGCCTTATAAACCTCTTGATGTATTAAGTCCAATTTCCTTTGGCTTTCCTCTTGACCTCCACTAGCCCGAGCGGGGAACCGACAGCGGAGTCAGTACTGAGAATGCTAATTGGGCGATCAGATATGCCTAAGACTTTATTATGGAGACACACTGGGAAGGAAGCTCGGAATTCAGATGGGGTCGAGTCAGACGAGTCCTGTACTGTACTATAAAAATTGATCTCAGTAGAGAGACCACCCTGAATATCGCAACACATTTAAATCCCTCTCGTCTCTTCAACTCTGACTGACTTTTCCTTTCTTCCAACATTTCATCATCAGTCTTTTGCCTCCCAACACAATGGCCAAAACATTATTCGTCAACGGCCGGATCCTGTCCAAGACAGTGACGGGCCTCAACGGCAACGCCTACTTCTCAGACTGCATGCTCATCCAAGACGAAAAGATCGCCGCAGTCGGGTCTCGCGATGAGATCTCCCAGAATCTAGGTTCAGACATCCAGATTCGCGATCTTGATCAGCGTGTTGCTCTTCCCAGTTTCATCGATGGTCACATGCATCTCCTCCTCCTCGGCCAATCACTCCGAAAGCTTGATCTGTCGCGATGCACTTCACTTGAGGACATCCGATCATGTATCCAAAAATACGCTGCTGAAAACCCAGACACACCAACTATTCTTTGCACAGGATGGAGGCATCACATGACGCCTGGTGGAGTTACAGCCGCGATGCTGGATGATCTTGATCCACGGCCTATTTTCGTCGATTCGGGCTCTTTACACTCTTGCTGGTGTAATACTGCGGCTTTGAAGGAGCTTGAGGTTGATGATATGCCAGATCCAGCTGGTGGCAAGATTTATCGTGATGCAGATGGAAAGCCATCTGGTCTTTTGGATGAAGGCGCCATGATGTCAATCAGTGAGTGCAACCTAATATGATCACTTTAGATCGAGCGACTAACAACACTGCAAAGTTTGGCCATTCCAAGCAAAGTCATCCCCCAAGCATGAACGAATAGAGGCGATTCGCGCGGCCGTGAAAGAGTATAACGCAGCTGGCTACACCGGCGCAGTCGAAATGGCCATGGACGAAGAAGCTTGGGACGCTCTCGTGACGCTCAAAGAAACAGAACCGAATCTTCCACTACGACTAGCAGCTTATTGGCTTATCAAACCAACTGCCAACCTCGAGAAAAACTTAAAACAAGTGCAGCGCGCCATCGAGCTGAGCAAGCAGTACAACTCGACAACAAGTCCTGATCTTCGACTTGTCGGAATCAAGGTCATCACCGACGGTATTGTCGACGCATGCACTGCCTACCTCTCTGAGCCGTATGCCACTGCTGGAAACCCGCCACCTATTTGGGAGCCTGAGTTCCTTGACCCCGTTGTCAAAGAGGCTGATGCTGGTGGCTTACAAGTTGCCTTACACGCTATCGGCGACGGTGCTGTCAGAATGGCCATCGATGCTATTGAGAAGCACGCTACCCCAGGTCGAAGGCACAGAATCGAGCACTTGGAGCTCGTTTCTCCAGAAGACGCCAAGAGGCTTGGAAAACTTGGTTTAACAGCATCCATCCAACCAATCCACTCAGATCCAACAGCCTTAACAGCATGGCCTGAACTCCTTGGAGAAGAGCGATATGGAAGAGCGTTTGCTTATCGAGAGTTCGCTGATGCAGGTGCCTTGATGGCGATTGGTACTGATAGCCCTACGGCACCGTGGTCGCCTATGCCTAATTTCCATGTCGCTATCAACAGGCAGTCCTCCAAGAATCCGGAGAACCCTAAGGTAGTACACGAGCATTTTCGGTTAGGTTTGTGTGAGACTTTTGTCGCGGCTACAGAAGGTGCAGCGCGAAGTGTGTTTGCTGAAGACCGTGTTGGAAGCTTGACACCTGGAAAACTGGCTGACTTTATTGTTGTTGATATGGAGTGGGATCCTAAGACGTTGCTGAAAGCTGAGGTGAAGGAGACTTGGTTCGGAGGATCTCGGGTATTTTGATCAGGAATTCTGTTTCCAGAAAATGTTTCTAAGCCTCTATTCATTCGTAGTTTCATAATGTACGGACATGTCATCATCCGTAATTTGCCTAGTACCTTGACCCTACTGACAAACCTGCTCTATCTGATCAGCTTGTTTTGAACAGCCTATGCACGTGAAGCCTACCCAACAGCTTCTCAACCCATCGCTCATACGATCAAAGACTTCTTATCTTCCAGCAATCGACTACACAAGATCAAAATGCTTCCGACCAATACAGTCAACCCAGCCCAGACCCAAGCGGCTGTATACCCCATGCTTCTTCGCAATGCCCCTCCAACAGGTGGACCAAACAACAGCGCGACCGACATGACCGAGAAGGCCATACCAAATCTTGTCCCAATTCTCCGAGGATCACTAGTAAGTCTGACAAAGATGGTCGGCTGCAGCGCGAAGAAGGATCCCGTGAAGAAGCCCTGGCTGATGACGGTAACAAGCAATCGTGGAGTTGTAGTTGCTGAGATGAGACATAAGCTTGTAGTGGCGAGCAAGACTGCTGCACTGATGATAGTGTTCATGGGCCCAAGACTTTGAGCAAGAAAAGCTGGTAGAATTCGTCCAAAGATTGAGCTACTGTTGAGAATAGCCAGCAGGTTTCCTGCAAGATCGGCCGATGCAATTTTGTTGTCCAGGGCGTAGCTTTGTACGTAGACGAAAGGGGTATACATTCCAAGAAAGACGGAGAAACAGCCAGCCACGAAAAGGACGTACGGCCAGTCTGTGAAAGCCGACTTGTCAAGAAGTTGCCTGCGCTGAGACGACGCGTTCGGGTTTGGCCCTGACCTCAACACGAGGTTCGAAAATGCCAGAAGAACAAGTAGTAGCAGAGCCATAGCCCTCGTCGCCCATGGCAAGCTTGTCTGAGCATTGAGCTCCCGAACCATGATGGGGAGAAGAACACTGGGAATTGCGTCAGAAGAGATTAGTCTCTATAAGTGCTATTGACTTACCCTCCGAGTCCACTACCGCAAGCCGCAAGTCCATTCACCAATGGCAATTTCGTAGTAAACCATAGTGAAGTAATAGCAACACTCAAGATCGATAGACAGCCAGCACCAATGCCAATCATAAGACCTTGAGTGAGAAGATACTGCCAGTACTTTTGACTCAGGCTTTGAAGTACAGTGCCGATGACAATGAAGGTAGAACCGACGCCCAGAAGGTGTCGAAAGTAACCGGAATCATAGATCGGGCCAACTATTAAGCCTGAAAATACCATCAAAAATGTCTGTAGAGAGCCAATGATTGAGATCTGAAATGGCGTATGACTCGACAATTGATCGCGTTCATAGATGGTCTGGAAGCTTCCAAAGCTTGCAATCAGCCCTGCAAGTTGTCAGTATCTATCTCGCGTGTATTGGTGATATTACTTACCCCAAGTACAAAAGTAGAGACAAAACGAGCCCGCGACTTGCAGCCACGCGATCAGTCCGCCATTTGGAACAGGCTTGGGCGCTGCATCATCGACCGAAAAGCTGCTTTCGACGATAGGGCTATCATCGGCTGTATCTTTCGTAGACTCCATTGCTGGTCAAAAGCATTGATGAAAAGCCTTGACTTACAAGCTGAACAACATACCTAATTGAAGGGAAGATAGGCCGAGATACAACCGCCATGCTTATCAATCTCTATTTCTCTGACAACGCATTTGCTAGGATAACCTAATCTGGCACGTTTCCCGCTTTCCTAATGTGGTGATAGGGCCACGGCACTTCTCCCCACAGTGGATCTCGATGAAAAAGATAAAACTCAACATCAGCAGATCAAGGCGCAATGCAATGTCTGTGCCACTCCTGAACGCGTATTCGAGTATTTGTAATATTCACATGAAGAAGAATATTTATCCCACTCACCACGAGTTCCTTGGCCACTATGGATGGAACCTTTGCATAATTTTCGCATGTCATTCTTCCAACTTGGTGAAACATCCGAGGACTGCCTAGCTAGGAAGGTGATATTGGAAATTTCTTGCTCTCGATTAAGCATCCCGGGGCATACCGCGACTAAGGCGGTGATGCGGCGAAGCAGGCAAGATTGAGTTTATGTGGGATTAGTGCCGGCATGGCATGATGCATGCATGGCCAAGAATGGTAATTCCTTACGACGGGACGCTGCAGGGAGGATATCGCTGTAGATGTTGTACGGAGATAGTGATTTTTGTGAGGATGGTATTGGGGGGTTTGGCAAAGGTACCTTGGGGGTCGAGAAATGATCACTTCAACTCACCTACTAAGATTGATGAAGAAGAAACAGTTCAAGATTCGAAGTCGTAATCGGGATCTAGCGATGAGAGAATAAATAAGAAAGACAACTTCGAAATCACCAATACTACACGGAATTGAGCGCGATGGAATGCAAAGTCTAATGTATTGAACAGGAAAACAAATAATCTACAACTAAAATCTACCCTACATCCTATCGAGACTTTACAAAGTAGGAGTCCAAGTACTCTTCCCAAGCCCCGTCCTCGAAAGTGCCAACATACCCGACATACATATCCGGCCGAACAATCACAATAGCCGAGTCCTCGTTCTTGACCCAATCAGCAGTGAAGTCCTGGTCACCATCCCTGTTTTGATGACAGCCAACATGGCCATGAGTCGACCCATTGGGCAGGATAGTATAAACGGGAGCCGACACGGAGATCGCCGGAAGTCGTTTTCCGATAGCCAAGACGATAAAATCCCCATAAGGCACATTCTCATAGAGTCGCGAAGTTTTGCCGGAAGGTTCTGTCATTTCCACATCCGGACAGCGATATCCAGGTTTCCAGATACCAAGTTCCGCCCCCTGGACAAGTGGAGTGGCGAACTCGCTGTAGTTAACACCCATGCCTTGCTACGTTAGAATGTGACATGTAACGGTGATGGTGAACGTACCTGTGATAAAGCCGGCATTTCGTTCGATTGTGGAGACGTATTTCTTGGCTGTATGTATGGTGTCCCTGACTAGTGCTGCAGCCACTCCGATGACTTGAGCGGCTGTGGACCTCCGCTCGATGTCGTAGCTGCGCAGGATGTCGTCTCTTGCTTGGCTGGTGAGGTTGGATGGGCGTGCGAGTGCTGAGAGACGCCAGGCTAGGGCGAAGGCATCGGAGACACCCGTGTTTAAGCCTTGGCCGCCGTTGACGGAATGGACGTGAGCAGCGTCTCCGGCTAGGATGATTCTTCCGTGGCCTTCTTTGGAGATGAACGTTCCAGCAAGTCGTTCCTTGACTGAGAATTGATTAGCAGATGGGAAGCAGAACTATCGGGAAACATACCATGGAATGTGCTGAACCATTCAGTCTTTGTAAACTCTACTCGATAAGGAGCGAGATGTTCTTTGATGGACTCTTCAGCCAGCTGTTGCGTGATCTCTCCCTTGAGCAAAACATAGAATCGAGACATTCCTCGCTCTCTAGGGATCCAAGCAACTCGTGACTCTCCATCGAGCTCAAACGTGATAATCTCAGGACAAACCGGGAAATCAGTGTCCAAGAAGGTATCAAGAACAGCCCAGGTCATCTCAGGCTTAGTACCCGTAAAACTGATACCAAGCGTGTTTCTGACAAAGGATCGTGCACCGTCCGCTCCAACAACATATTTGCTGCGGACCTTTCGACCCGAACTAGTCATGATGGCGACAGAGTCTTCGTCTTCAGTGATGCTGATAACATGCTCGTTGTAGCTAACTGCATCGCCGAGACGCTTGCGCATGACCTGTTCAACGACAGGTTGTCCGATCATGAGAAAGTTCTTGTGAAAGGCATGCTCGATACCAACCCACCAAGCGTTCTGACGAGACTTGAAATCGCCCGCTTTGAAAGTAGAGCTCGCTGTGACTGTCAGACTAGAACTCTGAAAAGCTGTGAGGGCTCCTTACTGTTGCATTTGAGACCATCGGGTAGAAGCTCATCGAGGATGCCAGCAACCTCGAAGTACTGCTGAGTACGAGCATTGAGTGCATCAGCACGGCCAAGCTCTAAACTACAAGGCTTCTCATCTGTACAGTTGTCAGAGTTTCTTCTCATTCAACTCAGGCGGCAATGTAACTTACCCAGAACCCGGACTGAGATGCCCAATGGTTGAAGAAGAAGGGCAACAAAGAGTCCAGTGGGACCGCCACCAACGATAGTAACATCAACTTGCTCCATGATTTCGAGTGAATGTGAATGATTATGTTCTGAAAGCCTAACTTTTGGAGTTCTTAATATTTCACTTCTATGTAATTGGCGGGAAAGCCCAAGATAAATCACCAAATTCAACCGCCATCCAAGCTCTCCATCGACCTACCTATCTCGGCATCGTCAAACCGCCTCATCAATTCAAGGATACCAAATCAAATGTCTCATCTGAACAACCATATCCGAGCTTCTGTTACACCATCAAAGGCCCGAAGAATCACTCAACACCGGGGAACTTTAACTTGGCCGGGTGGGATATAGCCGAACGGGATAACCGCGCGGGATGCCGATCATCACCACGGACCGTTCCCCCCATGCGAAAATCCAAGTTTTTAGCCCCAGCTACTCGTGAATGAGGAAATACAATGACGAAAAGTGTGGCTTGGCTTCCAGATTGATACCTTCTACTCTAGGATTTCACATCCGTGCAAGCTGACAGGGTGGCCGTCACAATTTTATGAGCTTCCTGATGAAGCGATTTTGTGTCATGCCTTTTGGTTCGGATTAGGCGATGTGTGACGAGGGTGATTGTTTTGCCACGCAATTGGGTAATTGTACGATGGCCCACTGCTGAGACGACTCGGTGTTTTTCGCAAATTGTCTTAGTAAACCGACAATGAGACTATGGTGGATGAGTATGTAACTTGTAGTTCACATGTTGATAGGAGATAGTAGACTGCAAGATTTATATCCTCTTATCTCCCTGATGTATCATTCACCTCATCAAGTTCAACAGTCACTCTCATTTCCATACAAACGAACACTTATCAGCGATTACTACTCTTTTACTTTACCATGGCTGTATCCAGTCTTCGTCCCGTGATCCCCTTCCCTTTTGGGACTGTTGATCGCAATGTCTCTGCTGAACCATTGACTACCGCAGTCGATAGGGCGGCTCTTGAGACATCAAGCAAAATCCTCGATATTATCGGAAGGTATCGTATGAAGCAAGACGACAACCTTCACTCGCATTCCGATGAGTCAACTCTCAAATTCATCGCTCTAATCTACACACACGTCAAAGCCGGCAAGCCAGTTCCTATGTGCCTACCAGCTTTCCCCTTCAAGTCGCCAAACTCAACATCGAAGACATTGGGAAAGCTTCCTGATAAGGGAGAGGAAATTGCTCTTGCTCACCTCAACGGACTTTGCAGCGCTATTGGCGACGTATATGCGCCTGGTGCTAGACTCACTATCATCTCCGATGGATTAGTATATAATGGTGAGTGGCCTTTTTGATAGTAGCGTAGGACTCGAGCTGATCATAGCAGACCTTCTTGGTGTCCCAGATAGAGATGTATGGGCATACGGCGAGACTCTTCGCTCCATGGCAGCAGAGAAAGAATTTCACAACATTTCCTTCGCGCGTCTTCGCGATCTTGTTGAGATAGATCTACCGAAAGACCTCGAGGAAATGACTTATGTTGCCAACGCATCTAACTTTCGACGCGCACTCCTCAACACCTTCAGCAAGCCAGGATGGAGCTGGGATGACGTTCGTCAATCAGATGATCAGTGCATGACTTATCGTGGCTACATCAAGTTTCTTCAAACAGACTTGGAAACAGTTTATCCGGTTGATGAGAACAGGAGCAAGTCAAAGTATAAGAGAGGCATTGAGTATATTGCGAAGCAGATGATGGCTCGCGGAGATGTAAGTAACGGACTGTGATGGACGAAACAAGTTGTGTACTGACGTCTTAGGCCTTTGCCAATGCTGTTCGACAAAAGTATCCTGATCATGTTCGCCTATCAATCCATCCCTCAACTGGGGCGGTCAAGCTGTCTATCAGCCTATTGCCAACGGAGCAACTCCACACTACGCCGTGGCATTGCAGCGTTGCTTACAGCCTGGACGGTACCATCAGAACCGGCATGCGATCTGAATTCGACAACGACGAGAGTCTCGAACTAATTTACGACAAAGGAAGACCCTCGCATTTTCGAGAGAAGTCACCACTTCTATCATGGGCAGAGGACAAGGGCGGCATTGTGGTCGATCCTATGTACCCCGCTGGCCTGATCATTCGTCCTGCCAATGGAGCTGGCTCCCTGACACTCGACGATATCGACACGAAGAAAGTCCGTGCTCTGTCGGAGATCAACTCACCTGTTGTTCTGAAGGGATTCGTCAAGAAGCCTAACCGCGACCGTTTCATTGATTTCAGCCACCGATTCGGAACGCCTTTACCCTGGAAGTTCGGCCTTCTGCTTGAAGTCAAGGATCGAGGACAGGATGCTCGAGGTCTGAACAATGTGCTTTCAGCAGAGCCTATGCCGTTCCACTATGATGGCTTGTTCAAGGTTGTCAAGCAGACTGATGAGAATGGAAATGAGAAGACTGTTTCGACTCCTCCCCAGTAAGTACCGTTTCTGACGGTAAGATTCAACGACTGACTCCGTGACTAGGTTCCAACTCTTCCAAGGCGCCACCTCCTCACCAAGGGATACCGGCTTCACCCTTTTCTCGTCCTCAACCCTATTCTTCAAGTATCCCCCGTCATGGCTCAAGAAGGATATCTCAAAGCTCACCTGGAGCGTATCAACCTCAGCATTCGACAACACTGTTCTGAGAGGTCTACCTCTAGCTATCGACCATCCTACGACTGGCAAGCCATGCCTTCGATACCATGAGCCTTGGCCCCAGTCGAAGACGCGATTCGATGCTTCGGATGTGACGATTGACGGGCTTGAGCCGTCGGAGAGCGCTGCCATTTGCGAAACTATCGACTCGGTCCTGTATGATCGCCGGGTTGCGCTGTACTATGCATGGGATAAGGGCGATATCTTGGTTAGCGATAACATCTTGATGATGCATACCAGGAGTGATTTCACTGCAGGCGTTGATCGTGAGCTGTGGCGAATTCACTTTGACTAGTGCTGTTATCTTTTGGGTCGGCGGTTTGATTATGTTTTTGGTTTGTCAATTTGAAGGTTTCATATAGATTGTTTCTGCAATAGACTGTTTCTGTTACTTAAACCCCATTGGTTTACGGTTTGACTATCCCTTATCTCAGTGTATCTAGTAGCGGATCCATCCGGAAATCCCGTGCGGAGATATCTCGGTCGGCATCCACTTCCGACTCGGATAGACTACCGACCAAACCTTATGACTTACTATAATAAGGATGCGATCGCGGGGTAGCCCTGTTCATGATAACCTCAACATCCTCAATCATCATGGTCGAAGTCAAGCAATACCATCTCCTGCCAACGGATCTCATTCCGAACTCACCAAGACCGCTTCTGCACTACAAGAATGTCTTAGCCAAGCGCCCGAATAGCTCCAAGTGCGACCCCGCCGAGGTCTGGGACATGTTTACCAAGAACGGATGGGATGTTCAATGGATATTCCGATACCCAAACACGCAACTGTCGCATTTTCACTCTGAGGCTCACGAGTGCATGGCTGTTCTCTCGGGCACTGCAACCATCCGCTTTGGAGTCGGTGATACCTCTGAGGATCTACAAGAGAATACATACGGATCAGCTTGGGAAAAAGGCGGGATTGTGTTGGAAGCCGAGGCAGGAGATGTCTTTGTCATTCCAGCTGGTGTAGCGCACAAGACTCACAACACCAAGCCGGCAGCTGAGTTCAAGCTGCTGTCGCCGGGCGTTGGACATGGCATTGAGGCTGATAACCCGAAGGAAGCGTTGTCTGAGATTGAGCTGGATGGCTATACTATGATGGGGGCGTATAATGGTGGTGAATGGGACTTTGTGAAGAGTGGAGGAGACTATGGCAAGTCATGGAAGGTTCCTAAACCGCAGAGGGATCCTGTGTTTGGGGAGGCAGAGGAAGGACTTCTCAGGACTTGGCCTGGAGGGGATACCGAGGTTGATTTGGAGATTGTGCAGGTGGAGAACAGAGAGTACAAGTCAAAGATATAGCTCGTCGCTCTGCCAATGGTGGAATAGGATCAGTCATGAGACATCGTTAGTTTCACAGCTCTAGAGTCTTTGTAAGACAGTTGTGATGTCACGAGGCAACGGAAGGTAGACAGTTTTATTTAAGATTGATTCAGTAACGTACGTATGAACATAACAGAAAAGGAACGATCCAGTCACTCCCCAACACTTGTCATATCATAATCCATCTATCTCGTATTCGCGTATTATAATTAGAAAGGGAGAATCCATCATCCCTTAGTCCTGGACACCAGTAGGGGTGTTGCAGAGGATGCCTTGGTCAAGCTGTGACGGTCAGTAATTAGTCAACTGAATGGATTGGCTAGACTTACGATAGGAAGAACACAACATCGAGCTCGCTGGCCAATGGCAGAGCAAACAGCACTGAAGTCAGTGGCGTTGGCAGGGGTAGAGGGAGCTAGGTACGTTAGACTAAGCTTCACTGAGGACATGTCTCTACTCACGGTTTCCGCAGTCAAGGTCCGCAACTCCAAGGACATCAGTAGCACAGCATTGAGAAGTGCCATAGAGACCAGAGCAAGGGATATAAGCCTGGCGCTTCTCCTCAGTGGGGAGAGCAGAGACGGCAGTAGCCAGGAGGGTAACGATAGCGAGTGAGAACTGCATGATGAATAGAGTGAATGAGTAGATGGTAGTATGATATGAAGCTTGGGATTGTGGATGCAGACTCCAAACAGATCCGTCAACAATCCCCATATTTATACAAAATCTAAATTATAGATCCCATAAAATCATTAAGATCATCGTCAGTAAAACTAAATAACCTCAACGTCATTATCTCACAACAAATCTCCAATGAATACCACGTTTAAAGCCGTTGACGTTTCCGATGGCGATATCCCTGGCCTATATCATCTACATATTGACTTGAAACCGGTTGTAGCGTTACAACGGCCCGGCCGTTTCCAGCTCTGCAGGGATCTAACGCATAAACGTGTCGCGACGATCGCTCGATCAATTGGCGCTGCTGATTCGCTGGCCCGTCGGAGCAAACACTCAAAGGAATACCCGACTGCCGACCGTTAATCTTGCAAGGCTAGCTTGAGGCGAATTTGGAAACAGGTTGGTCGCTGGGCCGATGTCATGACTTGTTGGAGGAAGACAATTGGTCGGATTGGTTCCTGTGAGGCCTCATTGGTGTACGGCAAAGTTCCAAGACCGTTATTGATCATCCCTTTGATCTTCCTATCAGCTTCTTCAGCTAAAGTTTGTTGGGGCTGGCGTAACGACGTGGCAAATCATGAATGTGCAGATTGTTTCTCATACTGTTCCTGCAGAAAGTGGACCATCCGCGCCGAGAAACTTGATCCGGCTTCCGACCCTGGTAAGTGAGCATAAACTTGATTAACATTAGATATCCGAAACTTATATCCGATCGGATTATATAGGTGGCTTGACTTAGGTAGCGGATTAAGGCTCCCGAATTAGATAATGACATCAACCATCATGATGATCTGATAGATATCGTGGCTAGGGGAGGAAAGAAAGCTCAGGACCTTAGCCCTAAATGATGAAAATCTTTAGATAAATTTAGCGTAAGCTTAGAGGACTCTTTACTAAGTTTATTTTGACACCTTATATCAGTTCGGTATTTTCTTGCCCCCGAGGC